GTCATGCCACCATATTTTAGAAAGGCAACCAACACTCTGATGCGCTAGCAGGTATCCATCCATTGTCTAATAATATAAATAACTCACAACGCCATTAAGAAAGTTATATGCGCTACCATTGTACTGATAGCCATCAAGCGAATACAAGAGAAAAAGAAGAGATTTACAAAGCATGTTCTCTGGAATTGTAAGTTTAGGCCATAGATTATCGATGCCATTTGTGGATCTACTCAGTAATAAATAGTGAACTAGAAGCGCAGTGATTCTCAACAGTGAGCTCCTGGCAAGAAGAATGCAGTAACTGATTTTGTTTAACCGCTCGTTCACGCAAGAACCGCCTAGCAATAATATATATGGCTATGCTCACATTGGCTAACATGACCTGCTCTTTTACAATGGTGCAGTTGCCATGTTATTGTTAATATTGGCTGTGATGGTGTGTTGCATTACGGTTAAGCTAGCTGCCATGTGATCAATGCTAGGTCCATCTACCAGTCTGTCCTTTGCTGGCAACGAATCGATTGGGAAGAAATGTTAGTGCAGTAAATTTAGTACATGTAATTCTGTCTTTTGATGCATGGATGTTATGACGATTTCGTATGCTGACAAATAAACTAATTATAGGTGAAAAGAAAGAACTGCAAGGAATAGTCTACACAGTTTCTTTATCGAAATTGGTTTTGGACACTACAAATACTGTATATAGCTAGAAAATGTCATGTATCACATCTTCAAATGTATCTTCTCAAATTTTCTATTCTTGCCAAAATGCCAATGTTATGGTTTTGCATAGATAATGTTCGTTCATTACCAAATGATAGTGGCGATTATGGCATCCTATAGACACCACAAGCCTAAAAAGTACGATGACCAATAGCGTTTTTGGACTATTTCAAACGATGTAGTTCTTATTACTGATAGAAAATAACATACTTACGTGTAAACTACTTTTGATCAGCGGTGAACTTCAGTGTTATGTGCGATTGGTGAAAAATTTTTGCTTGCGAGAGTTCATAAACATGCATTTTTTGCCTATTTTTTCGTTATGGGATATCAAACGAGTTAACCCGCTGCTAAGCTAATCATTGTTAGCAAATAAACTGTTTATAGAAGTCAAAATATGACCGTCATGATTGGTCGTTATGTCGATGAGATATTACGCAAGACATTTCTATAATTTTAAGAGTTTGTTTGTTCAAGGATATAGAATGTGATATATGATAATTGAACTACTTTCAAAGGAAAACAACTCGATATTCTGATAATGGAATATTTTCGTGCCGAAAAAAGTCCTCAGCAGTTTATAATACATAGTTCATAAAGAATTTATATTTTGTATATCTATTTAACATAAATAACCGAATATACTGGCAAGTCGATCGCTTTCCTCTTTACAAATATTTGCTGTGTTTTTACCCCTTAGCAGAATGACTGTAATGTTTTCACGCCCCGGCAAGTCACACAATTTATCAATGGGAATCGTTGGATTGCCTAATGTAGGAAAGAGCACGCTGTTTAACGCCCTAACAAAAAGATCTGTTCCAGCTGCGAACTATCCTTTCTGCACAATTACACCCGAGGAAGGACGCATCGAGATTCCCGATGAAAGATTTGACTATTTGGTCAATTTATACAAACCGAAAAGCGTGGTGCCAGCCTATTTGAGTATTATTGATATTGCAGGCCTCATAAAGGGTGCCAGCCAAGGGCTTGGTCTAGGAAACGAATTTTTGGAGAACATACGACGGACAGATGGTATATTCCAAGTGGTGCGTTGCTTTGAGGATGAAAATATAGTGCATGTTGACGAGGACATAGACCCACTAAGGGATGTTAAAACTATAAAAGACGAACTGCGGCTAAAAGATCTGCAGATCATCACGAAGCGGATAGAAAAACAGAAGAGAGAAACGGTTGTGGATGCTAAAAAAAAGAAGTTTGAAACACAAACGCTTGACAAGCTTAGGGAAATTCTCGAAATAAAATGGACCAACGAAGCGGAGTGGACACCAGATGAGGTCGAGTATCTCAACACGCTAAACCTGCTGACAACAAAAGAAGTTGTATATTTAGCTAATATATCAGAGGATGAGTATGACAACAAGCTTGTCAATAAGCATTTGCGAGCTCTTATCAAAGCGGAGCGGAACGTTTTCCCTTTCAGCGCGACAAATTTAAGCGATGCTTTTGTCAGGAAGTTGCTTTGGAAAGGGTACGAGGCGCTAAAATTAATCAATTTTTTTACTGCGGGTGCGCCAGAGGTTAAATCATGGACCGTGCGTGAGGGAACCAAAGCGCCACAGGCCGCTGCTGTGATTCACTCTGATTTTGAAAAAAACTTCATAATGGCCGAGGTTATGGAGTACAATGATATTAAATTGCACGGGAATGAGCAGGGAGTTAAGAAGGCCGGAAGATATCTTCACAAGGGACGCGATTATGTGGTGCAGGATGGTAACATAATTTTATTTAAAATCAACAGAATAGCTAAAAAATAAAGGACGCCGATTTGTTTAGTGCCATCTGTTCTGTAAAAGTTGTTTTGGTCAAAAATTTTGTCTGATTAGTCAGGCAGCGGGTTTTGGCTGTTTATCTCTGTGTTTCTGTGGGAATCAGATCTCTAGTACCAACTCGGTCAGGCAGCGGGTTTTGGCTGTTCATACCATACTTCGATGATCGCTTGTATTCATATCTAATTTATTAAATATTTCCGTTAAAATGGTGTGATTTTAAAGACTCTTTATTGAGCTGTAATGAGCGGCACGTTTTATATTGTTAATCAAAGATTTATCAGACCTGCCGTAATGTTACGGAGTTTTTCACCACAAATATGGCCTTCAATAACATTGATATAGTCACATAACACTGTGTTCCTTGGCACAGAATGTATCTCCACATTGTTCACAAAATTACTTTTTCGTGGGACCATATGGATATTGACTAAACCATCCGGAGATTCGCCGTACAGAATCCTTTCTTGGGTATTCACCGCATGTCTCTGCAACCATGTCATACAATGTTTCAGTTAATTGTCATAAACGAACTACCCCTTTAGCAGAGATGGGAATATTTAGCGACAGCATGTTGTGCGAAGAGGAGATTGAGGATCTCATGAATAACACAATTTTCAATCAGAAGGAACTAGAATTGCTCTATGAGCGATTCAAAATGTTGGACAGGCAAGCAAATGGCTATCTTACCTACAGCGATATCATGCTCATACCAGAGTTCTGTGCTAACCCCTTTAACAACCGGATTATAAATGCGATGGAAAAAGTAATTGAGTACGAGAACATGACATTTCCTTTTTTCCTAGAGATCATGAGCATTTTTTCGCCCAAGTCCAACATACATCTTCGTATGAAATTTGTTTTTGGTGTGTTTGATCTGAACGAGGACGGAAGACTGTGCTCTGCAGTGCTATCTAAAATATATGAAATATTACATGGAAATGATTTCTCAAGAGAAGTGTGTGCCAGAGAGGTGAACGAGCTGCTTTTGTTTTATGACAGGAAGCATAAGGAATTCCTTGATTATAACGATTTTGTGAATTTCTACCTAGACAGCAACTTAGACAGAATGTTTGTAATGGATTTTGATAAAGATCTGATAGAGAAGAAGCCAATTTTTCCTTTTTTTAGAGGAAAGTGAAGAGACAAGCCACGTAGTGTGCAACATATAACTAAAAAAGATCTAGCCGCTGTATAAATTTTGACAGATGTCGATGCTGCGTGGCCATATCTACGCTGAATCAGCGAGGCTAGGAACATAAAATACAAATAATTCTATATTCTTTAATTTCTTGACCGGATTCCTGAGGTGCATCTATCGTTAGCACAGCATAATTATGAAGTATTACATCCAATATGCCTAGAAATATATGCATGATGGCTGAGTTAGTCCCATCTGAACGCGTTTCTAAATCATTCAGGATGCTGTCTCAGTTCGTTGAGTCAGCGTTTCTAAATCATTCAGGATACTGTCTCAGTTCGTTGAGTCAGCGTTTCTAAATCATTCAGGATACTGTCTCAGTTCATTGAGTCAGCGTTTCTAAATCATTCAGAATACTGTCTCAGTTCATTGAGTCAGCGTTTCTAAATCATTCAGGATACTGTCTCAGTTCGTTGAGTCAGCGTTTTTAAATCTTCCAATGATTTCTACACACTTATTTTTACAAAGACATTCAAGTAAAAATTGAGAAGATGGATATCAAAATGCTTCTGCAGTGCACACATAAGAGCTTGACGGATGTCCACTTGATGCAAAATCATTCACGGGTGTAGCACTGCTAAGCAATGTGATATGGGTAGGTATCGAAATAAATAGTACCGTTTTGTTAGTAGTCAGCCGTTTTGTTTTCATCACCGTTACCCATGCGAGCTTTGCGCTAGTGAACCTTGGTCTATCCACCACAGTTTATCCCATGTTTTACTCTTTCGCTACCTTCTTTTACCACTAACCGTTTACTTATCGTCTCACACTATAACATGGATGTAATATAGCGCGAAATTTTCGTCCACTTGCAACAGAAAGGTGAATAAGTAAACGATTGGTCGTGAAAAAAGTTGCTGTATGAGATGAAAAATAAACATGTTTTTAGCGGTAAATATGTACTTTCACATATTTGAAACGCTGTATTACAAGAAAATTGCTCAAGGCGGTTCAACAAATCTTTCTCTTAAAATAATTCACCAAAATTTTTATTCCCCATGGCAGGAACGAGCAACAAAAGAAGCGGTGCGAGAAACCACAAAAGAGGGCGATTTAATGAGAGAGGAGCAGACTCAAAAAAGATGGATCATGTTGGTGAAGCAAGTTCATGTGATGGCATGTCTACCAGGGTTGGAGCCGGTACTACGAAAAAGCGTAATACGAAAGAGTGCTACAAGGGTGGAGCGAGAACGAATGAGGTTGTGCGGTGCAAGAAGGGTTATGTCAGTAGATCGTGTAAAGAGAACGACATTCGAGGGAGTTGTCAGGAAAACGATGCACACGACGACTCGTACAGCGAATGCACGAAAAAGACCAAGAAATATACAGAATCTAAAAGTATGCAGAAAAGCAAGACGAATGAACTAATCGATCAGTGTAAAAAGGACTGGGAAATTTCCAGGAGAAAGAAGGTAGCGAAGAGTGAAAGGGAAGACGCTAACAAACGGATTGTTAAAATTTTGAAAGGACATTTTTACCAAGTGCTGAGAAAGCGGACGGGGTCAAAAATAGTGCAGACCCTTTTCAAATACGGTAATGCCACGTTGAAAGACCAAATTTTTGATGAAATCTACAGGTACATACCCGAACTATGCCAATGTTCATTCAGCATCTTTTTTTTGCAGAAATTGGTGGACTCGAAGTACCTTGGAAAAGTATTTGAAATGTTAAAGAAGGAACACCGAAAAATACTGACAAGTCGAGTTGGTGCATTCTATTTTGATGAGGTGTATCAAAGAATGAAAGTTGTCCAGAAGGGAGAAATGATAAAGGAGATCATGGGGAGCGAGGCTAAAATATTCTATGGTGGTAAACCGTTGGAAGACATACCAAAAGAGAAGTTCAATTTTGAAGCTATTCTGCAGAAAATGATGGACAAAGGCCTAACGAACTTGGAAATAATGCATGATTTGATTTACTATCACTTGATGCATTTTAATGATGCTGATGAGCGCAGGGTGTTTATGAAGGGGCTTTCATTGTTTTTTGTTGATCTGTTGCACACTCAAAGAGGAAAATCGATTGCTTTTGAACTGCTGAGGACGAGCGAGAACAAGAAAAAAATATTTAAGAAAACGGGAGAATACATCTCGAAAATGGTCGAAAACGCCTTTGTGCACGATGTTCTGCTAGAATTGATACAAAATGGAGATGACAAATACGTGCTAAGATACATACTGAAGCCGATAAAAACCGGCATGGACGTATTCCTGAACACAGATAATTTTGATCTATTTCTGTTAAAACTGATAGACGCACACAAGTTTGAAGTTTTGAAGAACAAGTTTATGAAAGCCTACAAAAAGAATGAGAAAGTGTATGCTCTAAGATACGAGAAAGTGGTTGGAAAATTAGGAGGCCCTGATCTCAAAGACAATGAAGGAACGTGCGCAGAGGCTTCATGATCAATATTTATATTTTGATTAAACCATTAATTTGCAGAAATTGCGTTGTTGGCGCGGTGTAACGAGTAATAGGTTTCTTCAAATTCGTACCGTTTTTTGCGCTTTTCATTTTCATGACACGTATTACGAAAATTTACCATGTTTTATCGACAAATGATCCGTAGGGCGTTCACAACATATTATCAAAACAATTCGTTAGAATGTGCTTTTTTCGTTTATAAACGAAAACGAGAGTGCTTGATTGCTGAGATTTTTCATCTGTAGATCAATATAGCACGTGGTAGCCTATCCTCAAGTAAATGCGATGGCGAGTACCACATCTGTAGATCAATATAGCACGTGGTAGCCTATCCTCAAGTAAATGCGATGGCGAGTACCACATCTGTGACTTTTAACAAGTTAATTGTACATTCAAACAGGAATAATACGACCTTGAGATGGGAAGCATGAAGCCCGACCCATCACAAAATGTGAGCGAGCTGTTTTATTATTTAGTCAAAATATTTCTTCCATCAGATACAACCCTAAACACTACCCCTTGGTTGAACAAAGTCATGTTCACGTTCTTTGCGTGATCTCACACATTTAAAGGAAGACTTTGCGCCGTTTTCATGACTTGATAACCACAGATCGAATGCATATGTTCCAACACCAATATCTGCATTTATTACATACTAAGAGCTTTTTACATTATCCATATTCATCAAAATATCAAACTTGCCGCTGATTATTTTCTTTTCATCATTTCATATTTTTTAATCTTTTGTTTGTTTTCTTTCATTTTTGTTTCGCGTTGAATGGATGAATTTCTCGGCAGATGTAAAAAGATAGAGGACAAAATAGACAAGCTTAGAGTGTACATCCACAAATTGAAAAGCATCTCAAATAAGAAGGCAAACTCCATCCTTTCAGACCATGAAGAAACCGAACTGGACAATAGGATTTCTGTCCTTAACAACCTGTTTAAAGAGAATTCTAAGCAGGTAAAGGAAAGGTTAAAGGCTATGCAAGAAGAAAACAACCAGCTAAACCCTGAGGACGAAGAATTCGAAGCCGATACGAGAAACAACAGGTGGCAGGTGCTGACTAATTATTTAGCCGAAACGATTGAATTATACCGAACTGAACAGCTCAACCACACAAAAGAGGAGAAGGAGCGACTAAAATCGCAGTTTCTTATTGCCAAGCCTGATGCCTCGGAGGAGGAGCTGCACGAATTAGTCAATTCTTCTGAGGGACACAAGCTGTTGGAGAAAGAGTTTAGACCAGGCGCCTGCTCATCGAAGGGTATCCTGAAGAAGGCTGGCGAGAGAAATAAAAATATCAAAAAAATCGTGGCCTCAATCAACGAATTGGTGTCACTCATCGACGAATTGCACGAAATGGTGATGAGCTCGCGCAAAATTGTTGATAACATTGAAATAGAAATCGACGTGACCAAGAAGACAGTGAAAGAAGCCAAAAAGGATCTTGAAAAGGCAAGAAACTACCAGAAAGCAGCTATGTACATTAAGTATGTTATTCTTTTCATTTTTGCACTTGGTATTTCATTTCTTATAATTGGTGCCATTCTTTTCGGGCTAGCCAAGCTCTTTTTTAGCAGCTGGCAGGATAAAAACAAGAATGACAATAAATTAAACAATACCAATGACAACAGCACACAGAACAACACCGCAGGTTAAAAAATATGCCAGAAGACGGCATATAATGGCCCTATCAGGTCCCTGATTATAAAAACTACAAATGTTTGGGTAAATTAAAAATTCATAATTCTCTAATTTCAGTCGTAACAATACAACAGCTTGTGCAATAGTGTGAGTTAACAGGTACTTGATTTGATATCGACGTATGGGCGAATAATTTGAGCGTTAGCATTCCCCGAAATAAGCCAGATATACAGTTATCTAACATGCTTTTCTTAACATCTCATCCCAAGGATTTGTTATAGTTCAATTGGCTTATCCGAAAAGGGACGATTGATAGCGATGCACAAATGCATCTTTGTCATTGAATGATCGCACTTGTTACCTATTCTAGGTAAAAAATGCATTTCTACATCGCTATGACATGTTGCTTGGTTGCAAATCGCATTCATGGTTAATTCTACCATAATTGCTTCTGTATGCTTGCTATGTCAATTTGGAAAGGATTCTGACAAGTAGAGATATAGTCTTTGACTGACATCTGAATTACTGCAATATTCACTAAACTTCGATTGTTAGCCAACAACTTGTTAGATATTGCACATGACGGCCGTTCAGTGGCTGTTGGACCGGATTTGTAACCACTCCACACCTACTCGTGAATATTTTTCTGGTTGTTAAGAAAGCCTTGCATAGAAAGACTCACTGTGCCATCTACACATTGGATTGCAGAAACATTAAAATACGAAATACTGGGCTGTTTACTCACATACAACACATCCGACCTCTTAAGACCTTCGTGCTCGGTTCAAGCACAGCAGAATAAGTTGGTTTATACTTTTAATTAATCGGCAATTTATTTAACAACAGCTTTTCTTTTTTTTCTTCTTTATTTGTATTATCTTCTTATTTTTCGCAGGTTCGGTTCTTGAAAGCGCCTCTTTGAACTCGGGATCCAGGGTCTTTCGTCTCCTATATACCGCTTTTATCAGCTCATCAAACGCCTTCTCAACATTGCTGCCGTCTAACGCAGAGGTCTCCAAAAAATTAAGGTTATTTGACTTAGCTGCATCATTCCCGCATGCCACGGTGACAGTCCTCTCGTCTTCCAAGTCTGTTTTATTACCAACCATCATTATCTCTATTTCCTCACCAGAATATTCCTTCAGCTGCGTGAGCCAGTGCTTGGTAGCGTTGCTTAATGTTGATTTTCGGGTAATATCGTAGACTATCAGGGCGCCCAGAGTGCCCCTGTAGTAGGCCGAGGTGATAGCTCTGTATCTTTCCTGTCCAGCTGTATCCCAGATCTGTGCTTTGATCACCAAATTATCGATTTTGAATGTTCTAGTCGCGAATTCCACACCAATAGTGGCCTTCGTCTCGGCTGAGAACTCTCCCCTTGTGAGCTGAGACAGCAAGTTGGTTTTTCCCACACCCGAGTCGCCAATCAGTACTATTTTAAAAAGGTAGTCGTAGCTCTCCATTTTAATCTCTGTCTCTTTGTTTTGAATTCTTTTTTAAGTTCTCGCAACTTTGTTTTAAAAGTGTTTCATCGTCGATTCACACGAGCAGAGCACTGCAGTGTAAAAATCGAGTGTCAGAATTTGCTCCAATGTCGCGCGATAGCGTTTTATCAAACAGCTTGGTGCAGATGAATTGGAGGTGCACTATTATCACAACTTTACGCGTTTGTGCAAATCCACACTAACCAAATACTGTACAGTAACACAATTCATATGTGAAAAGAAGTATTTTTATCAACCGTGCCGATCAAATTTGCCAAACAATCCCACCATGGCACAGATAAATAAACAACACGATGCATCATTAACTGATCCTATCAAGTTTACCTACGCTGTCGATGTCCCCTTAGTAACAGCTATAAATAACATTTTGTATAGAAAAGTGTGGATGACTTGTTCATCTCCACCGACACAACAAAATGCTGCTGATCCGCGCTTTCAATCGCCTTTTGGTAGCGGAGCGGACAAAAGTGCGGCCCATGTACATCTTTAACCAGAAACCGTTCGTCGAGTACTCCGGTATGAGAATGCAATAAATACATTTTAATTCCTTTATCTCATCAGGATGGGTACAAATAGGTATCTCTCAATCACATATTTTGCATCTACGCTTGCAAAGATCACCACTACACTCAAGGCACTCTATGTATGGCTTCGTATCAAAAAGAATGCTCGGCCGTAAACTTGCCTTGACCATGTTAAAAACTCATTTTTCGCCTATTAGCCTGGCGCTATACCCCACTCGTTCGTTACACCACTAAAAATCGCATGGACACAATAACATGGGCTTCACAAGCGCACATTTCCTCAACTGAAAATTACGCTGTGGGCGGCTGCAAAACAGCATTACAACATCCTGGGAGAGGATGATCACGAGGATTGAAACTTAAAAAAAAGCACGGAAATTAAGGGCAGTATGAGGTTATCGTTGCATGAGACGATATATTCCACAATTCCCATCATGAAATAGTAAAATACATAGTTAAAATTTCTAAATAAAAGGTAGTGCAAAACAATTGCGGAAAGAACACCAGAAAGCATGCCCTGCACACTTTTATCCTTCTTTTCGAGATATGTACCTATGATTGACGCCATGCTGTCAAGCATGAAGACCGTTATCAGCAACGCGATAAAATCCTCACACTTTTCAAGAAAATAGTACGGGTAGTACGTAGAGCAAAGAATCAAAACATTTGATACCGGAATATTTCCATGATCCTTGCTACTTGTGAAATGCTTGAACAACGCAGACCGCTTAAAATTCACGCTCAGAAAAACGTTGAGGAGAATGATTATATCCAGGTTGTAGCGCGTGAAGTAGTTCATGTTGGATATACACGGCAGCATGAAAAAGTGTATCGCCTTTCGTTTCCAGTTCTTGTTGCATCGGAAAATGCTTAGCTGCACGATGAAGAGCAGTATGATCATAATGATCCAGAAAACGAACAATTTGTAGTAGAATAAGAAATACAACAGGTAATCGATCAGCACCCTCGACACGTCAATCCTGAACATGGCAACTAGCTCAAATAGCTGTCCTATCATCCATTTGCCCTCCGGATTTATTATGTAGTAGTAGAAAACCGAGTTGAACAAGCTCTGATCCTCTATATTCTCACGGATGAAAGGGATACACAGGCTTATAAGTACGTTTTCCTTCGTGTTGAAGCTCTTTATGTTAACCATCAGGTAGTAATAGTATACCGCCGTTTCTACGAAGTGAAAATCACTCCAAAAGAAAATAATGTACGTGACCGATACATCGAAAAAATTTGGAAAAATTTTAAAAGGCATGGGGTAATAGTTTCTAGGAATGTTTAAAACGGGATTGGTGAACGAAAACACCATAAGGTAGAACTAAATCCTGAGGCGCAGATCCATGTAGTTTGGAATAGAGCGAACATCTTTTGTTCCTGCTGTGATACAAGGTGATCTTACTGTGAGAGTAGCGCTGTGTGGAACTCTTCTCAATTTAACAGGGTAGAGAGCTTTACGAAGACAAAATATTATTTTGCTGAATTGCTTCAAGATTCAAATGCTTAAAAATACCACAAAGTGTTTTTACTTCCCACTTTTTGTTTCTAAAATATATTTGTTTGCTAACACAATAGCAACAGTCGAACAAACACATTTTTCTGGTTTAGTGCTCTAAAAAAACGTGAAAAGCGTATTGGAACACGCTACCGTATCAGAAATTGTTTGCCGCATTCCGTGGTGTTCATGATGCACGTAAGTTGTACGTGCCAGCCCTGGTAGCTCAGTCGGTAGAGCATCAGACTTTTAATCTGAGGGTCTAGGGTTCGAGTCCCTATCGGGGCGATCTTTTGCTTCTCACTCTATTCGCGCAATTTTGATACGTCCTCAGCAAGTAATGACATTTTTTACCACCTCTCTGTTTGTTGACATGCTAATAATCATACACCAAGTATGCTCAGCTGGCAGAAGCCTAGAGCAGCTCTGTGAACCAAAACCCTGTGGCCACGGCTGGTCTCAACATGCCCTACTTTCTTATTTCGATGATATAGGAGATAAACAAACGTACTCTAACCCAAACAATAAAGAACATGCACCTTGTGTACATGCCCTACTTTCTTATTTCTCAAAACAAGGATCTCAAACTTACAAAAGTACCGGAGTGATTTAACATTTACGACAAAATTGGCGAATAAGGACCGTACTTCTTACACACACCACCAATAACAATTCGTTAAACTCAATTTTTAATTAAAGATCCTCCAATGTTTTATATTTTTTCTCCGGTACTATCTTGTTCTCAACGCCCACCACCACAAATCGCTTTGTCTTAGACAATGGCCTGACAAGTGCACAGTTCACAATGTCACCCACGTTCACAAGACCCTCAAAGCACGGTGGCAGATGCACGGCAAACTTCTTCTGTCTCCTCTCATATCTCTTATACTTCTTTACGTAGAAAAAGTACTTTTTTATGCAGATGATCGTTCGTATCTGCTTCATCTTCAGCACCTCAGCCTTGACGAATTTGCCGTATAGTCTTACGCTTCCTGTGAATGGGCAGTTCTTGTCGATATAGGTGCCGTTTATGGCGGTCTCAGGCACCGTGATGCCATACCCAACCTTCTTGAAGTACCTCTTCTTCTCAGTGTTTTTTGGGTTGTTGTATATCTGCGGCTGTTGCGGGTAGATCTTGAATTTTGTGAGTGTCTCGACCATTGGAAGGGTCTGCAAAAATTTTTAAAATTTTCATTTCTTCAAATCGTGTGCTCCCACGACTTGAAAAAAATATTTTTTTCACTAAAAGCGTACTTGGTCATCATCACTGCAAAAATAAACCATGGCAACATGTCACGTGGTGCACCTATAGATACTTTGTAACATTTTACCAAGCTCTGAAGCCACAATATAAATCTATATTAGCATACAAGTACAATCGATATTTTCGGTGTGTAATAAGGCTGTGAGTAAATACTGCACCAATAGAAAATAAATCAAAGACCTTCTAAAAAAGACTTCATCAGGTGATCGGCACCATTCCTCAAAAACTGAACAAACCGGATGATTTGTGAGAACTGTCCTTGCTTGTTGCGACCTAAGAATGTTCCTTCGTCCGATAGTATAATTTGATTACGGCCAACTTTACTCGCGGATCCCTAGGTCGAATGTTCACAAACACTCTTTCTATATTTCTACAGCCTATCATAATTAATTGAAAACTCTGCACAAACCTGATTTTTGCCGGTGCATAGCCTCTTTCCTTTTGTTTGAAAGTCAGTTTTGAATGTTTCTTTGGCATGCCGTTGATATTTTCTCGCTCCTAACACCTCTGAACTGCGAGAATACAACTTTTTACACGTGAGCAACGTATATTTCAAATAGAAGCGGTTTCACTATCGGGTTTGATGCAACATCGTTGTTATATTCTGTAATAATTTATCATTCTATTCGTGCCAAGCATGACCATGGTAAGCATGGGTGATTTACCGCACCGAATCAACCAAATCCATGCCTTCTCATCTCAACATGCTGTAGATTACCACATGTGATAACAATGATCAACCAAATCCATGCCTTCTCATCCCAACATGCTGTAAAACACATTTCAACGGCAAAATTTCTTCGTTTCAAACACCCAACAAAAAATATGCTTTTGTATAAAACATCCACAATAAACGATAAAAGTGTCAAAAATTTATTGCGTTCATCTTTTTGTCTAGAACTGTTGCATCCATTATCATTTTGATGATCAAAACAATCGCTTCTCATGCTCTTCATTGCAGAGCTTGTTTGCCCCGATATTTGCGTTTCATTCTGTCACCACAAACCCCGTATTACATGTAGCATACCCTTCTTTCTCTTCCCATGGCTACCTTCACAAAACGCGCTTCGCCTAAATTGTTCATCAAAATTTCTGAGGAGGCCTAATCACTTGAAAGCTGCGATAAATCTACGTTCACATAATTTACACGGCTACATGCTCAGTAAGCCCCTTCTTGTTCAACTCATTCGCCGTGCATGACCTAAACGATGCAGGGCTTGCTACAGGCCTAAGAAGTGCCGCTAAGATATTATCCATGAATTGGATGGGGTATAAAAACTGCGATCACCTCCGTTGCCGCAGAAAAATACTTTAGGCGGATTTCTGACCGTTTGGTGTAACACTTCCCGGTGGTGTGCGCTATTTGTTACTTTTGCGGTGAAATTACTGATGGCCACTCAAAATAAGGGTCCCTGCACTGATACGTGCACTGCCTCACATAACATAGTTATTGGTATGCTAAAAGGATTCGCTACTGCTTATTGATCTATTATACCGCGTAAAAGTGTGTTTCTATGTTTATTCCATGCTTGTTTTAGCTGTATCAGCCGACTGGTCCGCTTATTTACCTCATTTCGGCGTGTTTCACCGAATCTGTTACAGATCGGCCATAAATAAATTGTTTTAGCCCCGTGAGCAGAACCGATGCTCACACGATCATCCGCTTTCCTACACAAGGAATTCAAAAGAACGAAAGACAATCCATCCTTTTCCATAGGATTGGTGGAAGGCAGTATTTATACGTGGGAGGTGATAATACTTGGTCCTTCGAACACGTTGTATGAAAATGGAATATTCAAGGCGATAATGCAGTTTCCAGAGAATTACCCCGATTCACCGCCAAAATTTCGATTTGTCTCAGACATGTGGCATCCCAACATTGACAAGGACGGCAACGTGTGCATCTCTATTTTGCACGAGCCGGGCGACGATATGTACGAATACGAGTGCGTTGCCGAGCGATGGATGCCCGTAAGAAATCCTGAGAGTGTTATTCTCAGCATCGTTGCGCTTCTTAACTGGCCGAATTCGGACAGCCCAGCAAATCTGGATGCGGCACGAGAATTTAGAGAGGACAAGATTCTTTACGATAAGAAGGTGCTAAGACTGACACAAAAAACACTAGAATGAATAAAATAATTAACTATGGGGCCATCCTTTTTTCATCTTGGCGCATCATGCACATTCCGTTTATTTATGGTTTGGCTATGTATGCAGCTCGTACGTGGCTGCACTCACAAATAGAAAGGGCTGCGCATTCTTTTATTTTATACCAGAAGCGTGTTTATTTATCTCAAAGTTTTCTTTATCAGGAGCTTAAATCGCATCTACTGCGTGGTTCAACATTAACATGCAGCAACAATTTTAATAGAACCGGCCTGAAACCGTCGCATATAGCATATTTTATACTTTTTATCCAAATGGAACACGGATTGTGCTTAAATCCAGAAAATATTTGTAATCTCTGTAAACGAATGCAATGATCGGTCCACTGCTCTGTTTCACGTTTTGGCGTGCAACACTGGAAACACATCACGAAACGTTAATCATAGGGTCATAGCACACCATTTAACTTTTAAATCAGTTAAAAAACCAAAGATTGCGAACTGTACGATGAACATCTACATTCACTGATGGTGCAATCTCTGCTCAAAATTTAGTTCTCTCTCCATCGCTGAACCATCCAATTGGCACGCTTTTGAATCGTTTCATACGTTCCTTTCACATATGATATAAACGTTTTTTAGCTGTTGTTGTGCGGGGTGACAAACCACGCATTCCTGACAATGCCATGAGTGCTCGAGCAAAAATTACATGCTTACGCTTCCATCGACTTATCAGTTGGGTGCGGATCACTGTCCAGCCATTGCAAATCCTTGACCTTAACGTTCATGTAGTAGTACAACTTGGACGGTGCCACATTCCTGCATTCCTTGATACACCCCCTCGGTACCACCAGCCCGATCTCCTCCTGCAAGTACGCAATCACATCGCGGTTCTTTCTGCAAAAAAAATAGCAGTGCAGCTCGCTCTTTGCAAATACTTTCACGTGCTCGATGAAGTAAATGCTCAGCTCGGGCAGATTAAAGACAAAATGGTTTATCTCCCGGTTCACTAGGTTTGAAATTACGTCCTTGGCATCCTCGTTGTACACCTCGTAATTCGCTGCAATTCCATTAATCTTTACGATGTTCTTGAAGTATTCGATCGCTTTAGGGTTAATGTCGTTGGCAATGACATAACATCCCTTTTTGAGTGCTTGCGTGCTTATAGGGCCGATCCCGCAGAACAGATCGGCAACGACATCGTTTTTCCTGAACTTTGCCACTAACTGTTCACGCGCACCGCTCAGCTTGCTGTTAAAATAGACATCACAGATATTGAACTCGAATCGTATAGCGTTTTCTGTGTATACAACATCTTTCTTATCCTCGCCCAGCAATAATTCGTACTCAGTGGTCCTGTACGTTTCCTTCACAACGTCATTCTTCAAAAAAATCGTTTTACAGCTCTTCAGCTCAAAAAAATATTCTGCGATTTCCTTTTTGTACTTTCTCTGCTCGTTGCTGAGATTGAGGATCATTGTTCTGCCGAGAACCTCAAACGAACGAGGCAGCAAATCACGTAAGTATGTTTTGAAACAATCAGATGAATGATATGCGTTAATATCAGAGTATACGTGAGAATCACCATCAACCTGCTGCAACGCACCGTTTCCTTCCTCTTCCAAACACGAAGGTGCCTTTTTCACGTTTTCTCCGCTGAAGCGGTCTTCTCCGGTAAATTTAGCATCTCCAATTTTACCAGAAACAGTACAGAACTGATCAGAAGGTGAGCTGTTCATCTTCGTTCGCTTGATCGCTGTGCATTTATCCTCGCTGTTCATCTTCGTTCGCTTGATCGCTGTGCATTTATCCTCGCTGTTCAATCTCTCGTTATTTTCGGTGATTTGTTTTACACCCGTCTCTTCGTCTTTTTTACGCGACCATCCTTTTTCTTTGCATATCACACGATATTCTTCACTTCCAGGTTCCTCACACTCCCGCGTTTCTTCGCAAAAGCGGTCTTCAGCCAAGCCACGCTCACTATTCGCCCCGTGTTTGCTCGAACAATCGCACATTCTGCTGATAATATCTGCGCTGTCTACAAACCGTGCTTTATTTTCATTTTTCCTTTTTTCTAGCACTTTTAAAGAAAAGCGGTCAAAAGCCTCCTCAGCCTTGATAACCAGTGTTACACAAACACTTCCCTCCACATATTCACTGATGAGCAGGTACTTCCCGTTCTTTTTCTCCCCGCCATCAATCTCAACAGTAAACTCTCTGTACTCTTTCTCCATGTCTATTATTCTTGGCACACCTTTCTGTTTAAACATGATTTGCCCGTATTTGAGCATAGCACTTCCGATTTGCCCGGTTTCGAGGTAAACAGCAAATAATTTGTGCATGGGGTGCAGCACCGGCACAACTTTTTTACCGTGTTCAAAGTGGTGAGAGGGCATAAAATTCGCATCTGGTACTCCTCACGTATATGCTATGTCCCATTTGCGATGGAACACTCTTTCAGATATAGCGTGCTTAGTAATTGCAATTTCCGCCCATCTTTTGCCCAGGATCGGATAGAAGCGATATAAATCGTTGGTATGCCTTCTCATTCACATATGCGCTAAAACTCGTCTGCTTATCAGCAGTGTGCCATCTCGTTAAGTACGCTATGCATTTTATCGTTAAAAAAGTATTTTTTTATTTTCATGCGCTGTTCCGTACACTTCACTTACCTGTCCCTGCAGAGAATGCCTTGTAATATCACACAAATGGTACGAGGAAAATTAGCGTAAGATTCTTGTTCATTGGCTAAGGATGCTGTGCGATATTAGGAAGGACCAGCATGTGCAATGCATATATCACCGATCAAGCACGTGAACTGCTACGTATCCACTACCGATCAAGCACGTGCACGTGTTGCAGGTCATCCTCTGTTTTGATGGCACAGTAAATGAGAAAATCATTTTTTTAATTTTATCCCATCAAACATGCACGACTACGATTTCCTCTTCAAAACCATCCTCATAGGGAACAGCGGCGTGGGCAAGACAAGCATTATAAACCGTTACGTGGACGAAACATACACGAAGAACTACATAAGCACGATAGGTGTGGACTTTAAGATCAAGACAATTGTGCGGCACGGAAAGACGGTCAAGCTGCAGATATGGGACACGGCAGGACAGGAACGGTTCCGCACGATAACAAGCTCGTACTATAGAGGAGCACACTGCATCATCGTAGTGTTTGATGTTACAGAGGAGGAGTCGTTCAGCGACGTAGCATCATGGATAGCTGAGGTCGAAAAGCACAAGGTAAACGACACACTGATAGTCCTTTTGGGCAACAAGATCGATGACAAGGAGAACATAGCGGTGAAGGACGGTGACGTGATGAAGATGATCGAAATGCATCGCTTGGACAAGTCCCTGTTCAAATACATAAGTGCAAAAGAGAACACCGATATTATGGCCGTGTTCGAGAGCATTGTTGACAAACTCATCGAAAGACATAAAATGGATGATGCGGAGAACGAGAACGAGTTTGCCGATATTAAAATACAGGAGAGAAAGCGAAGATGCTGTTGATAAATTTCTATTTTATTGGTCTTTGGCAGTTCGTGTGTCTTTAGTGAGTTCTGGGAAATACGTAATAACGGTACAGGTTCATCTCTAAGCCGAAGCATAGCACGCGTGTTATCTTGGGAGGTATTTTAGCTGGGGATAGGGCAGCTTCTGGCCATCATTTGAAGAGCCCTTTACACTTCGGCGTGGCATTGGTACAATAACTGGTGCGTAGTTTTCTTCGTGAGAATGTTGCATCGATAGAATGTAGGCGTGGCATTGGTACAATAACTGGTGCGTAGTTTTCTCCGTGAGAATGTTGCATCGATAGAAATGTAGGCGTGCCAGAACCGTTCAAAAGACCGGTTCAGCACCGCCTAATAATATTTGCTGTAAATTCTTTTTTATGATGAGCCTAACACTTCACCGCTCTTCCCGTATGGCGCAGCTTATGCGCCTTTGCAGCGAGAAGCATCTCAGATATCGCATTTTTACCTGCCATCCAGCGCTGTTAGCAGTGAACCTGTCGGTCAACGCTAATTAAACCATTTGTTCATCCGAAAGAATTGTTTTGATGCATTAATACGTGTTAAAGAGCTGGGCTCGGTGATCCGTACCCCCGTTTTACCTAGGTCAGGAAGCATTCGGTCAAAATTATTTTTTGCAAACACCTGAACCGGTAAGCGATCTACTGCTGGTCTAAGAAGATGCTTGTCCTGATACGAAAGAATAACAGTATCAACGAAGTACCCGCACCCTTCAAATGCTCACTAGCTCTATTTTACTTAGAATACCTATCAAACATGGCGATTAACTCTTTATCTCTGGCGAACAGCACGTTTTTCTTGTCTTCCCTCCTCAGCATGCATTTGATTTCGTCATACTTGCCGGTGATCTCGAGAATGGCGCCCAACTGTTTCAAAAGCCTGGCCGACTTGTTGATTTTGTAGGCTCTTGTGTAAAAATAGACGGATTCCTCGTATTTCTCTTTCTCTGTGTAGAAATTTCCCACGTTGATGAGTGTTTCATAGTTGTTGCTGTCAATGGAGAGTATTCGTAGAAAATACGAAATACCGTTGCCATGAATGGCCGTTTCAAGGCATCCCACCATGTGCAGCAGTGTTATGTTGTACGGAGAGTGATCCAGTGCTTGTTTGAGCAACGAAAGTGCTTTTTCGTATTGTTTATTTCGTATTCGATGAATTGCTTCAAGCTTGAGCGGCGTGTACGTCTTATACGCCCGGTATGAAAGTGTGTAATAGTACGTATTGTTGGTGAGCTCTGCGAGCAGATTGTACGTATTCACGAGATCAAATACGTCGGTTGCGTTGCTCTTCATGCATCCGTCTAGTTCTGCCAAGCCGTCAGCAGCATTGCGTGTTACGCTATCGGTTGGTATTGTCTGTTCGTTTGCGCCCGTATCACCCGTTTGCACGGTACTCTCCTTCATTGCTTCTGCGTCACACACATTCATACGTTTACCAAACACTTTTATCTCCATTTTTTCTTTCATACCCTGCAATTCCTTTATCATTTCCTGTTCCTTTCCCATTCCCAGGTAACATTTCGCCATCTTTTCATGTCTACCCAGGCAGGCAAAAATCTGCAAGGCGCTTTCAAAAAAATATTTCTTGAAAAGATTGTTGCCCAACACCTGTGCGTACTCAAAACCAAATATCAAGGGTGCCTCAAAACAGAACGATCTGACGAAGCACGGCTCATTGGTCTCGTCATAAAGGACATTCTTGTAGTGACTTAACACGTAGTCCTTCATGTCGTGGTCTTCATTTCTGTTGAAGAGGAGTCTGTCGAGGTATGCGCGTGCATACTCCAAGCACTCAGGTCCCTGCGACTTCAGAAGCAGCCGTATGATCGTTAAGAGCAAGTACTGCTCGTTCACGCAGAGTGAGAACACCTTGTAATCCTTAAATACATGGTCTCGTGTCTCAAACTTGTAAAGTTTTCTTTTCCCGTGGCTTCTCATGCGTGGTTTACCCGTATTTACAGGGCGTTCCGCTTTCTGATGCTCTGATTCACATCCGCTCACGCAATTCATCCCAAGCCCATGTACACCATCACTGTGCATGTTCATGATCCTTTTGTCCGTGATCGGCACAGCTTTGCCGTTCTCCTCTGTTTCGTGTATCCCGTTGCGTTCCATCGTTCCCGAGATGATCGTTTCTTGGTGCACAATCGCACTGCTTCTCGTTTCATTCTCCTCATTTTTTTGCTCTAGCCCTGCATGTTCCGCACCTGTTCTGTCCTGTACCTCTCCTTTGCTCCGCTCATCACCCACCACCTCAACGTTGCCACCGCACACTTCAACCGTATTGTCCCCTCCTCGTTGTGTGCAACCGCTGTGACACGTCACATCCAGCACGTATGTCACGTTCTCAATGCAGTTGTGTTGCTTAAACACCGCCTCCGCACCAATCACGTCCAACGAAACGCCGATCATCCGCTTGTACTTCTCCAAACACTCTTCGGCCGCGTTCAACATGTTCAGTTCAATGAGGATGTTAGCTTTCTCAAGCAGATTCTCCACCTTGCCGATATTTTCTATGATCAAGTTCTTGTACCTCTCGTTCTCGACCGAGCACTTGTAAAGAATGAACAAATGCCTGATGAAATCAACGCCATCGCAGTTCACTTCCTCCAGTAAATCGGCGCGTATTATACCAGGCCTATAAACCGGATTATTTTGCTGTTTGATGCCTTTAAAGTTCTCAAGGATGAATTTGTTCAATGTGCCCATCTCGCAGTTAAAGGGTGTAGCGGAGCACGCAATAAAAAGAATCTTCTAACCAACGGTGTGACGTGCGCCTACGGCATAGAAGCGAATTTTTATGCTCTGTGCGTACACGTACTACAGAACAGTTTATCGCACGTACCTACTTCCTCCTCTTCACGACAAAACGCCTCTCCTTCGTATTTACATTTCAACATGCCATGAAAATGCAGCATGCGCTCCTCTTTCAGGTACGCCCGCTGCACAATACCGTATGCAATTGCCAGGTACCTCGTATTTAGCCATGTACACGGTTTGTTAGGAATACTTCTCTCCATCCCAGCATTAAATCAAGTACCTCGTATTTAGCCATGTACACGGTTTGTTAGGAATACTTCTCTCCATCCCAGCATTACATCGTACTCTTCCCGAGCAAACGTGGTAATCAATAGGTGCACGTTTGCTAACTCCCATACCAATCGCACGAGCACCGTTCTTTGGTGCCTTCCAACACAAAATTAGATTTGCAGCTGGTCGATTGTTTGTGGTAACGAACAAAAATCGGGTACATTGCTGCTCACGTCACGTAAATTATTTTGAAGTATTCTATCACAGAAGAATGCGTTACATTGTTTTTTACCCAATATACGTTTATTTATCGCATTTTGTTGCTTACCTCTCGTTTTGATATGCGAAGTAGCTCTTTTTGTTACTTGGTGGTGCGGTGTATTTGATCGTATATAGCAGTTGGCATAGCGTAAGAGCACAAACACTGCTTACACTGCGATTGCCGCGTTCTTCAACCCCGGATCACAGAGAAACCGTGGTAAAGGACCGTTTTATGATTGCCGCGTTCTTCAACCCAGGATCACAGACAAACCGTGGTAAAGGACCGTTTTATGATTGCCGCGTTCTTCAACCCAGGATCACAGACAAACCGTGGTAAAGGACCGTTTTATGATTGCCGCGTTCTTCAACCCCGGATCACACATTTTCCATCCGTGCCCATGCATTGATAAATGCACTTCCTTTACAAATCCACGATCAATGCGTTTCATGCACAAACAAAAACAAAGTGAGCATTCGCATAAACACGACCAGAGGAAACGTGCGCACATCAAAGAGAAGGAACAAATGAACATGCGCCTAAAGAAATCATACTTTGATACCGAGTCTTCCGAGGTGTACTACCTGAGCGAGAAGCTGGGCAAGATCGAGCGCAACACGCATGTATGCATACGGCAGTTTGTGGGAAGAATGCCTTTTACCCAGTTCATCAAATTGACGTACAGCTACTACACGTGCCCGTTGCGTGTGTACTTGTTCACTAAGATGAACAAAATCCTGACCATGGTGCTGTTCATCACGGTGTTCTCCATCATTCTCAACTACCTGCAGAACTTCAACAAGAAGGTGTTCAGGGTGGTGCTTGTATCCCGGTGGATGGCGGTGCTCATCGCAGTTATGCTGGTGTACCAGACCGTGTTCTTCGTGGGCGCTGTACGCCATCGTTACAAGGGGTACCTCATTTTCAAGTACGTGTACCGCTTTCAGCCACAGGTTAAATTCGCACGCATCCTCCGATGCATAAAAGCGGTGTTTAGCCGGCACTATGACGTTAAAATAACGAGAAAGCGCATAAAACGCATAATTTCGTTCGAGGACGATCTCTACGCACACCTCGTGCGCAAAGAGACAGTCACAAATGTGTTCTACACCACGCTCCTTGAGCGGCTTGTACGGTACCTCTTTCCGCTGGACCAGAACACGATCACACGCACCGAGCACACCCACATGAAGAGAAAGAATTATCTCGTGATCGCAGGCCTTGTGCTGTGCTCGCCCATTCTATGTACGCTGCTGCTCATCTCACGCACCGTTGATATGATCAGTACGGGCAGCAGTCTCGCACACGTTCTCGCTTACGACTACTCTCCGCTGAGCATCGTGCGTCTGAGGCGGTACGGCGTGCTACCGCACGTGTACAAGGCCGCGGTACACCGCAGCTACAAACACGCGCTACGCATGCTACGCACGAACGAGCACGGCATTGCGCGCGTTCTCATGAAATGTGTGCTGATTGTGTGCTCCACCACCATCTTCGTGCTTGTGCTCGTGCTCCTCAAAATGTTTGTGTACCAGAGAGGCCTCCTCAACCTTGAGCTCATCCAATACCGTCTTGAACTGCAGATCACCCGCCACACCACCCTTGTCCTCAGGCTCATCGATATCATTTACATCATAGGCTTCCTATTCTACATCAAGAACAGCATTAATGTGTGTACCGATAGAACGTACAGCACCAAGAGGTCGTTTAAGAAATGGACAAACGCTCTCAAGACCAGCGCGTATCGATACAACAGATCATCACATGTTCTCATCCGTGCCATGATGAAGCGTAGGATCGTGATGGTGCTTCGTGAGTGCGCAGCGCCCTTTGTGGCACCCTGGCAATTGTTGCGTATTAACGCACGTATTGAAGATTTTTATGAGCGGGCAAGACGGTCCTTCGTATTCAGACGTACCACATTTTGAGAACATTGCGGTATGACGGCAATAGAGCGGGAACAAGGCAAAGAATGTGCGATAAGAAGTACGGTAATTGTAAAGTGGTGTGATAACGTGCAACATGCAAATACCGGTGCCGTAGGAGATGTTCTGCGGTAACACTCCTGGTAGGAATTATCAGTTACTGCTATCGCTGTCTTTATTATTTTCATTGCCACCAATACGTATTGTCTTTGGTATAGCCACACAATGCTTCTTCAACCACCACATACACAGCCCTACGTTTGTTACACACCCTGTTCATAAAAAATGCATATTTACTCTACCCCCCCATGAAAAATCGTATCGCGTATTTCTACGATTCAAACATCGGAAACTACCACTACTCAGAGGGGCACCCTATGAAGCCGCACAGGGTGCGCATGACGCATTCTCTGCTCGTGAACTACTCGCTGTACAAGCACATGAACGTGTACAAGCCTACGATGGCAAGCTTTGAGAATTTGACAAATTTTCATTCGATTGACTACATAAACTTCTTACAGAGCGTGAGTCAGTCCAATATGGATGATATGATCAAGGACCTGCAGAAATTCAATGTGGGCGATGACTGCCCCATCTTCAGGGGGCTGTACGACTACTGCCGGTCGACCGCTGGTTCATCGCTGTGTGCAACATACAAGCTGAACACGAGAGAGGCTGACATTGCGATCAACTGGTCAGGTGGGCTGCATCACGCGAAACGAGGCGAGGCGAGTGGTTTCTGCTATGTGAACGACATCGTGCTGGGCATACTCGAGCTGCTCAAGTACAACGAGCGCGTAATGTACATTGATATCGACTGCCACCACGGTGACGGTGTCGAAGAGGCGTTCTATACCACAGACCGTGTGATGACGGTCTCGTTCCACAAGTACGGCGAATACTTCCCAGGCACCGGTGCACTCAAGGACACGGGGCTGCTCAGAGGCAAGAACTACGCGATCAACGTGCCGTTGAGGGACGGTATTGATGATTTTTCGTACCAAAGCATCTTCGGGCCCATCGTATCTCGAGCGGTTGAGATGTTCAGGCCGTCTGCCATCGTCCTGCAGTGCGGTGCGGACTCACTTGCAGGAGACCGTCTGGGCTGTTTCAATCTCACGAGCAAAGGACATGCGGAATGCGTGCGATACGTCAAGAACCTGCAGATACCTCTGCTTGTACTTGGTGGCGGTGGATATACCATAAAGAATGTATCACGTACGTGGACGTACGAGACAGCCATAATATGTGATGTACAGATAGCTGAGGACCTGCCGTACAACGAGTACATGGAGCACTTTGGGCCGGAATACAAGATACACGTATTGCCCAGCAATATGGAGAATCACAACACTGCAGATTTCTTGCAATCGATTGTACAAACGGTTTATGAGAACCTGAGGAATGTTACGGCCTGTCCGAGTGTGCAGATGATGGACATTCCTGATTCGTTTGTAACGATGGAGGATGAGGACGTGATATGGTCCAAGTTTAAGGACGAGTATTTCATTAAGAGTGAGGAGAGTGCGAATGAGGAGGAAGTAGCGGTTGAGGGGTAGGATGGTACGATGTGGTTAATGATGTGGTTTATTGGGTGGGATGTGTGGGGTGAAGAGTGCGCTTGGATGGTGGGTGAAGAGTGCGCTTGGATGGTGCGGGATGATGATATCTGCTATCGTAGGGTAAGGCTGAGAAGTGTAAGAACTATAAATGATTAAAAAACGGATTGCTATGAATGATTTTGCGCTGTTGAACGGAGCGTATCCGTAAAATAGGCCGGTGTACCAATTGCAAGGTACCCACTAGTTCACCGTACGAATGCTCACTGATCCGCCTTAACACCCTTTCTATCAAAATTACGTTTATTACCCTTCTGTGCCAGCACCGAACAGTGTATTCTCATCTTTTCTTCAACAGCTTTATTTACTTCTACACCACCTTCACACGTACAGCGCAGTCCCCAATTACCATGCATCAATCCACCCCATACCAATTCAACCGAGTAAGCACATTTAAAGGTTACACAGCGGTACATGATCAGGCTTAGCCACCATGTTAAGTATCAACAAATTCTATTTTTAATAATAAATTTATTTATCGTACTTCCATGCTGATAGGTTCATTCAGATTGATCGCTGCGCATGCCACGTATTCTACAGTACATGCACTTCTACGAATAGCTACTCAAACTTCAAAATCACATATTTCTACGGAAGCGCAAACTAAAAAATATATTCAACCTAAAGCAACACGTGCTTCCTCCGTTCTGATGTACGATCAATTACCTACAATATTTACAACAGATCATCTTTCAAGCCATTCTTCGTTTGCATGTACTGTTCTATCCCTGTTTATTTTATGCTACGGTGTATCAAACTGCTGTACTGATCGTTCACCTACGGAGGGCTACACAATGTTTTACAACTATTTTCTTGATCAAGAACCGTAATAATCTATCAAAGTGGCACTACAACACGTATTTTACCTTGTATCACCACTTTGATAGATTATTACGGTGTGTTATAGCAATTCGTGCTTATTACATAGTTACCATTATTTTAATCTTTCCACGTATAGCGCTTTTCTTACTACCACAACCCAATATCAATTCTCTCCTTTCTCAATATTATCTTTCTTTACCCTCCAACCACCTGTAACTCTTGCGTAATTGTTTCTCCTCTTTATTTCTCGTCATCAATTCGTTAGTGCATCGTATCAAAACTTCTTGTCATTTAAAATTATACCTGTTGTACCTCGATCAAATCCTGAACAGGTATCTTTTCCTATTCGCAACCATTTCCATTATTTTTATACGCACCCCAGATTTATCATTCATACAGCGCTCTGCTCCCATATCAGGCATGTCTTACCCATCTATTCATATATACTACCTGTCCATACTAGTCTATATGATGTACCGTACCGTTTTTATCCTGTACTTTGTCTTATTCCTTGTCTTATTCCTTGTCTTATTCCTTGTCTTATTCCTTGTCTTATTCCTTGTCTTGTACCTTGTCTTATTCCTTGTCTTATTCCTTGTCTTATTCCTTGTCTTGTACCTTGTCTTATTCCTTGTCTTATTCCTTGTCTTATTCCTTGTCTTGTACCTTGTCTTATTTCTACTCCATTCTTATTTCTACTCCATTCTTATTTCTACTCCATTCTTATTCCTACCCTATTATTTCTACTCCATTCTTATTTCTACTCCCATTCCCTTACTTTATTCCCTCTATTACCCCCCAATTCTCCATACTACCCCCCCATACACCGCATTCATTACCGTGCTCTAATTCACATCTCTGTTCCACTCATCAACCTTCTCAGTCTATCAAATCGTACAAAATATTGATCGGCTTCTTACACAGCGGGCATATATCATCGATATTAAACCACTCATCAATACAGTTGAGATGAAAGTGGTGATTGCACGGAAGTATTTTTATCTTATCATTCACGTTGTACTCCGCAAGACAGATCGAACAGTTAGCGTTTTCCTTGTTTATCTCACCGGTGTTCTTGTACTCGATCACGGGCAGGTTGGGCTTGAAGTACGCAATGATGAAGATGAGCAGAACGATCGCAATGAGCGGTGAAACTACCACAAATATGCCGAGGTATGACCACGTAAGTGTGGTATAGTACAGGAGCGGTGCACTGATCTTGCATGTCTTGCACTCCTGTGTCCAATGAAAGCCGGTAAGGCACCAAAACAGGGAGAACGCATCAACGAAGTTGCTGAAAAGACTGAGTTCGTTGTTATCCTGGATATCAGGCAGCCTCGCCACCCTAAAATACTCCCGGTGCCGCAGGAAGAACAGTATGAGCTGCACGAGTACGAGCACGTTGTACACGCTGATAAACAGCTTGAAAGGTGCCTTGCTGTGCTGGTTCATCGTTACAACAAGAACGCTCGTGTTGAAAATAACCTGTAACGACTTGAAAATGAGTACGACGACCACGAACCATTTTATGCATTGCAGAGCGCTAAGGCGCTCCATAAAGCGTGTGATACGCTGCGTTTGAGATCTTTGCAGTGGGCTGTCCATCCTTGGTACGTGCTGTGTTTGTTTACCCTTTTTTTATTTTTTTTATTTTTAATTGATGTGCCGTCATTGGTGTGCTCTAAAACGTGGTGATTGATCAATGAGAAACGGAGGGGTAAGCAGATCGGCGATGGGCATTTGGCAGATATGGTTGGCACGGTCTATGGCAGAGCTGCTTGTGTAGCGGAGAGTTGTTCTGTCCATGAAGAAGTACGGTTTTAGCGTATCATTGTGAAATCTTTCCGTGTGGTTGAATTGCTTTGCCGCCGTGCATTACGAGATGCAATCGGTGCGCCGCTGATAAGCACGATACGGTAGAAGTGTTATGCATCGCAGTGAATTAACATGTACGCAATAATTCGCATAAATGGCATAAAAATGTAAATATGGCAATAAACTGCACCATTACGAATAATTGACTTCTTTCGAACATTTCATTGCATAAAGAGTAAATTAATGCATTTCTCCAAAAATATAGCTAAGTATATCGCAAAGCGCTTCTCACCGCTTCGAACTTGTCACGTCCCTTTCACGCATAATCATCCAACCAGATAAGAACCCTTTAAATGGTAGAAAGACTAAATAAAGTTTTTAGACCACGATGACACGATCGTGAAAGGAGAAAAGCACTTCACGCATGATCGTGATCTCTTACATCACGTTTAGCACCGTAGCAATCAATCGTTCATCCGTGCCCAACCATGGTAAACTGTTTATGCACCGTGCTTACACCTGCCTTATTTTATGCGAACTTTATTGCCGTGTGCACCGTGCATAATCAGCAAAAAGCTACCAATTTTGTTTTAAGACACGGTCTTAAACGGAAGAGGTGTAAGCATTGGTAGTTGTTCAGTACACGGTGGAAAGGTGCTCGTGAGTGCTGTAGAAGGATATTTTATTTAATGCTGACATGAAGAATTTTAAAATTTACAGCGTACGATTACGATCACAGATACAAAACATGCACCGTTATTGTGGTACACGTTTTGGTGCTGCATCACGGGGAGAGCGGTTCAAACGTACTGCCGTGGCGTGCGTACACTTGGCGAGTTAGAACGGTATTAGAGACTGTTCTTAGAAGTACTGCCGTAATGATTTATGAAAAATAGCACTTATGGATCATGTTGGAGGATTATTTACGCTGTTCGGTGCACTACGGTGTAAAACACTGTTCAGCCCTGTGATGAAGGCACCACGGTGTAAAACACTGTTCAGCCCTGTGTAGACGGCACCACGGTGTAAAACACTGTTCAGCCCTGTGTAGACGGCACCACGGTGTAAAACACTGTTCAGCCCTGTGATGAAGGCACTATCATCTAAAATCATTCTATCCTCTCATGCCAACACGTATGCATCTGAACCACCCCCCAGGTACTAAACTGCTGTGCGATGGGGGTGCCCTTAAAATGAAGAATTGGACACTCGATGACTTCGAACTAGGTGCACCGTTAGGTGCTGGTCAGTTTGGACAGGTATGGCTGGTACGTGAAAAAGTGCGCAACTATCTTCTAGCACTGAAAATAATTCCTAAGTCAATCGTTGAAAAGACGGACAGCTACCGGCAACTGAGAAGAGAATTGGAAATACACACGAAACTACGCTCGCCATACATACTACGGTGCTACGGACACTTCCACGACAAAAACAACATTTATTTGGTCCTGGAGTACGCGAACAACGGTGAACTATTCCACCATTTGGTGGAGAAGGGCAAATTTGACGAGAAAACGGCTGCAAATTACGTATACCAGGTGTTGCACGCTGTGAGAACGATGCATTTGCAGAAAGTGATTCACAGGGATCTTAAACCGGAGAACATACTCATAGGATGCGACAACAAACTACGAATAGCAGATTTTGGATGGTCGGTGTGCAACATAGACCAGAAAAGAGGTACGTTTTGTGGTACACAGGAGTACCTGTGCCCAGAGATAATTAACAAGAACCAGTACAGCGACAAGGTGGACATGTGGTGCATCGGTATTCTTACATACGAGTTGTTGGTGGGGAACACACCGTTTGAGGCACCCGATAGGACAACCCGGGACGCGTACAGAAAGATTAGAAACCTGGAGTACGATCTGCCAAAGTTTCTCAGCGAAAGTGCGCGGCGGTTCATCGAGAGACTGCTGGTTGTTGAGAGTGAAAAACGGCCGGATGTGAACGAAATGCTGAATGATCCATGGATTACAGGGAATATATGCGTAAACGGTGCATAAGGAGGAGTGCTGCGGAGAGTGTATTATTAAAGGTTACGTGGTTATGTTCGCGCGGTACTCCCTGCTAAGTTGTGTTAAGCGCTATCCCTTGTACCAGAAATGCGTTTGATTGATTTATTCATCTTTTTCGCCCAAAATCAATTTTCCACTTCGTACAGCACCTAAGCGTAGCGCTCTGCCGGTATTTAATTCTCATTCGTTTACCACAGGCCCTAACCTCAAATTCTCGCCACCGCGTTGTTTGAGCATACAGCGCAGCGGTTCGTACCAAAACAGAGATAATAATACGATGCGAAGGTTTTTCGCTTCTGTAACACAAAGATGGTCGATCAAATGCCCTGTCTTTCGCTTAAATCAGCAGCCCTGTGCACAACACCGGAAACAAACGTGGTAACACCATGTTTGTATTCCCAGCAGGCAACACTTTACGCACGACCACGCGCAAACAAAACCGGCCTTCCCACTTTTCATATTAAGTGATTTAATTACAACAAAAGCCGATCATCTCAGTACTCCTCTTTCGCGTCCCTCCGCTCCTTGAGCAGCTCGGCGACCGTCTTTTTGAGCATGTCATAGTTCCCCTTCAGCACCGTATTCTCTCTCCTCACTTTTTCCATCTTCCTGCAGAACATGCGCACTTCATCTTGGTACACCACCTTCAGCTTGTCAACCAGCTCAAGACCGTTCTCTATCACGCCACGGTCGGTGTCCCTCAGCTTTTTCTCACACTCCAAGAAATTAACGCGCTGCTCCAGCGCACTTATATTCTGGTTCTTCATTTTGATGAGCGCCTTTATCTCGCAAATGATCGCTTTCAGATGTGCGTTCTCCTCTCTAAGCGTCTCATTCCGCAGCTTTTCGTGCGCAATAACGCTCAGTACCTTCTTCTCGTCCTCATGAGCAAAGTGTCGCTCGGTGCCCACCAGGCCTGTGCTGTACTCGTTCGCTTTATCCTTGTACCCACCGTCATTTTCGTTGCTCGTGCTCTCCCTGTAGTCCCCCATGTCTTGTGCCCCGTTCTCATTGCTCGTGCCCTGCTGTGCACCATCCGAGCGGCAGTGCTCACTTCTTCCCTCGCTCAGCCTCAGCAAAACTTCACTTGCCTCACACTGCGTGATCAGCCCACCGTCATCATACGCATCCTCCTGCACGTAGTCGTTCTCTTTTTTCATGTGCTCCTTTATTTGCACGGTTTTATTTGTTTGCTCCTTTAAATTTTGAGCGCCCTGTTCTCCTTTTTGGCCTTGATCTGCACACACGAAATCACCTGAACACAAAATTGGCCTCATAAACGTGTCGTGTCCGTTCAACTCGTGCGTCATAAGTGACTGCCCGTCAGTGCCTGTCACATCGTGTGATTGTTCCTGAGTGTCAACCGCCTTGCACCCAATCAAAGCACCATTTTCACCCGAAAATGGAATTTCTCTCTTTTCAACCATCACGTGCACCGGGCCATTTAATTGCTCCTTTTGACCACATGGAACGGTCCTATCGGTGGCACACTGTGATTGAGTTAATGTGTGTGACTGGATTGATCGGTTGATGTGATCAATCTCAGCCCTGGAAAAAGCAGAGTTACAGCCCGGCAGTGCCTGGTCACTCCACAAGCAGTCAGATGTGCTGATTAAAGTACCGTTTCCTGTTTGGTTCACCACTGCCCTGGTCGTAACCGGTGTGTCCATCTCTACTCCCGCGTTCTGCGGGGTGTACGCATTTGGTAGTTCCGCTTTTATTCCTCCTTTAGACGAATCGTCCATGTCCTGTTCAGTAACCGCGTTCAAGTCCATTTCCCTCCGCAATACCCCGTCTGCCGCGGTACCACTCATCAAACTGTTCTTTTCATATTTCGCAACGCTACCGGTCGCCAAGCAATCCTTCTTTACTCCCTCATCCACACCGTACGTGACAATGCCATGCATCTCGTTTCGTTCTACTCCCTCATCCACACCGTACGTTACACACTCATCAGTACCGCTCATACGTTCGTTAACACCATTTTTCCCACCATCAACCGCATCATCTCCTTTCGATCCATCACCACCCACACACAACGAATCACATTTCTTACCACCACTCCCATTATCATCAACCATGCTATCGGCAAATAAACTTGTATTTCTCCTGATGGTAATCTTTTTGATTTTTCTTAGTTTTCTTCTTTTTGAGGACATTGCGATTCAAGGGTTCGCGTAAAAAATGTTTGGGAAGGACGAGCCGGTTTTTTAGGGTTGGTGTTATGAGCGGTAACTTAGAAGAGATAGGGTTAGAAGGTAAGATTTAGAGGGTAAAGAGAAGTTAGGTTAGAGGGTAAAGAGAAGGGTTAGAGGGTAAAGAGAGGTTAGGTTAGAGGGTAAAGAGAAGAGTTAGAGGGTAAAAGAAAAAGTGCAGCATAAAACCAATTAAAACCGAGTAAATACATCGTAGGGTAGAAATACGTAGAACATAATGAATCGGTGATGCAGGTGTTAATAATCCATTAGAATACGAACAAGAGTATGAGACGGGACGAAAAGAAAATGGTACTAAGAGTTGTGCCGGGGATAGGACGTAATTATGGAAAAGTGGTTTACGTAAAGTATTGTGCATCAGGGCTGCTTCTCATGTGTTTAAAAGGGTTAGAGGGTTACCTGTTCAATACGTGGCATTTTAAAAATATTACCGGGTCCAAGGTGCACTAACAGATATTTTAAAGCGCTCCTATGTTGTTGAGGCATCTTCCTGATTTTACGTGCGAATCAAATCGCATATTTGGAGGAATTGCGTAAACGAACGTATAAAATGCTTTATAATAGTACTGGGCTGATCAACGGTTGATGCATGTGTGACAGGTAGCTGTGAATGAAGGGTGATCGAGTGCTACAGCCATGTTGCGATCGAAGAGCGCCTTTGTGGCATTACCACACGGTCATGGCTGTGGCATTGGATGAAAAGGATCGAACGGTCAGGCAATTTTTTGCAGGAGGATTGGTGTGCACATTTATTTCTACTCCAAGTAATTTGCTGTGTTACGCGCAGCTGCACACTCTTCGGTAACCGGAAGAGCGAGTAGCACCGTACTGCTGCGGGTGTCTACGTGTCGCATTACGATGCACGCAACAGCACGCTATGCTCCTATTTTCAATGCCCGTCATTTTCTAACGTACTCGCCATCGTTTTGCCTTTCCTTGTCTGCCAAACTGTTCCATTCATCGCCACCCGATCAAAAACAAAACACTTCCGTTTCATCGTCCAAATATTAACGCTCACACAATCCTGCACCATGACCATACCATCATCACTCAGAGAATACTTTCTAGGTCCTGCACTCACCTTCCACCACCAAAAGACGATCATGTCTACGCTGTACAACCAGCTCAACAATCCACGCTTCTTCAGGCTGGTGGTCATCGTTACACTTATTTCATTCTTTGCACTTGTTGTGCGTGTTATAAGGTTGAAGAGACAGACCGGGCTGTTGCCGTTCGTGATGGGCGGTATTTTGATTTACTCGGGTTTTTGTTTGGAGAGGAGTTTTCGGGTTGGGATGCTGATGGACGTGAGTGGGAATAAATGGAGAGATGTGATTGGAGTGGGCGGTATCAGGAACAGCTATGTGAAGGAAAAGATTCTTTACTTGTTTAGACGGCCTAAGGATGATAATGGAAAGGTGGGAAGCGGTGAAATGGGCGAGGGCAAGGCGGTTAAAGATGAACTGAGTGAAGGACGAGTTGGAGACGATGCTAGAGCAGCAAATGAGAACGTAAATGGTGCTAGAGCAGCAAGTGAGAACGTAAATGGTGCTAAAGCAGCAAGTGAGAGCGTAAATGGTGCTAGAGCAGCGAACGAAACAAATGCTAAGATGGGAACGGATAATGGAACAGGAACGAATGACAATGACGAAGATGATAACCACGAAAATGAAATGGAATATAGCCAGAACATGAAGGAGAGCACACGAATAGGCAGCAAGATGCTGAATGATGGCGGACTAGCGATGGCAGATAAGGCAAGTGGCCAAAGAACGGATGCAATAAGGGAAGGAAAGGATGCCAAAGAAAGAAAAAATGTGGTAAGTAGACAGGTCGTGATAAAAAAGGTGGGTAAAAAAAGTGGAAATGGTGTGCCCGCAAACAACTCACCGCCGAATAGCTCTGATACTCCGGCACAGGACACACCGATCAATGACACGGATAGGCCGAAAGGAACAGAAAACGGCGTATTGAAAGACGAGAGCACCCCACGGGAGGTGTCAGAGGCACTAGCAAACACAAAGACGATGTACAACGACACATTTGAACAGAAATCATTCATAATATCACTCAAACAGACGATGCTTCGCAAAGAGAACGCAGTCAATCGCACCAAATCGCTGCTCGCATCGCTCAAGAAAACAAAAAAGTACGTGGCGGAGGATTTGAGGCTGTTCGAGGACAATTTCGAGAATTTCCTGAGGGCGAGCGCTGATGTGGGTGATGTGCTCTCTAATGCAGATATTAGCGCAGATCTGTACAAAATAGATATGCAAGAGCTGAAGAAAGATGTGGGGGAGCGTATTGGTATTGTGGACGTGTTGGAAGGCTTCTTAAGGATCACAAAAGGGCAGAAAAACATTTCGGGAGACGGTTCAACGGGCAGTATCAAATTTTATCTGGGGAACGGGGATCGTTTACAAGAGGGATATGGTGTGAACGGTAGACCGAGTGTTTTTGACATCGGTCTTAAGGACAGCGCTGCGAATTTGGTAGCAGGCACAGGGACTGCGAACAACGTGGTAAATGCGCTGGACACGGTTAAGGACAGCGCTGTGAATCTGTTGCCCGGTTTAGGCCACAAGGGCATTGCACTAGGAATGCCCAGCTCTAGCACCAAGGTTAACGCGCTGAATTTGTTACCTGGCCCATCAACCACGGACAGGAGACCAAATGGTGGATTTTTCAGTGCCCTGCTTGGCACAGGAACCGGCAACAGCGCAATCTATGAGCCTTTAAAAGCAGAAGACGTAAAATTTGCAGGACTTAATAATGAAAAGTTTGAGGCGGAAAAGCGGACAGAACATAAGTCACCGTTTGATCTGCAAGAAACACAAAATCTCGTAAAAATACAGGTATTTATGATACTACAAGGCCTGATATGCCTGACAATCTTCATCTTTATGATTTGCAATCTGCTCGACATAATTCCAATTTTCAAGCTGATCCTGTTGGTGATTCTGATCGGCAACATTTTCATAGGCATTGTGAGCATGGTGTATGCACAGGCACTCGCCAAGAAGTGTGTGCTCATGGATGTGCCGAACTGCAACAAAAAGAATCTTTTTGATGTGGAAGAGGTTGTAGACATCCTGAATGAGCAGCAGGAGACGGACAAGCACGATGCTCTTTCATTCATAGAGCGTAAATTTGAGGAGAACTATGAGCAGCTGAGCGTGGTGGTCGCACAGCTGCAGAAGTACATGGAGGGCAGTGACAGCAAGGTAACCCACAAAATAGATGTGTTTAAGAATCTTATCAACAAGCTGCTGTTTATTGAGACACATTTCTCGCAGCCTAACCGGCTGTACGTGCCTGTGTATGCCATGAAAAGGTTCCTTGAAGATCTGCAGCAGCAGCTCGTCGAGATATCGTACACCGCACTCTTTCCCATCTACAGAGACTTTCTGGAATGCGCGATTTTCTTTGAGCAAGAAAAAGGCAGCGTAAAGAACAGGGTGAACAACTTCTTGCGACTGAACACGAAGCGGAAGGAGGAGAAGGCAAATGAGAAGTGCAAGAAGAAGATCAAGAAGATTTGTAAGGCGAAGAAGGACTATGAGGAGCTTGCGTTCGCGCTGACCTCCTTCGGCATTGTGTTTGTGATCCTGGTGTGCTTCTAGTGGAGCATCAGCGGGGTGTGCGACACGTAATAAAGCAACGTTGATTTTAACATTTAAGTACGTTTTATGGCGTGGAAGGTCTTCAGCATTTCCTTAGACCACGCTAAGCTGAGCATTGCATCATCGTAAATAGCACATCGAATAGAAAATCATCTTTCTCACACGTTCCGTTTCTCGTAACTGCCAGATAAAGTACAAAATCGTGCGTAGAGCGGTTCACAGTCTTTTAAATGGCATCATCCTGCTACCACGGAGTAAAAGATCCTTCCTTGCAATACAAGTGAAGCAAAAAAATATTTGTACGGTACAAACCACTCATTTTTATAAAAGGGCTCGTCATTTAAAGCATTTACATTGCTCATCGTGGAACACACACCACGTCAGGACGTGTACACTGCTCATAAAATAATCGCAACACGGATAAGCACACCAACGATGCACTACCTTTCAGGCACATACCTGGTTACAGCATGATAGATCCGCTCTACCGCCCACAAAACCGCAAATAACACCAAAATAAGATTTAATTACGGTGAATCAGAACGTTACTTCGTCACCGCTCAGACAGGGATAACTGGAAAAACGGTTTCATCATTTTCACGGGGGTAAAAAATTTGCATCTTTTTGAGCACAGCGGCACACCTCTGCAAATTGGTAGCAGCACTACCGGTGCATACACCGCAGGACAGGGCGTAGCACACGATACGTTGCAAACACAGTGTCGTGCTAAGCATGCAATTAGAAGTTTTCTACTTCTGCTTCTTGACGAGCTGCACTACTTCCGTTTACAAAACGAAACGTGTTGTTGCATCAGGCACTTTTTGTGCTCTGCTTAACACTGCCGATTCGTTTTCTATTGCTGTGCACCTTTTGAAGAGGCAATTTATTCATTCGTACTGAAATCACCAATCAGCTTTTTATTGTTCATGTTTGTGATGAAGAAGCTCAAAAAAGTGTTTTTCATGCTGTGGCGTGAGGAAATGACTGAACGTACTTTTAGTAAAAATAAATTAAATTATTACCTTTACCTCCATTGTTTCACCAAAACACCGTTTCTAACCCCTGGTCTAAAAACGAATTGAGCATCCTTCAAAGGTGAAAGGGACGCAGTAACACCTTCAAAATATTTTGATAAATTGCCTTACACCACTTTTTTACCTTCTCATACAGCAACACCTAAAAACACACTTTTCAGGTGCATAGAGGAATAAATAAAAATGCGTTTGGTAAACAAAATTAAGGGGAATACTTCATTTGCTGTTTATACGAGGAAGTAATGGTTAGGGGATAATCATTGCTTGTTCCGTAGACATCGAGCGGAAGGCAATTTTTCAAAATAAATTATCAATAACTTAATTAACGTGTACTACGGTTCAGATCAACCCGCAAACACCAACAAATCTTTAGAACGAAATTAAAAGCACAGTTTTTATCAAGAGCTTGTTTGGTACTTCCCCCGAACAGGCATCGTAACAACACGGGCACGTATAGCACGCTAATAACCACACCGCAGCACGTGCTCTTGCAACGCCATTCAGAAGATATTTGTCAAATAGAACGTTCTAAACCCTTTTATGCGTTGCTGCTCTTTGATCACCTTCAACCTGTCCATAATGTCACCATCCGCAACACCATGCACGATTTGTTGCACCTTGGCCATCTCAAGATAAAACGATATTTCGTTCTGGTCGATGCCGAGCGAATCAAAGATTGTGCGGCCGTTGAAGGTGAATGTTTTGGTAAACAGCAGTTTTTTATACGGACGAATTGTTCTGAGGATGTGGAGGATCAGGTGTTTGTTCGCGTTTGCGTACTGCCTGAGCGATTCGTGCACGGTGTTTGTGCCTGTTGATGGTCTGTTCAGTTTATCATTTGTGCTTGCTGAGGACGCCTCCTGTGAATTGCCTTGTTTATCACTCATTAACGTGGTGTTAGTGTCCTCGTGAATGTGCAAATGCTCCATTTCTCTTGTTAAGGATCCTCCGGTGCGCTCATGTTCTTCCATCGTAATGTTATGAACGCGTTCATGTGTGAGCATCTTTTCTGCCGCGTTCTCCTCGTGCATAACCCTTTCTTCACATCTCTCGTATTGTTGATCGTACTGCATCTCATTCATATCCTTTTTGGTGCTTTGTTTTCTCTTCATGGATTTTTCACTTTCAAGTCTGTTCTTCCTGGTACTGAGCGTTATCTCTTCATTGCCTTGCTCTTCATTCCTTTGCTCTTCATTCCTTTGCTCTTCATTCCTTTGCTCTTCATTCCTTTGCTCTTCATTCCTTTGCTCTTCATTCCCTTCCTCACTAATTCCCTTCTCATCACCACCATGCATCCCAACAACTCCCTCATAGCTACATAACACCTCATCGTCCCCATAATCTGCCACCATCAAATACACAAAAAACGACAGCTCATACTCTTCTTTCATATGCCTAACCAAAAACACCGCATCCTCAGCACTCATACGCTCATTCACCTTCCTTAGCAAACATAAATTCTTCTCCACCACCTTAACTTTCCCAAATTCCCTTTTACCGTAGCACAGGCAGTTCTTAACAATCAAAAAGTTACTGAACGTATTTTCTACGCTAACACACGCATTGTGCAGCAGCATGATGTACAGCCTGGCAAGCCGCTCATCAAACACAAAGTACCTCTGCAGCCGGACGTAGTTGCGGTACACGTGCATGAGATCGTGCTGATCGATCGGTATACGTCTTTTGAAGATGGCAGGCACAAGCGCACAGCCAACCATAACTCTAAATGCGTGTATGAAGTGCTCGTACCCAAGAATTTTGTACATTTCCTGACCTATGCGCTCGTTGCTGATCTTCTTGTGCAGATTTGTGCGCACGTGCTCGTTCTGAAATGCTACGAACAGCCCGTCTGCAATTTTGAACTTGAAGCGCACGCTAAAGCGGATTATTCTGAGTATGCGCAGCGGATCATCGATGAGCGTTTTTAATGGGTCCATGGGTGTTCGTATAACACCGTGCTCAAGGTCTGACAGTCCCCTGCCCGTAAAGTCTTCGATGCACTGCTCCATAATGTTGTAGAACAGCGCATTGATGGTTAAATCCCTTCTGAACGCATCTTCCTGTGCACTGCAGCTCTTTACCACCGGTATACGCGTATCAAAGTACTCTTCAGTTCGTAACGACAAGAAGTCCACGAACACGCCCTCGATACGCATCACAGCGGTCTCCAGATGCTTGGACTTGTCGGGATTAGCCTTGATCTGTCCGATACTGCCGGTAATACCGTAGTACTCTTGCATTCCATGTGCGAATGCATATCCGCTGATTCTGTTGATCGTAATGTCGATGTCATTGCTCACCTTGCCCAGCAGCTTATCACGTACCCATCCGCCAGCAACACGTGGCACTATCCCCTGCAGTGTATGTGCGTATGTTTTGATCTTGGTTATGATCTTTTCTTCGGTTGGTGCCAGTTTTATTTCGTGCAGGGACATGAAAGGGTACAGAAATGTTTTGATCAGGGTAAAGCAGGAGATACTGATTTGAGTGCGAGGTTGACCACATGGCATGATGGGTGTAGAAGATGGTAGTTGAAGAACTGGTGCCAAAGTTGCATAGAATAGTTGGTTGAAGAATTGGTGCCAAAGTTGCATAGAATAGTTGGTTGAAGAATTGGTGCCAAAGTTGCATAGAATAGTTGAGGAGTAGAGAACGTGCAAAGATAACAGTAAAGAGCATCAAATGATTAAACCATGTAAACATCAGTAAATGCCCACTTTCTACCACAAATGCAAAACAATCAACTAAGTAATAACGTACCAATGATATTCTGCTGCACATTCAATGATTCGTGCTTTCACAGAAATAAATTTTGGTTCCATAGGAGCGAGCATATCGCAGGAATGACCTTTTCCAGGGCAGGGAATAATCCAAAACAGTAATGCTCCTGTCCCTCAATCAAAAAATGCCCTTAGTACGTGGCACTACGTATGAACAGAGCGCAATATGGTAAATTAACCATTATCACCTCATCACCGTACCATTACTTCGTGTGCACGATCATTCCATACTGCTCTGTACGAGCTGCTGCTCCAAAGGTATTCCATATCAAAACGATCATGCACATAAATGCTGCGCACGTTTTTATACCGTACACCGTTCATTATGCCATGCCGTGACTGTAAGTACATAAAAATTAATAAATTTACGATTATGCGTTATGATTTGGCCATCTTCCCCATTTCACCACCGTATGATTGGTGGCAAGCCAACAAAAATATCTCATAAGTACTCCCTGCAATAACACGTACTACCATAGCACATCATGCTGCGCAATAATTGGTAATATACCAACACGTGCCACCACTCGTACCGATAATGCGTACCACTGCCAATAGCAAAGCATTCCTTCATAGCAAGCACAAAAAATAGATTTGCAACATTACCACGCATGTACAGGCATTAGAAAGTGCTCCCTACGCCATGTCTGTAGATTCGTTCTATCATGCAATATTTCTATAAATGTACCGCCCAATGTTCTACTGCTGAATATCTGTTTATACGGAAACAGCACGGTCATCTGCTGAGTATATTTTATACTTTTGAAGTAAGCGTTTTACTTTTTTACAGCTGCATTAATTTATTTTGCCATTTTTGGTAAGAATGGCCGAATTAATTTTTAATTAAAAGCATGTACTCCACGTATTGCTTGTAAAAAGTGGCTGAGCGTGTTTCAGAAAGAATGTACTGTAGCGATACTTTATTTTCAACTCTGAACGAAGTGTGAAACAAAAATTTGTACTTTTCAAACTAACCAATCAGTCTTTAAGCCGTTCTTTATTTGGTAATGCATGTGCCGCTTAAATTGCACCATCATGATAACTCGTATTGTAATGTTGTTCTATTTTCATTTCTGTTCCTATTTTTACCATGCTCTCCAAAAGTCATCTGCTGGTCTTCTCTCATTTTACTTTACCAGTTCTCTAATCGATCAGGCTATTGTTTCGTGCTCATCATTGCACCAATTTCACCTCATTTACCCTCGAGCTCTCTTTCGTGCTCATCATTGCACCAATTTCACCTCATTTACCCTCGAGCTCTCTTTCGTGCTCATCATTGCACCAATTTCACCTCATTTACCCTCTAGCTCTCTTTCGTGCTTCAGGCACAAAGCTTCTGATATTTATCGTTTCATCAATGCATAAATTGCAAACAAAAACGCTCTTTCGTGTAAAACGCTAATAATGCATAATACTACGCTCTTACCGTGTAAATATTTCTAAATTACCATTCATGCATTATCTACGTATTTTCACTGCCATACAGCGCTTCACACACTGCTGCGCCATAAATCGCTATTTTCATGCTTATTGCCTTGCTATAAACGCTCTTTTATTTCCAGACTGCATAATTAGCAAAGTAATGGAGATAGGAGGTAAATTACCACGGTGGTGGCAGGCAGTTAAGCGAGCACTTGAGCTGTGAACAGCTAATGCGATGAAGAAAAAACCTCCAGCAAAAATGAAGGATTGTCTGTTGAAGAAGAGGTAGTAGAGCAATTTTGCAGGCACTAAAAGCACAGCGGTAGAACGGTAAGAGCAAAAGTGTTTTGCAAGCGAGCAGCACTGCGAAAGTGGTGTATAAGCAGTTTTGTGCGTTAGAGCGCTATCATATTGCGGTGCCCATCTCAAGTGTAACAATGATTATGATTTGCGGTGCATAAAAAAATATTTGGCGGGATAAAAGAGGAGTAAGTTGCATAAATAAGTGGTGCACACCTTTATAAGGAAGTAAAGGTGAAATGAACGGTGCATGTTGCTGTGAGGTAAAAGGTAATAATGAGGCATGCTCTCAAAAACGGTGCATAACATAAAATGGTGATGAAACTGGGCATGAGAAGTGTAGCAAGGTATGAAATACCAAAACGTGTAGGGGAAGAGACTGGTAAATATAAAAACGCATAATAATGTACGAAAGAAGCATTGACAGGACGGGTAATGAAATAATTTAGGTTTGGGCTACTATGAACAGCTGAGCGGTGCACCGCTGCGTTTATTCTACTCATGTCTGTGTTACGCTTCCATCCTCATCACATGTCTGTTTTACGCTTCCATCCTCATCACATGTCTGTGTTACGCTTCTATCCTCATCACATGTCTGTGTTACGCTTCTATCCTCATCACATGTCTGTGTTACGCTTCTATCCTCATCACATGTCTGTGTTACGCTTCCATCCTCATCTCATGTCTGTTTTACGCACCTACCTCATCTCATGTCTGTGTTACGCTTCCATCCTCATCACACGCTCTCAACCGTGCCATATTCCCACCAATATGCAATATAAAACAAAAATGGTATTAATTGGAGAGGTAATCAAAGCGATAAGAACGTGCTATCACCGTGCTCGCTGCTGTGCTCATCTCCACCTCATCTCATGTCTGTTTTACACTATGTACATTTTTACCGCTCATATTTCCTTTCTCACCAACTTATTCTGTGTTTGATGTGCCGGTGCACCTATCGATAGGTATTGAACGGACCGGATATGCACCCATTGCACATCACGTTAAGACCGTGCAAACCAACGAATCAGGACAGCGGTACGAATCGCTCACATTCTGAAACAAATCTTTGGCACAGTTGATTTACTCCTTTTTTCGTATAAAACTATTTTTGTTTTTTACCCATGGTAAAAAAGAGAGATGGCAAGAACAAAACAAACAGCAAGAAAAAGCACGGGCGGCAAAGCGCCGCGCAAGCAGTTGGCAACGAAGGCGGCGCGTAAGAGTGCGATGCAGACATCCTCGCAGGGTGTAAAGAAGCTCAGGTACAAGAGCGGAATGGTTGCGCTGAAGGAGATTCGTAGGTACCAGAAGAGTACGGAAACGGTGGTGAGGAAGGCGCCGTTCCAGAGAATGGTGAGGGACATAACGTCTAAAATACGTGATGACATGAGGTACCAGGCACAGTGTCTGTCTGCGCTGCACGAAGCGTTTGAGAATTATTTGGTGGGCTTGTTTGAGGATGGACTGCTTGCGGCTAACCATGCCAAGCGGGTCACCGTTATGCCGAGGGACATAAATCTGGTTGGTAAGTTGAGAGGAAGATTTGGTTTCTCATAAAAAGTAAAAGTTAGTTTACAAAATGTTTAGTTGGTGTTGTATTGGTTTGTAGTAGGGGGATGTACTGAGAGACAGGATTAGGGGATGGGGTGGAGAGTGCTATTATTGCGTTGGAGAAGATCAGTTTGTGTTAGAGAGTGTTTAGCGTGGTGTACATTAAATTATTTATTAGCGTGTTCAATTCTCTGCCATCCGTAACATTTAATCCATTCATTCTACCGCGTCATTCATAATTTCCAATTCCTGTCCATCTCATTCTTCCCCCCCTTCCACTTTGCTTGATAGGTATTATTTTCTTAATTTGCCACTGCCCCAACAAATTAATTAATATTAACCATACATGGAAGTAAATGGTACTGCTCGTTCATTTTACGTGCGCATGCCGGTTGGTCGGTTATAACACGCGTGTTAAAGAATGTTAATTGATAGTTGTTTGATTTGAAGCGTATTGGCTGGCAAGGGCATATCGTACGGATGACCGTAATGTTTTAGCGGGCGTGATGTAGGAAGGTAAAATATGTGAAGAGTGGAGTGTTGCATAAATGAATGGTAATATTTTAATAGTTGTTCTTTATATTCGGATCAAATAGCGCATTGTTCTGTGCTATTCATTGATTTGATTGTGGCACAAGGGGCCAAGGCTTGTCCACACAGCCTATTACCTCGTTAATTTTTCACTATTGCTGTGCTGCTATTGGTTTATTGTGAACACGTAAGGGATTGACAGCAAAAACATTAAAATACCTGTACGAGTGTACCAAATGTAGTTAGGTTGCTGAATTGAACATGATGTGGGTAAGAGAATGAATTTATGTGGTATTGATGGAGTGAAAAGATGGAGTGAAAAGATGAGGAGGAAAGATGAAGTGAAAAGATGAAGTGAAAAGATGAGGAGGAAAGAAGAAGTGAAAAGATGAGGAGGAAAGATGAGGAGGAAAGAAGAAGTGAAAAGATGAGGAGGAAAGATGAAGTGAAAACATGAGGAGGAAAGATGAAGTGAAAACATGAAGTGAAAAGATGGTGATTGGTAACGGAGTGAGATATTAATCGTACCAAGGATGGATTGAGAGATACACTAACGATGGGATGCAGCCCGTACTGACAAGTACAGTACGATTTGTGGGGTGTACTAACGAACACGGTAAGTATCGGAAATGCACCACAAGCTGCAAAGGACTAGCAGGAACACTGCCGTACCTTACCACTCCAATCAAAACGCGCACCATCAGCTCACACAGTTTCACATACAAACATTTAAACATTCTTCAAAACGAACGCACATGACAATCTCAACCTTTCTAAGCCTCACTACCGGTATATTAACATCCACATTGCCACAAGAACCATCAAAACCGTTGATAATAGGCGCTCTCGGAACATTCTCACTGTTCTACACCGGTTCAATTATGGAATTCGATAATTTGGTAACTATGAGACCGGTTAGAAAGAGTGGGGTGGGATATTGGATGCTGTGTGGAGGTGTGGTGTGTGCTGGGTTAATGGGCGGTGGGCTTGTTAGGAGTGTTGGGGGAGGAGTGTGGAGTAGGATAAGGATTAGGGACAGGAAGTTGATAAGGGGATCACTGATTTATTAGGGCGTTGGGATAAGACATGGACCAGGAGAACGGCCTGAGGCTTTGATTTGTTAAGAAAGTGTTAAATTTGTGCAGGGAGGTACTGTATCACGGTATCACCTTGGATGTACGTGAGAACACGCCAAGAAAACAATCATTCTTTCCATAGTACCGGCAAACTGGTACTTCTATTCCTAGGACTGGAGAAGGTAAAATAACAAAGTATGGTGGAACAATCGTTGATAGGGACAACTCGTAATGTTTCGTTCCCTGGACGGTTGCACTGTTCTATGGTCGCCACAGCAGCGGTACCCGACAAAGAATGCCGTTCTTATCAGGCAAGCGCAGTAAATTGGAGGAGAAGTGGAAAGTGATCGATGATACCATTTATAACGGCCGTAGCAACGTAAAGCACAACAATAATTTGCAATAATATGACCTGCAAGTGTTGTAGCGTGCCGTGTAACCGTTACATAGGGAAATCGAAAGATGATCTGCCATGCAAGGTTAAATGCACCCTCCTCAAATACCGCATGAGCGCACGTATCCTGAAAATGAGTAAAAGTATGTTCAATAACAGAAAATGCAAGTTCTATCGCAGTGTACCGTGCTTGCTCACAATATTTTCCGTTCTTCACTCGCATAAAATAGAGTACGGTGCCGCATCACATTTCCTGATCGTGCTTAAGGCCATCAAACATGTTCGCTGTCAATGTCAAACGATGGCTCCTTCGTATCAACGATAGCCGAATTCTCTTCCTGCAAATAACACAAATAAAACTGCATTTTACGCGGAACAGCTTCTCATCAATACCGTTCATCTTCACCAACGTGTTCATCCAACTAAAACATCGTTTTAGCTTTGCGGTTCATTTCCGCTAACTTCACATCGCTCGTTGCGCTTCCCATTTTTTACTTCATTTCAACGTATTTCATTGCTGGGCATGTTACACGGAGGAGATAAAAATATTTTGATGAAAATAATCAGGTAGGGTGGTTAAGTGTACTTTTAATGAATGGATAAATGTTGCTGCGTGCTTTCGACAGGCCTATTTCCGCTGGTCATCCCAAATGCACACCCCGTGTTATTTCCGCTTTGTTCCAAAAAGTTCTCTCAGGTCTTTGCACCGGGTGCCCGTCTTTTTGCACTTTGTATCCACCATAGCAGTGTGCTCATCAATGACCTCTAACTCTTTCTCCAACACGCTTTGCGCAAATTTAGGCCGCCATAAAACCACACTCACCATTTGCTCTCCGTTTATGTATGCGTTGATGGCCTTCAGCTCGGTTCTGACCAGCAGTGTTCCTCTGAACACCATTTCGTGGCTGTTGAGGTCGAGTGCCGGCAGCTCATCGGCACGTCCATTTTTTGCGGTGTAGAACGGCAGGATATGACATTCTGTCATTTTGAAGGGCGAATTGAATTGGTGTGAAATGACCAGACGAATAGAGTTGAGACGTATCTGACAGGAAGGATGTGCTTGTCTAGGTGGTGTGAGTGGTAAAGAAACGAGTTTTATTGGAAGTAACATGTCTTTGTACCCACAGCGGGAATGTACAGGCTGTAGCAGGGATCGAAACCAACCAAGTGTGTCATGTGGTGTGTTTGATCATCTTTGCCTGTTCTATCACAGGCGCACCTGCAATTCATGTACACGCCTGTTCACCGTGAACAAATACTCTGAAATTTACTCAATGGAAGAGTAAAGACGTACCTATTCGGGTGGGTGAAGCGTGTGCAGTAAATGAACGTATTCTTAACCGGAAATCGTGAATTTATCTGTGTTCTCCTACACATTTGACAAGTGGTTTGGCACGGATCCGTGCACGGCGAAAAATACCAACAAATGAGCGTTTTAAAGGTTTGCACGTGAAATGTTAGCAAAGCTCCCCATTTCATAGAATGTACCGCACGTATGAGCACATACCACTCAGTGCAACGTGCTGAGGAACGAATCTTGCATTGTGCCAGTGCTGTGGCACATATCGTAGCGAATAACGAATTGATATGAATAAAAGAACATGAAACGTAGTGCCATACAAATAGGTATGTTTATCAGCGGTAAGTTCTTGGTTGACGCGTTGCTATGAACTGAATTTGCTTATCACTTCGGTCATTCCTCACGGCACTGAACGCGCCATTCTGAGAGCCTTGCTCGGCAAAGCGATGAACTGTCGATCAAGGCTCAACTCAACGAAGTGCTGCACGCAGCAAATCGGTGAATCATTAACTTTGGTCAACCAAGCACAAAAAAGCGGCACACACGTCAAATTTAGTGATATGAGGAGTATTTGAGATAAATTCGGTTGCACGTGTACCAAATAAATTTACAACAGAAGACTGTGATGCGCTCTTTTCGTTTAGAAACATGTTCATAGGAGTGCACGTGCCAAAATTCTTCTTTTTCTGCCAAAACACGTTTACTTATCTTTCCGTACACCGGTATTAGCCAAAAACACACCTTCTGGACATTCAAACAGTTTCTCTGCCAGCTCTGAAAGGGACAACGCCAGGAGTACGGAGCAGATCAAATGGTGTGCGGTAACTCGTCAGACCATTCGTTGCACACACCTTCAATCGTAACTGCCACGCCTTTCTCACTTCTGCCACGCCTTTCTCACTTCTGCCATGCATTTCTCACTTCTGCCACGCCTTTCTCACTTCTGCCACGCCTTTCTCACTTCTGCCACGCCTTTCTCACTTCTGCCACGCCTTTCTCACTTCTGCCACGCATTTCTCACTTCTGCCACGCCTTTCTCACTTCAGTACGAACGATTTGCGCACCAAGTAATCGCAGAGAGTTGTCGAAGCGATAACAACCGATACGGTACAACAAGTCGTAGATCCGGTGTACATCGCACGATGAACGAGACGTTGGATGCGCAATGCATGTTTATCTCTGAGTCTGTAACGCTGGCATAAATTTTTGTTTCCAATTACCGGAAATTGCCTGGATGGGAGAGGCCTCTTACTCAAAAATGGTGTAAAAAAGACAAAAAAGTATTTTTTAGTAGTTGCACAGTGAGGTGTACGCAATGGAGCACGGTTACCTCCTTGTTACCGTAAGCGGACATAAGCGATGACAGCATTTCTACAAAAAACGGCTAAACATCATTTCTTGTTCAGCGTGCTTTTATCGCTGAAGGCGGACGTAAGCCGTGGCGAAAAAGCTACGCCAACCCCACAGTTGCTGCTACCTACCGCGCGGTACTTGCCGTTCCAGTGGTGGGTCCTTGCACATTCCGGCTTACTAAATCGAGGATCGGGCACCCTCCGATGGCACAGGTCTCTCCAAAAGGAAACACCAACAGCGATGACATAACCACACAAGAGGCACTCAGCCGATTCTCGACGGGCAACAGCTCGCGCGACAGGACAATTTCGCTGTTCAACGATGTGTTCCTCTCAATAATCCACGATGTAGATAGGCTGCGTGCTGCCCAGCTAGCATCAGAGCTAGAACGAGAAATTTACGACAACAAAATCGCGCCCCAACAAATCCGGAGCAAGTACTTAAATCTCAAGGATACGAGCAACGATCTGTGCACAGGCATCTATGAGGGAAGGATAGGCGTTCACGAGTTTCTTTTGATGAGCATGGATGAGATGAAGAGCAAGGCACGGCGGAGCAGCGATAATGATCTGATCGAGCGTAGCATTGAGGGCTCGCAGATCGCACAGATGGAGGTTGAGACAGACATTTTCTTCTGTTTTAAGTGCAAACAGAGGAAGTGCAGGTATAGACAGATACAGACGAGGAGTGCTGATGAGCCGATGACCACCTACGTGTTCTGTAAGTGTGGGAATACCTGGAAGTTTTAATAAATTGATTTGTTTGTGGTATTTGTTGATGGCAGGTGCTGATCCTTTGCTGTGGGATCTTTGCGGTTGTGGTGAAAGCGCGTTACACTCCGATGAGTGTGCCCGTATAATAGCGGGTGTGGTACCGATGAACACTGTATCGGTGTGTACGCCATTGCATGCTCATCACTTCGAATATTGCACTCATAAGCATTGGTGCGCCATTGCATGCTCATCACTTCGAATATTGCACTCATAAGCATTGGTGCGCCATTGCATGCTCATCACTTCGGATATTGCACTCATAAGCATTGGTGCGCCATTGCAGCAGTCCCCTGTGCCATGCCTGCTCTGCTGTCTTCACCGTAAGAATCAACAGCAATTCCAAAAACGGTTCACCACGGCACACTCTGCTAAAAATCGTTTCATCGTCTCTCCGCACCACCGCGTACACGGTTGAAGAGGTAATGCGCGTAACCAGGCAATACGCACAGTTGGCCTTCATAGAGAACCAAGTAAACACGAAATTAATTTTTAAGTAACGAGCACATCCAGCAATGCCTTACGAAGTGTCTCAGATCCTCAAATAGTAAATTTGCGTGCCGATCGAATCACGCCTTGCACTGTCACATCACGCTACACCGTCACGCTCTTTGTTCAGCTATTGCGTTATGAACGGCTGGAAAGGTGCAGTAAATACGCTCGGTACTGCACCATAACTGCACAGCGTGCCGCCTATGGACCAAAGATAATTTCCAAATAACTTGGGAAGAAAAGCTTTTTCTGCTTTGCTATGTCTTGGGTGCCTCGTTATGGCAGTTCTAAAGAACGCGCTTCGATGTTGTTGTGTGGAATGAAAGGCGTATTTTCAGTGAACACGCCATTCATTGCCATAGGTATAAAATTATCAGGCGTAGAAGCAAAAACATGCCCAAAACGATGACCAGCACGCTCTTGAAATTGCTGTTCATCCTCCGCTTTTTACTAAAAATATTTCTTAATCATCCTGCAGAGCAGCATCACCAAACACTTTCCATTACTTTTTGGTCAAAGCACGTTATTCACCCTCTCGTACATTTCCTCGTCACCCCTCCTCAGCATGTTCGGCCGCATCGCACCGCATAAAAAAAATATTTTTTGCGCTCCCTTGGTATGGAAGAGAAAAAAACGATCTTCAAAAAGAACATGCTGGTCATCCTAACGAGGGGCAGGCAGGCATCCAGAAAGGCAATCGTGCTCGATGTGCTCAGTGACGAGCGGCTTTTAGTTACAGGCTTCACCAACAGGAGACGCAACAAGAATTTAAGCACTAAAAGTGCCACGATGTTCATCAAGAGGATGAATCCCATGCATGTGCTTGCTACCGAATACATTGCAAACGTAGATGCTAGGGTTGAGGATGTTGAGAAGGTTTTTGCTGATATGAAATACAAGAGGGACACCTTGAAAACGATTGAGCAGGTGATTGAGAAGCGTGCAGAGGACCGGAATGTGCAGTGGATGAGAAAGAGACTGGTGATGGATTAAAAGTGGTTCATTTTATGATGGGGCTGTCTTTTGTTTTGGAGTGTACGGAGTAGTTTTGGAGTGTACGTGAGCTGTTCTGGAGTGTGTACTGTTTTGGAGTGTACGTGAGCTGTTCTGGAGCGTGTACTGTTTTGGATTGTATGTGTGCTGTTTTAACACCTACACGCACTGTTTCGGTGCCTACACGCACTGCTTTGGAGCGTACACGCACGGTTTTAGCACCTACATGCACTGTTTTGTGCTCCATACGGTGTCCTTTTACAAACGAGTGCGCATCGCCTAGCTGTTCGCAGCATTTCGGTCCCTTTGGGATGTCTGCCCGCGTTTTGTAAAAGTTTTTACCAAAATTTTGGTGTACACCTTCACAGCAATGAGACCGCCAGACAATTTAAACCTTACCACGGACGAATTCGCGGAGTACCTCAGGAATGAGTGCAAGGAGTACGTTCGTTCGCAGGTATTGCGCATTGATGAACATAAGCACGCCCACTTGGATGACAGCATTCGCAGCGAGAGAGTGTTCTTCCATACTTCCTATAAGAATAGGTTGGCACCGCTTACCGATCGATTGGCAAGAAAGCACGGCGTTGCCATGGAAATACGCAATCACGACCGGTACACCGAGTGTGTGCATATCACGGGGCGAGTAGTAGCAATTGAGGACGTGAAAAGTGCGTTAAAGGAGCATTTAGGTATTTAATGCGGGATAGCAGCTATACGTTGATTAAAAAGTGTTTGATCAATGAACTGCGCATGGTATGGTGCCGTTCTCATGGTGGCACCTGCGTTGAACGGCATGAGTGCGAACAAATTATTTTGTAAAAGGGAGCATTCCTTGGAGATGAGCTGCGTTGAAGCGGACCGATATGAACTGACAAAGAAGTACGTAGGAGTCATGGCAACGCATATTTACCGTTCAGCTTGTGTCTACTCCATTCCAGGGATACCGTTCAATTTGAGTGCGAATTTAGCGGTAAACCAGCTTATGATGGGAAAAGGATGAGTTTATGGATTTTTAAGTAAAATTGCTTCATTGGTACGGACAACCAAGGGCTGTGTGGTCACGGTAGGGATGCTCAGCGGACCAGAAAAGAGGTATACTGCCGCGAAGGCGGACAGATGCTCTGAATAATGTGCAAATTATGATAAAAGGTTTATTTTGTGGTTTTAAAGCAAATATTTCGTGGCAAAAATACAAATTTTGAATATTGCCTGTAACGCTTGAACAACCGTATCACATGCGTTACTTGCACCGGTTGCGTTGATCGTGCAACGCTTTGGGCTGCAAAACTGGGGTAGATGAGCAAATTGAGGGTGCATACAGTGGCGTAGCGTGGTGGTGTACGGTTTCTGTGGGCGTATCCAAAAATGAGCAAATTGAGGGTGCATACAGTGGCGTAGCGTGGTGCAACAGAACCTGCAATTGCTCACATTGGTAGAACCAGTCTCTACGACATTTTAAGTGTCTTAACACACTGGGACGGAGCCATGTGCGGCAATGCTGTGAGCAATCCGTTAATCTGCCAGTGCAGTAATTCATGAGTGGCATGAGAATGACCAACCGGCTCAGACACAACAATAAATTCGCTGCGCCACATCGCTACTGTGTACAGCACATGTCTCGGTGCACCAACACGATTTTTGCCCAAAATGTATTTACCAAGCACTAAATGGCAGCCTTGTTCGATCAAAAGAATGATCTTAAAACGCGTATTTCCTGCTGCCAGATCGGAAGGTGAAGAAACGCACAAAATTTGACCGTGTACGGTTATGTGAGGTGATAAATAAATACATTCTTGGTGAGATACCGCAGAGTTGATGACCAAATGGTACGAGCACATCATTTCGTTGTTTATTCACTGCCAACTGTAGTTTTAATCTGATATTTTATTCTTAACAGCCTGTTCAGCTGCCATCTTTCGCACGAACTCTCTAGGCGCGCTAAGCGCCTACCATGGCTTCGAAGGTTTTTATTTCACGAGATCCTAATTAATTGCCGAGTCCTTCGGAAACACATCTCTTCGTACCAACGCATTCATTTCTTGCCTGGGGATTAAAAACACGCCCTAAACCTTGCAATGTCTTATTCCTTGGTTTGGGATCTTTGATCGGTACAAAATTGTAAAAACACTTTTGACATAGAACGGGCAGGAAAGCATGTTGTTCGCATGTTGTGGTATGAGGAGATAAATAAACATACTTTTAATGAAAAATAGAAGAAATGTGATGGTTTGGAAGTATCGTACAGGGTAAAAGCGGTCAATTTTGGTTATTTCTCTTCATTTTGTTCATTGGTCATTTTATAGTACATGATCTTTCCATAAACGAAATAATCTGTGCCTAGGAACTGCCCTCCAAACAACTTCTGGTGTCCTGCCCTTTTTTATTACCGCTTCTTTTTTTGAAGTTAAGCTGATACGTTTTCCTTGTTCAAAACTTTTGATAGGCTTAGACAATTCTTGGTTCAATCGCTTAATATTCCTTACAAGCGCTCAACATAGAAATATGAAGGGAGTAAAGCATTTAAGAAGGTGTTAGATGCGATGCACTGTCCGCAGATCAGTCTCATATTCAATAAGGAAATTGCCAAATTTTATTCTTCTACCACATACCGACCTGTGCTTGATAAATCGTTGGATCGATAGCACTCAATGAATGCGTTAACAATGGTTGTCATGACCTAATTAGGATCAGAACGGCAACAAAGCACACAATCTGCGGTTGCAAGGCAATTTTTGCGCACATTTTCGTTACACCAGATGAGCAAATTCATCTATCGCTATTTACACCTCTTTAAAACGATAAGCACGTTCATATGGTATTACCGGTTAGACCGCGCCACAATATAAAGCTGTTTAGCACCTCCACAACGCTAACTTTAACAAACAAAGCATCTCTCAGGCAATAAAATGCATCTACACCACGTTCTATCCGATGCCGTGCAGGGATGAGTGCACAGAAGAGGGGCACTGCCTGTTAAGCAAATACCTCAACCACACGAATGCTACATCAATTATTCTTGCAGTTTCATACGATAAGCGATGACCTGTTGCCATCAGAACTAAAACCAAAATCTAACAATTCTGCTTAAACAGCGGTTATTTCCAATCAAATGGTGTCCCTGGTCTTAATTGTGGCAGCAACACCGCGCAGGTAAGCACGCCCTAGTCCCGGTAAAGTACCTACCGGTCACCCATGTTAGATGAATAAGTGCTAATAAAGAGCATCAAAACAATCGTTGTGGTACTTCTCATCCATTCACACAATTCTTATCGCATGTGATGCCAAATCGCTTACCCTCCTGCAAAAGCACTTGTACCAATCCACAAGGCTGGGCCGCTTTATCCCAGTTCATTTTGATGCCGCAAAAAACTGCTATCGCGCAACGGCACCGTGCGATCACAAAGAAAAGACAGCGCTACTCACACAGCTGCGGTACCACGTTTCGTAAAATAAACTAAGTGTCATATTCTTTTATTTAAAGTTGACCTGTCACAACGTTTACGCTTTTTGCAATTTTTTTATTTACAAGTCGTTGCTGACCTGCCACGCCTGGTTGACCGAAGTACCTTTTGGCGCAGCAACCTGTTTGGTGGGTAAAGATGGTTCTTAGAGGGTGATGTTACGCGCTGCTCTCATGATGGGGAGGGTGCGGAGCATTCAGAATTTTTCAAGTTCCGGCAAAAATACAAATGGCGAGCAAAACGTGTTGCAGAACAATTGCATGCCTGCAAAAACAGCAAATGGTTCTGTGATGTAGAATATAACCGGAACGGTAGGTAAAACCAATAGCTTGTGTTATTATGAGAAATTACTTCATAATTAGCACCAATGCGCCCAGCTGTCTGTGCCGAGCTGCCATTGTTTTTGTCCAGTTACGGACACATTCAATATCCATTTTTTACCATTTGAGCCGTCAAAACACCAATCATCGCTACAATCACCACTTCCCAAACAGCTTCAGCCTCAAACCCTCAGAAGGTGCTTCTGTCCATTTCATGCCACAATCTGCAGCTCCATCTTTAACTTTAGCCATGTTACCAAAATATTTCTCATTCCTAATTCATCACTTATAATTTATTTCAGAGTAGAAATATTTTTGTGCAATCCGGCGAAATAGGAAATGACATTTCAAAAATGTGTATTGCTACAAATGACACATACCACGTGCTGTGCACGTTTTTCTTTTTTTTTGCATGAATGCCTGTGATTCTGGTGCTAAACTTGCATTACGGATGGTTCTGTAGTATCTGGCGTGCAACCGGCTGCACCGGGCGTAAAAACGATACGTTTTTTGCTCTCATCTGTTGAACGGTCCAAACATACAATTTCATGCGAATTTGTTTAATTCCGTTGCAAACTATCAAATGATCAGAATGTGGCGTGGGCAGTCGTCCAAAATACGCCATTCCTGCACGCGGTGTGTGTTCGGGAGCAAACACGTCTTGCAAATGGTTTGTGCTGATTTGCTCTTATTATTTCAATTTCCAAAAAATGTTTTTTATCTTTTAGTTTAATCGTGTGCACAAAAATTGATCATTGATATCAAAACTTGATTTTAGTTGATTTCGGCGTGCTGAATCGCACCACGTACAGCAGTTCAAATAAATAGGCTTTTAATCAGGTAGTAACACGCATTTCTGTGCGAGCACAAAAATTGGAAGGAGCATGGACACAGGACAGCAGGAATACTGCTGGGGAGGGGAATATCAGCAATTTTTGATCGTATGTCAGAGAAACCTTAATTTTACTTGGATATTTCATTTCTTTGAATTAAAATGGCGATTTATTTATTACAGAAATTTTTTAAAAAAAGTAAATTGGCCCAAGTACTTACGCAGTGACGTGCATGAAAATTCCTCTTTGAGCACTCAAATTGCTTGGCAACACGCATTTCATGTGCATGGGTGCCACAAACTCACCACGATCCAGAACAACAAAACGGAAGGAAACAGGACGACGAACGTATCGTGAAGCTGAGGCGCGCTCGTGTGGGAAGCACAGTTCTGTGCATCAGAAACACCAGCAACAGTGAATATAAACATAAGTAATATATGCCATTTTGGGATTAAAAAGGAATTAATAAACACGATAAAAAGACACCTGCATTGTTTCATGAGCTGCAAGAGACTTGAAAGGAAAAAGACGAGAGGAAATAGCGGCGCAACGAAACACGAAACGAAGACAAAGCAGGAATTGAGGAGGAAACAGGGCAGAAAAGTGTTTGGTGCGGATAGAAGCGGGAGAACGGGTGTTGGCACGAAAAAAACGGTTAGAGACGAGGACATGCCATCCAATTGCACCTTTGTGTACCTGAAATCGCTTGAAACCATGCTATTTCAGGACAGCACGGTGTTGGAGGACGAGAAATCGATCGTGTACAGGCTAAAAGAGGTGTTTCTGTACTCGGGCGAGGAGAGAAAACGCACCATCGAGATGAAGCCGTTCACCGGCGAGCACGAGCACAACCAGTACAGCCAGCAAAGCCTGTTCGAGTACGCCATCGATATATTCAAGAAGTATCTCAGCTCGCCGAAGTGCTCGATCACAGTGCTCAAGAGCGCATTCGAAGAGAGGGAAATTGAAAATTTCTTTGCAAAAATAAGGACGGTAACGGTGAAGGCACGCGTAATGATCGTCAGATGCGTGCAGATCCTGCTCCTGAAGGCGGTCGAGTACCGCCATCTGCTAAAAAACTGCATCTACAACGAACTCGTGTACTACATAGAGAACGGAAGGAATCTGAAGTGCATAGATGTGCTGCTGGACATATGCTCGTTCTACGTGCTCAAGGACATCTACCACGATCTGCACGAGCTCAAGCACTTTCTCATCAACTACGTACTGCCGCTGTTCACGAATTCGAACGCATTCTGCTACCGCGATGACGTTCTTCTGCTCTTCACCAGCATATGCTACTGCAGTGACGGCTTCATGGACATGGTGTTCGTCCATTTCAGCAAAATATTTTTTGAGGCGAACACGCCCACGCGAACACTCATAATGGAGGTTACGCTCCGAGTGCTCAACGAGAAGTGCCGAGACATGTACCCGTACATACCGATGATCTGTGATTTTCTCAATTTTGCACTCAAAGAGCAGAACTCCGCGCTCATATCCATCACAAAGCTGCTTTTTTCCCTTCCTGTGCTTTTTCTCTCTTTCCGGCGGAACATTTCGCACATCCTGCCGCTGATCTTCAAGAACCTGTACAAAACATCGAAGACCTACTGGAACGTGGAGGAGAGAGGCGTGTTGTACGAGATCATCAACAGCATCATGGTAATAGATAAGGATTTGTTTGACAGGTGCCTCATGAACTATAACAAGGAGAAGTACGGCGCGTATTTCGACAGAAAGATCAAGGAAGATGTCATCGACACCGATTTTGTCGGATGGAGCGGCAGGGCACTCGACGATAGCGTCAACGAACGGCGAAAAAGTGTGTATGACATAGAATATGAAGAGCTCAAGCGGTTTAGAAGGATGTGAAGCGCAGTGGCGATGCTTAATTTACAAATCATAGTTTTATGTTAAATAATGCCACAGAGGTGCACCGATAACCGGTGCACCAGTTATTAAAGATTTACTGTATATTATTTAAGGGAATGTTTATGTGCTCGAGTATTTTCCTTTTTCATAATCTTAATAAAAAATTTTAAGGTGAGAAATTGCAAGGATGACAGGGCCTTTGAACAAAGGTTCTTCTCATGAATGGTGAATATAGCCGTTCGCGAAGAGTGTACTTAGCTATCATCGCAAAACAGCTGAGATACGGCCAATAATGATGAATTGTTCATGCTACGGGTGATGAACACGCTTGTTCACACCACGGAACGGTAGGTAAGTGCCAACGAAGTAGTGATGTGCAATTGAAGTGGCAAGCAAACGAGGTGGTAAGCAAATTCGCCTGTTTGTGCTGATGAAATTGCCATTCAATCAGCGGAAAAACGTAATGCACAAATCGGGCCATGACCGCAAAATAAATTGTGATGAAATGTCAGAGGAAGATCACTCGAAACCATTTGCTTGTTTTTGGTGTGCGGACCGAACGGAATCACAGATACACCACGTACAGATCGGTTCGCAGCTCTTCACCCAAATGGCATATCTCATAATAATGCCTTTTAGAACACTCCTCGATGGAGAGCTACTATCCTTTATAGGAATTTCCACTATAAACAGCGCTTTTCTTTAACACAACGAATGACATTCCCTTTAGCGCACATCCGCTGGCCATATCGGTGCAGATTTCGTTTCGGTGACAAAATAAAAAGTTGCCGTGCTATTAACATCGGATCAACGGTTCCCCAATCAGTGATCAATTTCATTTCAGATCACTTATAATCGTAAGTTACACCGCCATACAAAACATTTCTATTTTAGATCCAAATATATCTCAAGAAGCAACACGCACAGAATTAACAAAAACGTAAAAAGTGATGTCGCTTAAATTAACACTTTTAGGATGAATCACACAGTTAATCACCATTAATGTGCTAAATTATCGATTTCCGTTAGAGTGCTGCCACTTTCCTTTTTTTCCTTCATTTCATTATTTTCGGTATATTCATCGTTACTTTTGGTTAATTAAAAGAAACGCTTCACTCGCCCCATCCTTTTCCCTATTATACACGTATTACAACCACCACATGCCCGTAATTCTATTTGTACGCATCCATTAGTAATTTGCTCGTGCCTTGAGACCCCTTCCAAACACTACGATCAAAAAAGATCGGATGATAAATTGCGCATTCTAGTTTATTGCAGAACGAGATTAAAACCAAGCGTGATCTTTTTGATCATACGTGCTCCTATGCTGGTATCAAACACTATTCCTATGACCACTCACCTTTCCGTATCAACCAATGTATGGTTACAGTCAATCTCTTGATATAACAAAAATGCATTTCAATATTTAATTGGTTTACTCGTTTTGATGTATTGATCCCTCCAAAAAGAGCGAATTGCATTATTCGCATCTTTGCACCAAATTAAAAATTTTAAATTGGTGTTTAATTCGTTTTTTAAAATGTTTTCTGCCATTTCTACGAATAGTGGATGAAAGCACGGTTGCATATGAAAACCAATATTTAACCTTTACGAAGAGAAAGCGATCGAGAAAAAAAGGTAAAAAAACAAATCCAAAGGAATGGCAGATTACCATTATCACATACTGTTGCGTTTTATAAACGTAAATAGAGCAATTGATGCTTTATAAATGTATTTTTGACATTGAGGAGTACTTTCAACAAAAACAATCAACGAAATGAAAATTTGACTGTTGTGCGGTGCTGAGGTGATAGCAAATAAATTTTTTTAAATAAAAACTGATATTGCAGTTCAAGGTATGCCACTTGTCCACGTGATGTGTAACAGATCGGTAAGTAAATTTATGTTCTCACACACTTGGAACATCCTGACAAATACGCTTTTTTGGTATACCGAGACCGAACGTGGCACTGGTCCTTGATCAATCAGAGACCAAGCATAGACTGGTCTGTCATCCATTCTCTTCGCGCGGTATCCTTGACACGCACAACTTGCCAGATTCTACTGCTCAGATACCTCTTCTCGTATGCATTCATAACCTAGACCATTTATACCAAATCTTCCTGCTTGGTTTTCGTGCAGGATTCTGCAACAAGAGTGGTTTGCACACCTCTTCTCGCCAAAGAGCCTATAAACTTCTGCTCCGTACTACCACGTCCGTTTGTAATACGCAATTTGCCATGATGTAACCAACCTTGAAGCAGATTTGTTATGTAGGAGAAGTTTACAATGCACCACGGTTTATCCAAGTAATTAACCGAATACGTTCATTTTGGTAGAGCTGTGCATAAGAAGTGCACTTAACAGCAGCAACACTCCACCATCGGAAAAAGCCGTTCGTACAGTGCCGAATAAACGGCATGCCAACACAACGCACCTCATGGCGCAAACAAGGAATAATCACAACCATGTTTTATTCATTCACCACAATCACATCCTCAAAGAAGTCCATCAATCCTGTCTCATTCTCTCCACTCTCATCCCATTTCAACGTAAAAGGCGTGTGCATCTTATAAATCCCGGTTATCTCCCGCGGTGTGCCCTTCATTCCCGTAACATCCATCCGCTTGCCAACATTCACCTCCCGTTCAACAAACTCATACTCAGTCTCACTCACAAACTTAGCTGTCGCCACTATTTTTGTTTTTATGGCCGGCAGCATCGTAAGGAAGAAGTACGGCTCTTTGAAAATGGCGCTTTCCTCACCGTCTAGCAACATTATCATGAGGAACAGAACGCCGCACAGGCCTTTTGCGTTGAGCAACTTGTTCTTGTAGTTGTACAGGTCGGTGGTGCACGTGCCCAGCCCTAGATTGGTCATCCCCATTGCCAAGTGCCTTATATTGCACCGCTTGACCAGTTTCAAAGCATTAAGAACGGTCGAATTGTTGCTGCCCGAGCACACCAGGCCGATGCCCAACAGCTTGGAAATGAGGATACCATGATCCGATCCGGTAATGCCCCGAAGAAGGTCATCAAGCACAACGTTGTTGTTTGTCCCATTGAACAGCAACCCTAGACACAGCGGAATTGCACGTTTCAAAAAAACGTTGTCGAGAAGTGACGATGCGTTGACAATCCGTGCGCCCATCACGCACGTGAGCGGATCTCCCATCGAAATCAGCGCAATGGCGATCAGGCCCAGCTGCTCTAAATGTCCATTTTGTGCAAAACCCTCCGTGTTGTTTGAGCTGTCCATGTCGCTGATACCATCGTTTTTAGGGACATCCGTCTTTAGCGTTGTCAACGTTCCCTTCTGCCCGTCATCATTCTGTGCTTTTTCGCCCCTCTCGCTGTTGACCGATCCTTTTCCTGGCGCCTCTTCGTCATCCGACTTGGTAATCCTAATGCCTGTCTTCTTCTCTGCTCGGCCTTTGTCGCCTTCCTCCCCCTCATTCTCCTCCATTGTTCTGGACACCTCCTGCTCACCAAAGCAGATGGTGAGCACTTCCTCGATGATCGACGTATCACCTGTTCCCTGGTACATCATGCCGAGCAGCAGCACTAACACCTGCTTGCCGTGCATGCCCATCGTGTCGAGCCGTTTTATCAGTGCCTCAGGATTGTTGGTGTTCTTGTAGTACAAAATGGTGAGCGCAAGGATGTAGATCAGACTCTCCACATTGCTCCCCTTGTTCTGCTCGATGAGGTTGATGAATGTCTCAGTGAGCACCTCATCCCTTGACGAGATGTAGGCCGGGCTGGCTGCAAGCACAAACGCGGCAATTGCACGGTAGTCGATCGTGCTGGGCGTGCTCTTCTCAGGCGGAATGTCGTTGAGAATGTTAATGAGCAGCTCCACAGGAAGTATCTCCTTACCATACGTCTCCACAAGAAACGTTGCAAGCAGCAGTTCGTTGCACGGATTCTCTTCCAGTCCTTCGCGTATAAGTGCCATCACCACCTCCTCCTCCTCAACCCTGTTCATGCTGAATGCCAGCAGCCCGTTCACCTTATTCGTGAACATGGAGAAATCAAGCGTAGTATTGCAGTACACGAGACCATAAAGGTAGCAGTCGCTGATACTCGCGTTCAGATCCCTATCATTCTCAGCGAGCTGCTCCTCATCAGCACCAAAGTCGCCAATGCCGTAATTCGCCATGCACTGTCCAAGCAAGCCCATTATCTTTGTCGCGTTGATTTCCTTTCTGTTCAGTTTAAAATCCTTGAGCGCGTAGCTGAACAGCGAATTTCTAAACTTTCTGAGGCGCAGCTTGTGGAAAATAAAATTGGCCTGCAGCTTGAGCGCGGGCGGCAGTTTCTCACAGAAAAGAAAGGCCTCTGTGACCATGCCCCGCGAGAGGTAGTTGATGAGCTGATCAATAAGCATGCCGTGCTTCTCGTATATCTTGAAGATTACGTCGTCTAAAGCATCTCCCATCCTGTTTAGACCTTCCAGGTAGGTCAGGATTCTCTTCTTGTTGTGCTGGTCGGTGTACTCCAGGATCTTGTGCTCCTTGTGAATCTCGATCAGGTAATCGATTGCATCGATCTCAGAATTTGTGTCGAACAAGAAGCGTATGCATTCGTTCTCCATCACCTCGTACGCCCGGACCATATCGCTCTCAATCCCCGGTTTGCCGAGCTCTTTGTAACACTTCAAGTTCTCAAAGTACATCTCAAGCAGCTGCTTGAGCATTTCCTTTACGTACTGGTGGCCCCACTCCTTGAGCGGAATGACGTTGCCGTGCACCCTCAGGTCCAGGCTGTTCTTTATGACTGAGAGAATGTCTGCCATCATCTTCTTGTTCTCACTCTCCTGCATGCGCATGTATGTGTCCTCCAAGCTGCCGATGTGCTCCCTGAGCTTGAGCGTATTTTTGTGATCCTTGAGAAACACAATGAGTGTCTGTATCGCAGACTGTTGCACACCCTCATCCCCATCGTTTAGCCGTTCCAGTATCAAAACAAGGTCCGTGTTTTGCAGTTCTGTTTGCATGAGGGGTCGAACAATTTAAAAATAAATTTATTACGACTGATGGCATGCCTGTGAGGGCTCTCCAAGGAGGGGTGTACCAGGCCGAGTGCAACGATACGATGTGGGAGACCTTCTTTTGTAAGGAGGGAAGAATATGTGGTTCACGTATTGCAAAAAGCAGGGAAGTAATTTTGAACACGCTTCAATTACAAGATAAGAAATGTTTTGGACAGGCCGAAGTGAAAAATGCCCTGTACGACGAGAAAAAGTGCGCAATGGTAGGCGAAAATTTATTACGAATGTTGGATGAGGAGGACGAACCACCAATTTTGGTGTGGGGCAGTCTTAACACGTTTGTTTGCTGATCACAGCAAACATTAAATTCATGTGGGATGTATGGTGCTAGTCTTTGGAAATGCGAGGTGTTGCAGATGACCAAAAAATCAAATATTGGAGGGATAGACCTTCGGTAGATCGATCAAGAGATCGTTACCTCATAAATATTAGGATTGTGCTAGCATGAGCGGTACTCATACGATTTGCCTTAAGATCGTTGCCTCATAAATATTAGGATTGTGCTAGCATGAGCGGTACTCATACGATTTGCTTTGTTCGCCAAGTTTTACCACTTATGCACACGCAACTGTTAACCTTGCCCGTGATAGCTCTTAGCGCATTTCTCCTTACTCCCACGTATGGTGGACGTCTCCCCACGCGTACTAACAGCCAATCAAATTTTAATTAACACTAGGCTTCAACTCAACGCTCCTCAGCTGGTCATTCTCAAATATCTTAACCATGTAGCGCTGGTAGTTCAACAAAAATCTGTTCTTCATCAGATCAACGCACTTCTGCAGGAGACCAATGGCCTCATCAGCCGTCATGTCCTCACGGTACTCCCTGTCCAACAAACCATAAAGAAAGAACCGCGAATATCCCATGCATATGTAATTGCTGGATGACATGGCACCGTACTGATCAACACTGTACAACGACCTGTTCTTGTCCATTATCATAAATGTTGACTCCATGGGCTGTTGGCGCAGCCTGCTGTGAATGTAATTCTGGACAAAAAAGGCTGTTGTCTGCGAGCAGAGCGGCACCTGCCCGTCAAGTGCCTGTAGTTTTACACTCTCGGTGAAAAGATTGCGCAGGCCGCAGCACTGCTGAAATGAGCCACAGTGTGCCAAAACAACGGTGTCATAGATGTTTGAGAATTTGGACTCGTCTGACTTTACGCACAGGATAGATGCTGGCACTATCATATCGCTGGCTATTAAAACGAAATTTTTTGTTTTTATTCCTACTAGGTTGTCCATCGAGGGGTTGCGAAATTGACGCAAATTTTAGTCGGTGTAAATGAGGGAATTTTACGTGCTAGGACAGGGAATGGTGTTTTTGGTGAGTGTGATTTTCACAGCACCTCTCCCTTAAGCTATCATGATGTGGTATTTGGATCGGATGCAGTAATACGGAATATGTGGTAGAAAAGATTTGCATCCATGAAAATAGCGAAAAAGCGTGCTTTTAGCATGCACAAGAGCGGATACAATCATAAAATATGCAAATGCAACCGGGTTACTAAGTAATTAGTAGCAGCGTTGTGTTACGTGCAGCATATTAAAACTACTTAAAAGCAACTCCTCAGGCATTTTCTTCCACAAAACGTACATTCATTTACTTCTTTGCGCACCATACCATTCAAAAAACACACTTTTTGGTGTTCTGAGACCGATCATAAGGCGTTGTAATTCATGAACCCCGACACCGGTAAGCTTCTCACTGCAAAAACTGCCATTAAATAAGTGAACGGCAATAATAAAATATCTCCAGTATCACCCTCAAAGAGACAGGGCAACTATTTCAGCAACTGTGAAGTAGGAGAACCCCGTTTTATCCATTTTTGATCATTAACACTCATTATTAAGTGTTTGTGTGCAGATGAGTGCCGCACCGTTATCGATATGCCTACCGCTCCATGGCATTTCTCAACTATGTTAGAACGTATACCGTGCTTGCTCAGTGCTATAAAATCACATTTATTATTATCAATCACAATAAATGCAAAAGTAGAGATCATTGTGTATGAAATAGCAACAGCCCTCGCAATAAACACTCATACACTTTTTACATTGGTCGCTCCCATCACCACCGCATACCCTGCACACCCCGTTGCTTTTCTCGAAGTCTTCTAGGGGATAACAGTAGTATAGCGATTGTGAGAGAATATTCGACGTGACCAGCTGTGTCTTACAAATAGGGCATTTGATGGGCAGGTTGCATACCTTAGTGTGGCACACCGGGCATTCATAGCCTTTTTTGCTGCACCTGAAACAGCACGCACAGACCAAATCGCCCGTTAAAGCCTGTGGAAACCCGAGCTTGAGCAGGTTGAGTGCCGAACTAGAGTTAATCGAATTGGGCATGCAAAACGACTCAAGAAAAAGGGAAATATCAGATACTTCAACGGGCACGTAGTACTTGCCGTGTGTCTTCTGTGCAATATTCTTAAAAAAGTACACCTCTGCCCTAAGTGCTATAAAATGTACCTTTATATCTCTAAATGCACGCATCTCTTCGAAGTCTATCGTATATAACGAGCCGGTAACTACCAAAATTTCTTTTATATGGTCGTCCCTGCTGAGAAAATCAAGCGAAACATTCAAGCTGTTCATCAGCGAAAACTCACCTGTCCCTGCCACGCCAAAAAAGTTCTCAGTTTCAGACATCCTGTCCAGCACGATGTAATTTTCGCATCTGTTGTTCCGATATATGAGTAAGCTGAGAATAGAAATCGGATTTTCATCGTAAAACTTTTTGATAAAATGGTTCAGCTTGGTCGTTACGTGGTACCGGAATGAGGGAAGAAAATCGTTCAGCTCGATCGATGCAGATGAATCTATGATGATGTGAAAATGCCTTATTATGCCCTTTTTGTACGGTGCATACGTGTGATGAAGTTTCTTCTCGAGTGATACGTTTTTTTCTTCGTCCTCGTTGAGGTTTTCCCATGTTCTTTTGTACTGTTTCTCCCAGCTGAAAGGAGCAGACATGGGTGTGTAAATGGGTGCAAGAAAAAACGGTTCGAGTGAAATAAGTGGTATGTGATGGGGCAGTATCAGAATGAAGGGGCTGAGTGGCGATTGAATGATCGTGTTGGGAGACCTTATCGAAATAAGGAACCTGTCTTTCACAGGACTGGGGATAAATGGAACAACAGGCTGTACCGTTACACAACAGATTGTTGATTAGCTGTGTAATGTTCTTGGATGTATTGTAAGAGCTCAGTGCTAAGTTATTTCTCGCGCTTTGCGATTGGCTGAGCATTAACGAGAACGTGTTTACGGTGTAAAAGTGCCATGGCATTCTGGTCAGGCACTCAACATCCAATGACTAGATCTTTGGCCAGAATTAGCGCGTTTCAATCATGTCCATATGTATGGCATTCTGGTCAGGCACTCAACATCCAATGACTAGATCTTTGGCCAGAATTAGCGCGTTTCAATCATGTCCATGTGTATGGCATTTCTACAACGACCATGTATTAATGGCAATCCACCCGCAGATTGTTTATTACATCAGGTATTTTAATTTAAACGAAAGAGTATTTTACTTATGGTCTGTATTCAACTTTGTGCTGCTATGTATTTTACACTTTGTGTTTTCTCCGCATTAAACTGGGCATTTGTTGTACCTCGTGTTTTTCAGGGGCACATTCACCTTCTAATTCTCTACAACTCGTATTTCCATAGGAACACCGAACTGAATTTTTAATTTGGTAGCTCAGAAATAAATCGAACAGCTGAACCGTTCAAAAACAAATGTTGTGTTTGTAGCAAAGTTTGTGTGGTACCCCCATGTCATTTCTGCGGTACAAAAATGAAGTTTTGGACAAAATTACAGATTTGAATGGCATCGATGAGGGGGCTGCACGAGAGATCATAAACGGCATCTTGAAAATGGACAAAAATGCAGAAGACTACCATTTTCATGTTCAGTTAGGGTTTGAAATTGCGCAGAAGATGAAGAAAAGAACGAAAGTGCTTATAGCACTGTGGGAAAGAGGCAACTTTCAGATACGCAAAGCCATATTTGAGATCCTAAAAGATGAAAACTACAATAATAAGGAGCTAATGGCCTCTTTTGAGGTTATAAAGTTCAGGATGGGGCACTATGTGAATAAAGAGCGACTCCAGATGTTATTGGCGGTGATCAACGCTAAGTTGAGAGGCAAAATAGCCAAAATATTGGAGTTTTACGGTTTTTATACGAAGGGTTTCGTGTATAAGCCGATGAAAGAGTGGATATGGAACTATTGGGATCTTTGTTGCGAAGATGTGTACGAGATTGACGATGTGTTTATCAAGGAAATAGGATCATCGGGTAGGGCCAAAAAGCTGAAGATCGCACAAAATACGGGTCAAATAATTATTAAAGTATGTGATGGGGGCATAAATACGAAAGAGGTGGTGTACCGCCATACCTTAGAGGAACTTGATGACATCAAAATGATAAAGCAAGGAAGGTATTCTGAGCTGGTATCAATGAAAAGAGGCCGGCACAGCATAGATGGTTTTGCCTATTTTTGTCTAGGAGACTACCACAATGCACGAAAAGCATTACTCACTGGGCAGAAACATGCTAGATATGATGAAGAATATTCCGATTATACGAATAAGCTGTTATTATTGGATAGGATTGCTCATATTAGCGGAGTGTATCCCAACATCTCTGTGAAGTTCAATAACGATTGGCAGCGGAACAGAATCGAGCGGCAAATCCGATTCAGAAACTGCTGTGACAGATACAGGGATTTCAAAAATTTTGTATCGATGAGTTTTAGCGATTTTCGGACACGTATGATTGACCTCAGTCAGCACATTTATCTCTTCTATTGTAGGGACGGCAAGCTGGTAATTTATGATTGCAAGAACAATTTTAAGGTCAAGGCGGACATCGAAATTAATGAAAAGATCGTGGCATTGCGCATGCTTTTGAACAGGTCGAAAGAAACCATCAAGAGGAAGGTAGCAAATCCAGAAGATGTAAAGAGATGGTGGATCGATAGGTATAGCATTGACAGCGACCTTGGAAAGCTGATATCATTCAAGTTGAACTACAGATTCGAAAAGAATATCACCATATGTCTGGATGAGAATTTGACAGAGTTTCCTTTCGAACGGACATATGAGCTAAGCAAGTGCAACGTATCCCGGCTTTCATGCTCAGAATATGCCTTTAGGAACCAAAAACATCTGGCATTACGGAATCTGAAGATTAGTTGCATCGCAGGTGGTGTGAATCTAGGGAAGACAGAACAACGAATATCTGTGTTTACAGAGAAGCATGGCATGGATACAGCTGTATCAGAAAAGACAGACATTTTTGCTTATTTTGGACATGGTAGCGGTGTAAAGCATATCCAGATGCACACTCCATCGGTGTTGTTGCTCTTTGGATGCTCGAGCGTGAAATTGATAGAAAGGCAAAATTTCCAAAAAGTAGGCGTTCCCGTCAAATATTTGAGCACTGCTCAGGTGATTCTAGGATGTCTGTGGGATGTTACTGATTATGATATAGATATGTTTGGAATGAACCTAATTGAGCTTATAAGCAACGGCGAGACGATCCATCAGGCGGTAAGCAAAGCAATATGTAAGATGAGGCTTATATGGCTTAACGGGGCTTCTATTGTCGTTTATGGTGCTATGAACACCAGCTAAGCTGTTTACATATAATTACGCCGTGAATTGCTGCTCAAGTAGAAATTCAGCGGTTGCTTTTGCAGTAGTGAACAGAATTTGGCTATTTACACAGTTTTTCGTAGTTTTGCTCCTTAGTTTCCTCACATAATTACTAGTGCCTGCTTGTGTGGTAAGTATTTATAAAATTGAGGCCACCATGTACTCATCCTTAGCCCAGCAAGCTGTAGATAGACTGATGTTGGAAGGAAGGGCAATACTCCTAAAGGAAGCAAAATCTTTTTCTCATTGCCCTTGATTAGTTCTGAATTAAGCTCTCGTCCCCTCACAATATAATAAACCTACTCGGTACCATTACACCCATTTAAAGAGCACCTGCAATAAAATTTTAATTACATTTTATTTTATTAGAGCAAAAAATACGAACTACTACAATTTTGTCTTTGTATGGATGAAGCACATTCTGAGCCGGATGATATCCCAATAAAATAAGAGGGTTAAGCGTAACTATTCAAGGAATAGACACAAACTAATTTACCACAAAACACAATCAACCGTGCTATCTTGACATTTTCACGCTGTTAAGATGGTGATCGCATGCATCAATCCTGCCATACAAATATTTTTAAGGTTCATCCACTGTTTTGTTATTTCTTATGTGTTACAACATTGTTTATGATTCATCAACTGCCTGTGTTTGGAAATATTCGTACGATTAAAATATAGTGCTATAAAACCACTGCTTTGTTACTAACAAATATTCATGTCACTTAATACCCGCAAAACACTGATCATTCTATGATTTTTCAGGCATTATTTCCTATTTAACAGGTGTTTATCCATCATTGGATCCTTTATCGTGGTTTGCACCCCGTTAATATTTCTTCATCTTTATCCTTGGATCAATCAAAGTGTTCATTCGGACACAGTGCAATCAATCATGTTGATAGCGTTGCTACCAATCAATAACGTGCCTAATTCCTTGTGCTACGCGTCTCAGATAAAAAATAATCAAAAGACATGCATTCCGAACGGTACTATGTTCATCCAAAAGGATATTTCGAATTTATCGGATCGTTTTATTACCTTGATAATAATTAATGACGAGGATGCACAAGGCGCTATTGGACTGGGAAACACAAAGATAAGGATATTTGCGTTTAAGACGGGAGTATGAAAGGGACGGGATGCGCACACTGTGGAATATATGAGTTGGCGTTATTGGGGCGTTATAATGCGAACATGTAATATAAAATCACTTGTATGCAGTTTTCAGGTACAAAATTCTGCTAAACCTATTAGGCCATTATCTCAATGTCACTTTTCACAAGCAAATCGAAAGATTTGTGTTATATAATTTGTTAACGGCACAGATGGTGCCAGTGATAATTGTTGCTGCTGTTTCGTCTTTAAATTATTTACTAGTGCTAAATGGCATGGAATGTTTTTCAGCTATGTTCTCGTTCTACATTGCATTTATCGATTCGGAAGACAATTTAATTGACCTTCAAACCATTTCTACGCCCTACTGACAGTGGTAGGTATCCTTGTAGTAGTCCACACTATGCCAACCAACGGCACGCTTTGGTATTCCAAAAGATTTTTGTCTCTCTGTGGCGATAGATAAGGATATTCGGGGTTTGTCTTGATTTAACAAACGAATGCATCCGTGTCTGTAGATTAATAAATGCTCTATGACGGTGTTTTAAGGAGTTAGCCGTTATATTCGATCAAAGCCACCTTTTAAATTGCTGTTTTTGTGTGCCCGCTTAAACAACGGCAAACGAGAGATTCACAACATAAAATTGAGTTCAATCACATACTATTTCCCTTTTCGTAATTGTACCAATGAATTATCTTATTTTGTGTGCACTGATCCCTAATCTCCTTTAACTCCCCTTTTATCGTATATATAAAATTGTTGGCGTTCAATACGGAATGACGGCGAAGGAAAACAAAGAAAACGAAATTTTGATTGATACTTCACTCATAATGCTGAAGAAAATAGAGCTGGATCTTAAAAGAATAAGACAGAATGCTAATAATGGAGCTGATAGTGCAATAGACCTGTATTTGAGTGACAAAAAGAAGACAAAGAAAGGTAAATTTGGAGGTGTAAAATTTATTGTGCTGTTGGTGATGATTTTGATAACTATTTCGGTGCTGTACGTATGTTACAAATTTGGGAGAATCTGAACAGCAGGCCTAGCGTTCAATATTAGAGCAATAAAAGTTTTCTAAATCACGTTTTGATCACAACAAAAGCAACTTTTATCACATGCACGAACGTTTTTGAGTTCTTGTGAGGAGTGTTGCAAGGCAAATGGAGTGATAAGTAAATTTTTTGTGCTAATATGTAGCATTTGTAAATCACTGATCAACTTCCGTAGCGATAAAGTTGCGTTTATTTACAGGGCATGAAACATGTTCGGATCATAAGAGCGTTTAATACAACCATTTGTAACAGAAGGCCTCATTTACTGAGATTTTCATGGGCAGCGAAGTTACATAACAAACTTAGAGGAGAGCAGTGCTTGTCGAATAAGTTACATTGACGTATTCAGGACACATCACATGGTGGAAAACTGCAATATGGGAAGTAGCGCGAGTAAAAGTTTATTATTTACTGTAACTACATGGAATAGCACGTGATAATTTTAATCGGTGGGTATAAAATGTCCTAAACGAATTAAAAGCTCTAAAGGATGGAAATCACCTTATAAATGAAAACCGTGGGATGAAGAACAAGCTTCTTGATAGTGGGGCAGCTTAAAAATGCAGAAGCTCAAGTGATCATTTTAACAATAATATCGATTGTTTAAAAAATTGAGCGCTTTGATTGGTTTCAGCGCTATTAAGAATCAACAGTGTTTCTTGTTGGTTACTATATGGCGTGCTTTGTTTTTATTTTACCATTCAAGGCTCCATACGCCTCGGTTCGACTCTTGTGCCCTGGCCTATCTCTGTAAAAACTTTTCACCGTTTTAAATCCCGGACCCCGATGGCCGCAGTGGTTAGCAAGAGAGAGAAAAATGAGGTTCACTACACGAAGGTTAAAGAGTGCCTTAGCAAGTACAATCAGATTATTTTGTTTGAGATGAACCCAGTAAGAACCAAAGTCTTGCACAGGATGAGGGAGATGACACGCGATGCTACCAAAATTATTTTTGGTAAAAAATCGATCATAAAAAAAGCACTGGAAGGTGCTGATGAAAATTTTTTGAAGTGCATGACTGCAAACACATTCTTAATGTTTACGAATGAAGAGTCCTCCAGGATGATAGATGTTGTTATGAAACATAATGTGGCAGCATCTGAGAAGTTGATCCCAAAGGGAATATTGAGAATCAACAATGTGGCCGCACCTACGGTTATAAAGAAAAATCTTGATAAGCTTAATTTGACAACCAAAGAGAAAAACGGAATGCTCATTTTAGAGAATGACATCACCCTGGACACGGAGAGAGACAAAAAATTGATAAAACTACTTAAAATGGATGACACAAGCATCAATATCAGACCATTGTGTATTATTAGCAATGGCAACTACCAAAAGATTTAGGATATAATAAAAATTTAAACTGATCTATTACGTGGTTTTTATCATTTTGCTCCGATGGACTACCTCCACGACATTAAATCGCTAAATTTCCATTGTAACCAATTTTTAGACAACACACTGCATTTTGGTAAATTCACTGAAAAGCGACCCCTTTCGCGGTGGACTGCCAGTCGTTTACTTTAGCATTGATTTTTTGATCTTCTTAGTACCGTGGCGGTAAGATCTCTCTGAAGTGTGCATATACCAGCTGTTACCGTTACATCTTGACAGGCAACCAGATTTTTACCGAATTCAAAAACTCGCTCGTCCGTAAAACATCGTACTCCTTGCTTTTACGGTTACCGCTTGCTCATTTTGTGTAATCTCGTTCTTAACCGATTCTTGTTGATGAATTTATCCGTGGCGCAAAGACTTTGGCCCTCTGAAAAACATGCTGGCCTGCTGTTCACCACCCGCTTTGATGCCAAGTCATACGCTATTCCTGTTCATAGATCAGGTAATTGCAGATCCTTGCATTGGCATAACTTTGCTATCTCTAAACGATGCTGCTTTTTTGCGAAGATCTGTACATCGTTGTTCGTGTCAACTCGTACAACTGGGAGTAATGGCTATCAATTAAAAACATTTGCACAGAAAAAGCGCAATTCTAATTATTATAGTAAAATTTATTCGCTCAAACTTAATCCTCACCGATACACATATTCTTGCTATAGGTACTAACTCCATGAAGAAACATCCTTTACTTCATATCAATACCGATTATTTGAGTTAATGCTGATCGTTCTTTCACCCGTGCTCCGAATTGTGTGGCAATAATTTATTGTTAGTTGATTTGAAACCGGGTCCATATTCAGCGCATTGTTCCACACGCGCAAAAGCACATGTTTAAATATGGTAAAGAGCAATTATGGAAACTAGACCACGATGTGTTCGTGGTATAAACGTGTTATTATGGGTTTGATTGAAGGCGTTTTGCTGCAATATTTGGCAACATCCGTGATGTGTAACTGAAATTATCAGTAAATTCACCTGCCATGGTTGCTCCGTGACAGTATGAGTGGTATGGGCACAGGATCGGTACAATACGCACATTTCTGGCACATACAATTGGCTGATCTATGTTGGAAGGAATTGAAATGTTGCGAATGCGAAACATACGCGCTATGCAAGCAGGGATCATAGCGATTAATTGTCAAGGATTCGATGAAAATACTAAAAAAAATGGATTGGCAAGATCTTTTCGTCAAAAAATTTGTTATGGCAGCTCAAAGATTGGAAACAAATACTTTTACATCTCTGTGTTCGTATTTTAGATAAGAAAATGCCACTATTCAATTCAAACTCAATTTTTAGCTCCTTAAAATTGTGCAACACAAGGGAGCAGAGCTGTTCTCACTTAACACTACCGTGCTTAATTCATATAATGCATCGGCAAGGTATAACGTGGAACCGTGTACCACATCGCGTGCAATTTTTTGTTTTTAAAAATTAGTTGATATTTTCTGCCATATTAAAGCATGTTTTTGATAATATTAACACCAGGACAACGTACGAATCCACCCGTATTTTATTCGTTCCAGCGCCATGCTCAGGTATCCATTCGATTGTATCAACTTGCGATAACAGAAGAACCATTGCCACTATTTGACTCGTTCTATATTTTTGTGCGGGCACTAGAAGCACAAAAGCGTGAACAACGCAATGAACCGAACAAAACACGCCTAAAATCACAATACAAAATCTTTAAAACTAAGACGGCAATTTCAGATACACTAGAATATAACATAAGATCAAATTACTTTTTTAATCGTAACATATAAATTAGAAAATACACCAGAGCAAATGTTTGTAAGTAACAACCATAATTCATAGCCTGGTAATCTTATCATTAACTATCTTCGGATTCATCTTCTCAAGCTTAGCCATAGCCTCTTTCCGGTAATCAAACGAACAGCCATGCTGATCATGAAATCTATGCATCGCACAAAACACACCTCCACATCTGCATGTAAATTCGCACATTAATCGCAGCTTTTTGTCACATTTCTTGCAAAACTTGCTGTTATTTTTCGCATTTTTACCACTCCCCACCTTCACTTCCTTCTTAACACTCACGCCACTTTTCCGTCTCTTAGTTAAACACTTATTTGTTTCTTCTATTATCTTTCTCTTTATCTGGCTGCTAAATATTTCCTCCTCGCTGTGGTCTTCTAGTGAGTCGTTCATTTCCTTACCCATCCCAATCTTTTTTTTTTATTTATAGTTTTGCATCCCGAACATTTTCATTAATTATAAATTACATTATTAATAAATATTTTTATCTTTTAATGTCTTATCTGTTTGTAAGTTTTATTATTGCTTGGTTTCAGCGCAGCAATGACCGTACAAAGATTGCACCATACCATACATATAATTAAAGCAACTCGTGTATAGCAGAGCTAAGTATTCCCGATTTGCTATTATTTAGGAGCAAGTGCTTTTACACCGATATAAAGAATTGCTCTGTCCACCATCCGTACTTCATTCTCATCCCCTACGAGATTGACTTGGTTGCTGATTAAATATGCCTCGTATTCGAATATAAGACTCGTTCTTCTGTGAAATACATGGTGTTCTCATGTGAACACAATTTATAATAGGCTTTTCAGCAAATTGCCTTTTAATTAATCGCATACCACTACGCGGTAAGGTCCGCCATTGCACATATAGTGACCGTGAATTATCCCAAACAAATAATATTTGAATATAGATGCGAACAATAAGTGCAACTGATCTGATCTATTTGACATCAAAAATAAGTATCAAAATTGAAAACAATACACACGCACTTGCAGTTGCATATTAAACTCGAATATGATTCAATCGTGCGTATTATTTTAGATCTTCTAAAATAGGCTTTCAATAAATCCTAGAATGGATTATGTAATTAACTCATAAAAAGAATTGAAATGGCCCCTAATATTGTGCACAAAGCACTAATTCAAAGCTTAAATTACTTCCAACTTGAATGTTAAGCACCGCTATGACAAGATGTGGGCTCTTCGCTTGGATACAAACAATGGTTTCACCAACAAGAATTAATAAATGTTTATTGTACAAATACGGCAATGATTTCTGTATTAATTTGAGCAACAGGCCAGAGCAGGGTACTATCACGGTTTTATCCACGATATGTGCGAGAATTACGCACGGTTTTGTTTGGTGATAGCAATTCATTTTGTGCTATGTACGATTGTTAGGTTAGTAGAGAATATTTACTAAATCTTGAACTGGCATTCACTTATTTGCGCAGCTATCATCCTCATCCAATAGTATCAGAGATAGCTGCCCGATAATTTTATTTACCGGTAAATATTTCGCCGATCAATTGCAGATGCGCACTAATTTTTGGCATGCTGTTGTTAAGGGAGCCGAAAAGAAAAATTACATGTACCTTGAAAACACGTTAAAATAAATGATTTTAAATTGTACCTTCAATATTGTTATCCCGGTCGTTGCAACTATGAATATATTGATTTGAATGGCTTACTTATCTCCACTCTGCCAAAATGCTTTATCTTTTTACGCTACAAGTGATAAGATCTTTGTTTCATACCATCACGCTCGTTTCAAACACTGCTTATGGAAATGTTCACGGATCCTACCACTGAACAACAGTTGCTCACATACGGTACGATACCTGACGTTCTTCAAGATGTTGGTTGTAGGCACTGAACAAAATTCAACAATAATTCTCAGAAAGGGTCGCGGGTTGCCTCTACAATTCCAGTATAAATTGCGTAAAACAGGTCATAGATCTGACAGTCAATGACTATGGCAGGTGTAAACACATGAGAACTATGTTGACAGAACAGGTGTGTGAGGTAGTGTTGAATAAAGCTGCTGCTAGCACATATACCAATGTCAGACGAAGAAAAAATGCACTAAGCTGTCCATCGATACAAAACTGATACATAATAAGATGCCTGTCCACACTTTTGTAGCTATTTTCCCAAACGCTTCACAATACTTGTTACCAAGTCATATGAAGTATCGCCCATATCTCCCTTCAGAGCAAAAAAATGACATCATCACATCCTGCACCCGAAAGCAAACAGTGCACATGTACGAGGTGCTATGATTGTTTCGTAACATACCTTTCTTCTAGCTCTGAACGTTTATAGGCAAAAACAAGTAAAAAATTTGAAGTACCTTGACGAGCATTTATTGAACACACACTACTTGGCTCGTTAGAGCTACGTTAAATTCTACGAGGAGCCCCGCCAGGCTAATCTTTCAAAATAATTTTTAATTCGTAATCCTATCAATCTGGTAGAGTGCGATAAGCACGGTGTACTTTTCTTTCTCATCTATACCAACGTTCGTAATTTTACCTTCCGCACACATGAACCACTTCCCGTGATTGTTAAGATACGCCCTGTGTGTTGGTTCAGCGTGAGTAATAAAGCTCGACAAACGATATCTTGTGCGCTCAACGGTAAGAATCTCTTGCACATTCAGCTTTCTCTTGTTCTCAAACTTGAGAACTAGTATCAACGGACACTTGTTTATCTTGATATTACTTGACTCGAAGTAATCACGAACACTCATTGACATATCAGCCGCTCCCTCCTTTGTGGTTATATCCAAATAATCGCGGTATATCTTGTAGAACGTTCTTCCGTCCTGTCCTTCGTACTTTCCATGGAAAATTTCAACAATTGGCGAGTACTTCTCGAAGATCTTCTTCTCTGATTTGTAGCTCTTCTTAATCTTAGAAGTCCAGCTCTCTTCTTCAAAAAAATGCGTGTCAATGAGGTCATCGTGTATTTTCTTGCAAACCGTCCTGTAAATGCTCATGAAGTCCTCATTTAGATCCAAGAAACTGTTCTGGTAGTAGTCCTTGAGATAGTTGATCAGGCTGTTTATGAAAGGAGTGTAAACGATCTTTCTATTGATCTTCTCATTCAGGTCCTCTACAAAGTTGTAGAATATCTTGTTGTTCAACAATGCCAGCAACATCAATTCGGCGTTGTTATCCATGCAGTTCTTCCCGTCTTCTAGCACGAAATCCGTATCTCTCAGATTCTGCGAGGTAGGCAGCAGCTTGTTGCCAAATATCCTCTGTATCCTCTCTTTCTTTGTATTTTTGTTCTCGTCAGGAAAAATGAGATGATATTCCTCTTCCAAGGTGATATCTTCGAGAAAAAAGACATTTTCCTGGTTGTCTCTCATTCCAGGGGGATAATTTCGCAGTTAAAAAATTTTAAACATTTGCTGGGCGTTTGAAACAATAAATGCCGAGTAGCCGAGTGTTGTTCGTGTATGTACGTTTCATCATAATCGCTTCAAACCAATTTTTCTTTTTTGTGGCAAAATAATCTGAAACCTTGTTTTGGCGGTTACTGTGGATCAATCACTGGTTAATGACATATCTGCACCACTTCTAAGGTTTATAGATGCAAGTGTTGAGATAATAATTCCAATTATTTGCTTCTTTACAAATAATCATTCAAATTTGCGCATCAACCTCAATAAAGTAGAACGAGCTAAAATTTAATCAATGCCAATCTACCATTGATTAACACTTTCTCAGTGTTTGATGACAATTTCACCAAATTTACTGTGCAAAATATAGAAAACTATATTCAAAGACGATTATCCCGCTATGAACTTGGTAACATTGTTCTTAAGGTGTTTAACATCTTTTTCGTTCTATTTTGGACATCAATTGTCGTTTTTTCCGATATAAAGAGGTTTAATTAACATAAATTGTTGATACTAGCATCTGCGGCAACTCATCGGAAGCCTGTTCAGCACGAGCACAAGATGTGATCCAATTATTAAGTAAACTTATTCGATAATGACGGCATGGTTATTTCAGTCCAGTTGAGTAAAAAAGTACGGTTAACTCCAAAACGTTTCTCTTTAATTTTAGGCTCATATACATTTATATTCAAATTTTTTTGTTCCGGTTAATACAATAATTTAAAAAAGTATCTCTGATATGTTTCTAATCTCGAAGTAAATGTTATCATCGTATAGTAATTACTGACTGCATGTTTTTGCCAGTAATTTAACACGTTTAATACCTTTTTTCGCTTGACATGGTTTACGGTGTTTAACCCAACATTTCGTTAATCTCTACCGATCTTTTTTGGGAAATTTATACCGTCGCCCAGCGTAGTAAAGGTCGGCAGAAACCATTCCCAAGTGTTTTTCCCAAATATCTGTTCCCAATTTTCGTAAACTCCCATGTTGTATGGATTCATCTCGTCTCTTTCCAGCACCTCTTCCTCGTTCACCAAAGGACCTTCCTGGTAAACAAATCGCACGCCCTGATCTCCTCTCAAAAAGGCGTTCAAAGCTTTGTTTTCGATCATGGTTTCGTTCTTTCTTATCAGTATAGTGTGATAGATAAACATTTGTAGGCTCACGCACATCTCCACGAACAACAGCGATGTGAGCACGATAAAGTGCGAAAACGATGCTGTGGGCAGCTGTCTATTCTTGATTAGCTCGAACATCAACAATATAATCAGGAAGAGGCAATAAATTATGTTCATAATGACAAAAAGATAGAAAAATTTGTAATTGTGGAACGCTATGCACACTCCTAAGAGGCCACAGTGGTGATCAAACCTAAGAAAGCATTTCTGGCATATTGAGCAGTGATGCGTGCGTGGCGGCTTATATGTAACGCAGATGTTACACGTTTTCAGCATCTTTAATCTCTTCTGTATGATTTCCTCCTCGATGAAAGGATTGAAATATCGTGACGTGATGGCCTGTTTATTTGCCACCTTGCTCGGGAACCTATTTGCTGTGCTCGTGTCGTCAATTGCCAAAATCCTCATATAGAAGATGAGCGTGTAGATGAGCAAAACATGGTAAATTAAAAACATAATCAAAACAACTACGCTGTCAAACCGTTTTGCATCGATACAGTACTTACCCACCAGCACGTAGTACGAATAAATTGTTAAGATGGGGTACAGCGTAGAAAGGATCGAGTTAACAAAGCTGGCGTACACCGTAGATGACATCAAGACAAAAATTAGTTCGTTTCGATAAAAGTATTTATGTACTGATTTAATTTATGTCAAGTGATTAATAAATATGTAAATTAATCAAACTGTATTTAGAATGCTAGTGTTGCTCTGACCAGCGCTCAATTCGCTCAATTCGCTGCTGTAATTCTATGGAGCTGCTGCCAAGTTTTTACACCTATATTTACAAGCACAAATACAGGTAGTACCAGCGAAACGTTCCGCAATGAAATATTGGTGGACAGATCTAAATAATATTTATGCTACTATTTTTCAATATCCGTGTTAATCTGCCTTTGTGATGATAAATAAAATCATTTACAATTATATACAGTTCCTATTTTAGATGAGCTGTTGTTGTGCCTGGTATTACTGCGCTTCGTGGTAACTTTTCTGTGCTCTGCGGTATTGGCAGCACATCACAAGTATAAGTAAAAACCACACCTAATTTTTTTGCAAGAACAACATCGTATAATAACCAAACATTGCCATTCCATGTATTAACCTATGTTGATTTGCAACATTAGATGTGCAACGGGGAGACATTCATTATTACTACAATGTATTCTACGATCAACCTCAGAACAAGTTGCTTATTTACCGAATTGTTTCGTCCAATTCTTTTGTTCAACAGTATCGGAATCAGTGTGCAATAAGCCGAGGTGTTGAACGTGGCAATATTTTAATTAAAGTGAAAATTACCCAAACTGATTCATTTGGCATCATTTACCCACCTGATACCAAAATATTACTATGTTTATCTTGTAATTCATTAAATAATAAATTAATTTTCTTTTTTCCGGGAAGGGGGCTCTAACATACCAAAATCATTGAGGAATTGTGGTAAGATTTGTCCACACAATGAACATAATCGTTATTTGAAAATTTCATAGTTAATGTTGACATGAAATATATCACTTGGCAGCAATAAATGCCAGAAATACGTCATTACCTATGAGAGATGCACGAGTTTTCAGGTTACTTATTCACCTTCTTACCGCATATAATACTAAAACACAATATTAGATAAATATTTTGATAATATTCGTTTAGTTAAGTTCTTTTTTAGCGAACTTAAATTCAAGCCATAAAAATGGTAAAATGTCAGTTTCATCACTTGGTCATCTAGGATATGAGCACAAAGCAAAATTAAGTTGACGCATCCGTTTCATCGCTCATGAACGGTAATTGACAGGAAATAATACGCATTTAATAAAGAATATTGAACACATTAATTGCAAAGTGGTATGCGTGGTTATTGTGACCGCTGGCCTAACGTAAAGATGTAATTTTGGATAAGAATAGTGTGTTGCCCAGATGTTATTGTATGAAGGGATGAGTAAATGACTTTTAGTTGGTAAGGTGTCTAAAAATGTAGTTCGTGATTAATGTATGACACTTGGTACACCAGAATGAATTGGAGAGTATTTGCCCCTACACATTGGTTTTAAGATACGAATTGGTGTAAAAGCAGAATAAGTTACATGTATTGGTTAATGCCGTGAATGTACTTATGGATGGACACCATTTCGGAGTTCAAAATTTGCTATGAATTGCTGAGAAGTGAATACATGCTATTCCAAAGAATAGAGTGGATGCAATACGGCCTGGTTTGTGTCACAGATAAAATGCATATTTTTACATTGGTTCACAGTTTGCTTTGGGCGTGGTATACTGAGTAGACTAATGTTTTAGAAATGCATATTTCTAATGAGACTTTCATCCGAGTTCAAAAACGATATTTCAGATCAAAGGAATAATTACCAAGACAAGGAAGAAAATTCGGTGCCATATTCGTTCCAAAGAATGATTAGTTGCACTAATGTAATATTAAGTTATCGCTTAAAAATCGTGTGAAATACAGAGTCATACTCGCGTCGAAGATGTGCGTAGTTTTAACCAAACTCGAACACTATCATACACCCGCGTAATCGCTTCAGGGATTGTGTACTTTATTTAGAACATGTACTTTTTGAAGTATATCCCATCACTCCGTCCTGTGAAGTACGGCATGATCCACTCGTAATAGTTATTGCCAAATACCTCTTTGACATTTTCCATATACCCTAAAAAGTACGGGTTGAGCAATTTTCTATCACTAATATGTATTTCATCTCCAAAACACAGCAGTCCCTCCTGAAAAACACCCTTATATTTTTCGTTTCCCGCAAGGAAATTATTAATTGCGCAGCTTTCAATGGATGTCTCATTATATAGCAATAATTTTGTATGAAGTACTAAATGTACAAAACAGGTTACCATTATAATCCCGGTTGTAACAATTCCTGTGGCATAGAAGGGCATTCGCTTGGCAGTTTGTCGAACATTTACAGCAAAATAAAGCAGTAAAATGAATTGAAAAGTACTGTATATCCAATTTGATAGCAAGAACAAATAATAATACTTGTAATTGGAATGTCCTACGCAAGTATTCAAGATATAGCTATGATGGTCCCGTTTCATGAAACAGGCATCACAGACCTGGCAATGGTGTGCTCGTGGAGGCCGATACATATCGCACTTGCCGCATTTTTTCATTGTCTCGGTGCGTTCTTCCAGTATATTTTCGGTAAAGAATGGGTTGAATATGCTGTTTAGGCCGGTTTCGGTGAGCTCGTTTAAGTTCCGTATTTTGTATGAAGATTTGCTCGATAGAATTTGGTAGTAAACCTGCACACAAAGGATGAGGATGTACAGAGAGAAAAAATTTCCTGTGTAATAGAAGCAGATGTTCTTTTTGTATTTGTAAATTTTTTTGGTGTGAACGAACATTACAACGTGGTAATTGAAGATGAAAAGAAGAACAAAGAGGCAACTAGTGAGTGTCGATGCAGAAGATCGCCAAGAAGTGTTTTTGAACATAGTTAAGCTGATATAAATGCTTAAATATTTCAATAGTGTAATAGAATGATAAATTAACGTGTAAATGTGATTTCTGTACAATGTAAAATTAGTGATCTAATTTATTCCTTCGAATGTTCTATTATGAATGCTAATCTTGCACTCTATGTCATCGAACCAATAAGATAGCCTGTCACATAAAACGTTTAATCTCAATTTCCGAGGAATATCCTAAGTTAATCTCTCGGTCGTGCTTCGTATTGGTGTACGCTCAACGTATTTTTTGGTGCAAAACTGTGGAAGTAATTTGGCACACACTCTTAATGAAGTATCGGGAATCACCGTGCTAAACATTGGTAATTAATCATAATTTACTTTAAATGTGCAAATGTTCTTCATAAGTAGTTGAAATAACATCAAACTGAAGCATTTTATTTTCTAAGTTGATGTAGCTCTTTAATGATTACATAATTGTGTCAATTGTTACTGTCATATTGATAATTTAATCAACTTTGATGTACAATTCAAAGTATTTACGTTGATATAATAAATATAAACGTATGATATAAGTATTAACAGCAGTTTGAAAATACTTCAAAAAATTGAGTTTTGTAAAGCTTGCATGACACCGCGTACAATAAGTACATATCTTGCCGCTTTCTTTTGCTTTTTGAAAATGCTCCTGCCAACGATGCTGTAGCTGGTGGTATTAGCAGTATTTTTGTAATAACGGGCTCAGCATTGAGCTACCTGTTAAATAACAAGATATTGTAATGCCCGTGATAGCTAAGTAAAGATTTGTAAGGTAAAAAATGTCATACAGAATGTTTGTTTAACACTTTCTTTTAAACAACATGCCATCCAACCCGAAGCACTAAATGCATTTACTGATAGCTGGGTCAGCTGTAGCTGTCAGCCGTTGTTTCTGTCTTACATGTTTTTTGGCACTGTATCGATGATTACATTAATGTTTCTTGAAATAGATACCATTGCTTCTACCCGTGAAGTACGGCATGATCCACTCACAATAATTGTCTCCAAAGACCTCTTTGACATTTTCTATGTACCCTAGAAAGTACGGGTTGAGCAATTTTCTATCTCGGACATCCATGTTTTCATCAGTACTTAACAGTCCTTCCTGAAATATGCCTTCATAGTTGTTATCACCGGCAAGAAATTCATCTATGGCAAGTCGTTCGATAGTTGTTTCGTTGAACAGGAGCAATCTTGTATGAAGCACCAAAAATATGAGCGCTATTATCAGTATAATTCCATTAGAAATAATTGCTAGCACATAGAAGGCCATTCTTGCAGGTGTTTGGTTAGCTGAAATGACGTAATGCAAGAACAATACAAACAAAAATGTGCTATACATCCAATTCACCAGCAGGAACAGATAATAGTGCTTATAGTTTGTATGGCCAATACATACATTGAGGAGGAAACAATGATGATCCATTTTTGTGAAACAAAGATCGCATATTTGACAATGATGTGTTCGTGGTGGCTTGTATGCATTGCATTCACTGCATATTCTTACCACCTTGATTGTTTTTATTAATATTTCGTGGGTAAAGAACGGGTTGAATATTTCATTAAGACTTTCTTCTGTCATTTCATTAAATTTTCTTGGTTTGTACAGCAGCCTGTCAAAAGAGGCTAAGAATATCTGGAGAAGAAGAATCATAATGTATAAAGATACGTAATTGCCTAGATAAAAAAAATAAATATTCTTTTTATATTTGTAAATCTTTCTTATATGTACAAACATCAGGACGTAATAACTAAATATGAACATTACGATGTAAGAGCAGGCATAGAACGTAAATAAGTTTTTTTCTTTTCCTTTCCTCATTTTTACGGGGTCTTGCGCACCAGGGCAATTATAAGGGGTAGCCTCCACTGATAAACAGGCTACATCACAACTTAACACGAAAAATATGTGTAGAAATGATGCGAACCAAACGTTATTCGTTTAATAAACACAATTTGATCTATTCAAATGAATATACATCAAACATTTTTACGAAAATCGTTTATCTATCTCCTCGTATAACAATACCAAAACAACCACGCTTTCTGGTCCCTAAATGTTAATCAAATCACTGTTATACACGATATAATCCACAAATATTTCATATTTAGTACCGTACTTTGTCTTTCTTTCGGCAACTGGTAAAAACACCATAATAAAACTAAATTTGTTGAATTAGAAAATTATAACTGGCCAACTTTCTTATTAGATAAAAAATTGAATAAATTCTTCTATCACAAAATACTGAATAAGAGAAGCATTATGTGTACTCAGTTGATATTGGCCTTGTAATTAGGAATTGTGCTTCATTCTTTCTGTTACTACGTCTTATTTTGATTAATTAATCGATATTTCATCATATACGATGTAAATGACGACAATAGTCATAACAATTTTTAATTGGTGATTTGTGATGAGAAAGGTATTTAGCCCACACATGTGTTACTGATAAATACAACATGGCATTTCTCCGTATTTTCCACGAACTTATTGGATCATCAAAGTACTGTGCTTAAACGATATATACAGTCCGTTAATCATACAAACAGCATATCAAGCGTATGTGATAGTTCAGCGTAATTACCACCATCTTATTTGTAATGTTGAATGTTAAAATTATTACCTCTCCATGTCAACACTAAATATGGAACTATTCTCATGAACAGTGAATATTGCGAACGATGCGTACATTTGCAAAAACAAGGCAATGTAATATTTGACAAGCATTTAAGGCATGCAACGAGAGAATTTATACACTATGTCAATAAATGTATACTTTAATGATTTTTGAAGCAATTAGCTTGCTCCTCGTTTTGAATTATTTAGCAGAACTTGTGCACATTTTCATATTCTGAGCAATTGGAGCGCTTATCTCATCGCCGAGGATAGCTAAAGGGAAGTATTGTTACGGATAGTTTGTAACAGCCTGTTCGCTCAATCAAAAACTTTCTTGCTAATCTATTGACGTGATCAGGCCGTAAGTTTTTTTAGAGATATGGTAGTTAAACAAAATGTTGTACTGAACAGTATAAATGAGCGGTATATCAATGATACAATGATTTACCGATATGTGTCTTAACATATCTGTATGGACAGTTCCGTAATGCAGCAATTACACCATCACTCGAATATTCGCCATTAATGAAACGTTTATTTGCTGAGCTTCCGTCCAAAGTTCAAACACAAGTGAAAACGTAATTTTTAGTCTTTATACTTCCAGAATACTCGGTGATAATCTCGTTGGTTTGCACAGGAAGCAGCCCTGCCAATTCTCAATGCAACACGCTTTACTTCGTCCTTCGAATGCACTTCCAGAGCTCCTTCTCCCCTCCATTTACAAAATATTTCTTCTTTCCTCTTTTTACTAGAAAGTCCTCCAATTCTCTACGTCTCCTCATCGTTTTTATCCTGTCATTGACCTCATCTGAATACAGAAAGGCGTAATCCTGTAGATGTCGAAAAGCATTGCATTTTGAAAAAAAACGCGGATCTGTTGGTGCGGCAGCACGTCTTCTCTTTGTGCATGTATTTTTCTTCGGCTTCATTTTCTCCAGTTGGGATCAAAAATTATTTTTGCTTATTAAATTTCTGTTCGTCTGCAAAGGCTTTTTAAAGCATGCACATTCGTACAAAGAATTGTAATTCCAATCTCTTTACGCACATTCTTTCTGATCGCACTAACTGTTAGTTCCTTACAATTTTTACAATACTACCCGTAAACATTACCATGCTCTGATAAAGATTGTAATTGCAATAAATTTTATTAAAATGTGATTACCTGCACGAAACGTGTTGTACCACTCACCATGCATTTATTCTGGCCAAATAGCATCTGCACGAATCATAAACAACGGACAAATTAAACAGCATCATATATAAATCACATAAATAGACCTGCAGCACTGTGAAACCGGACCTGTTACCTATCACACCACGCTTTAAACACAATATACGGACAGCTATCTCTTATAGACTGTACGAGGATAAACACTTTAATAACCTTTTGTGAGACGAAAAGAAGTTTAATAGCTCCACTAGATACATTGTGTTGCAGTCTACGCTCAAACTACTTTCGGTTCTTGTATTTCTCTTTCAGTTTAAAGTACACGGTTCTAAATTTATCTCTTTCCTCCCTCATAATCTCGTAGTCCTTCTTAAGGACCTCCAACTCATCATTCAGCCTTTGTACCTCCCTGTCTTTCATTCTAATACCAACCTCGTTCTTCTCTTCCAATTCTTTCTTAAACTTAGCCACCTCTTTTTCAACTGCTAGGTATATTTTTCCTTTAACCGCAAACATGCGTCTATGTGTTTCTTTTAATTTATCCAGCTCCATTTGTATTTGCGAGTAATTGTGCACATCATCTGTCCTCCTATTCACATTGAGATGCTCCTTTAAATCAAAAACATCTTTTTGGTGTTTTCCAACACCATAAAAACCCTTCCCTCTATTTTCTTCCACAAAATGCCTGCCAACTCTCAAAGTGTCCTTAACACCTTCATATGCACGGTCCAAACGATTACCCATGCCCTGTCCACTTCTCTCAGAAACCACACGCTCCTTGTGCATTTCATCACCAATTTTGTCAAATACCCTCTTCAAACTAGCACCGTTCTCATACTCATCAACACCTTCCAATATAACCCGTTCGTTTCCACCGTTACTTTTTTTAAATTCGCTTTTCTTACCTACAAGATTTGTTTTTTCGGCTAGCGGACCGTTCTTGAGCAGAACAGATGCTTGTAAAAATTCATCAGGATCGACCTGCTCATTGTGGTTGTAGACCATCAGGGGTTAGAAAAAAAGGAAATATGTGCTTGACGATGAAACAGAATTAGCTGAGAGATTTAACACGTTGTGCACATGCAATCGTCCACATTTCATGGTGTATACTGTTATCAAGTAGACGAATGAATAGAGCTAATAACACGGTGTTTTGTTGCCATGTTACGAATTTTACATATATATATCAACTCTTGTACACTCTTTCACAACGTACTAATCCAGCCTATCCTATATTTTATCTTAACCTATCCAACGTGTTATCTTAATCAATTCTATATACTATTTCACGTACTATCTTAACCTATTATGATCTGATATTTCACCGATATATGCAGATTCGCAATCACTTTCAAGTAAATTTACTAAAACACAAACTTACAATACAACTTTTGAATGCTCTTACGCCAATCATAAACCCTAATTATACCAATCATAAACAATACCACACATATAGTCGTATAAATAAAAGTATTGCCCATGTTTTCAGAGCGTTTAACAACACGTACCCGATTTACTGGTGATTGCCCATTTGATATAAAACAGATATTCAAAAATGCAATCAAAACAGATCCGTTTAAACTGTGAGAGCAATTAATAAAACTATTTAAAGTTGTTAAAATTATTACTCTCTCATGTCAACATCAAACAAAGTTTACTTTTAGACAACCATAACGCGCGGTTATGATCATCAAGGATGTTGATCTGCTGCAGGTAACAGTATAAGACAGCTGATCTGCCATAATAATTTTCTGCACAATAATTCTGCTAAAGAAGTCACAATCAAAATCGTAATTATACAGATGCCATCTCACAAGATATGCTGATTAGATTGTTGCTATTTAATGTTGGCATTAAGGTCTGCAATTTTAACGGTTAGAGATGATCGGTTATAAATCAAAGCACTGATCGTGATTGGTGCCAGCAGACCGGTATGGTGCGCTTGTTCGGATGATGTTGCTATGTAAGGAGATAGTAGCGATGTTTTTAGTGGAAAAGCACACTACGCATACGCTTCTACTGATTAATCGCTTAACTGTTTACGCCATAACGAGCTCAGAGTGCTTAAACAATGACAGCAATTACGATCACACAATTTGTATAAACCGTTATCTTCATGGCGTTGATCCACATCACTCCAAATACCGCCCTACAACCCGAACATAAAACTTGCTCGTGCACAGCACATCCACAAATACGATTTTCTTTACTCTCTTGTTGAAGAAATACGAACTTGGATGCACATATACGGACTGTCCGCTTCGCATTTTATAGCTGCCGTCCTTCTGCAGCACGCTGAGATTGTGTTTAAAGCTTTTGCTGAATGCCCTTTCTACGTTTTGTACCAATACGCCCTTGGCCCTTTTCTGCAGCTGATTGTTGGTCAGCGCGCATCGCTGAAGCGCTCTTATGTTAAGTTGATTGTCCTTGCAGAACTTTAACTTATCGAAGGTTCTTTCCGTGCCATCTATCAGCGTATCGCCGTATGGATCAGGGGCAGCATCCTGCTTCATAAGATATTGGTTATACGCTCCGCTATCGTTTTCCTGCAAAAAGGCGTTCATCAGGTCAAGTAAGCTCAGAATGTCGTATTTCTTGGGATTCACCAAAAAATTACAGTTCTCTTCGTTTATGAGCGACACGATCTTTGCACAGAGTTTACCACAGCTTAGATCATTGGCTGTGTGCATGAAATTCGATAGCTTAGCATCCAAAGGATAGGTTACCAGTTTCAATCCATAGGACGTTATTTTGATCGTGAAATTATCTACGCTTCCACGGCTATGACCATCAGCGCACTCCTTCTTATCACGCTGTTTCTTCACTTCTTGACAGTTGTGCATACCATGCGCTACGTTTCTCAGCTCATTTTCTTTTTTAGTGTCTCTTTCCTTCACTTTCTTCTCGCTCTTCAGCACACAAACCGCTTCAATCTCAGTCAAAAATTCAATCGCCCTTTTCACATTTTCTCTCCTCGGATAGACCAAAAACGCCCACTTCAGCACATCCATTCCCATCGCACACATCCACAACACAACATCACTTAGATCGCATCTCATAATCTCAGGTACCATTTTGCTCATATTATTATACTCATCCTCGGTGTATAACCTGTAGCACACGCCATCTGCAAGCCTGTTACACCGTCCTTTTCTCTGATCGGCGCTTTCTCTGCTAATCCTCTGCGCGCCCATGAAGTTAACATTCTTAAATATTTTTGTTTTATGCACGCCTGTATCCACCACATACCTAACGTTTGGTATTGTTACGCTTGTCTCTGCTATATTCGTTGCAAGAATTATACGGGCCGGTAGCTCTGTCTTATTTGTGTCCTCTCGGCATTCATCCTGCCTTTCTCTATCATAACCATCCTTTCTGCTGCTGCTAGTGATGTGCTCATAGTTTGTACTGGAATGTACCGCTACAGCATCAACACCCAGTCTCTTCAGCATTCTTTTCAGCTCTAAAATATCATCTTCACCGGGCAGAAACACAAGGATATCCCTAACACACGCAACATTCTTTGCTTTGCTTGCCTGCAAACCACCCAACAATTCCAATTTTTCTTTCCTTTTATTCGCCGTACCATCTTTTTCACTACCTACATCCATCCCCGTCAATATACCCTTTATCTTGTAGTAGGCTGCGATCAGATAATCGCTCACAGCTTCTTTTTCATAAAATACATGCGCCCTGAACCCTTTGATCCTCAAATCAACCCTTTCACATCCGAAGTATCTTTCTACGTCGCAGTCATCAACCGTTGCCGACATAAAAATGGCCTTCTTCACGTTTACTGTTTTCATCCACATTAGCACAAACTCGATACGCACACTCCTCTCGTGCACCTCATCAACGATAATCATATCATATTTCTTACCGCTCATTATATCCTTGATGAACATTCCATCGGTCATTAACGTGATCTTTCCGTCCTTGTGCTCCTTGCGTGAGTGTTTTATCCTGTAGTTGAGATGACGTATCCTGTGCTTGAGGTATGTGTATATGTTTAGTACTGCCAGCCTGCGTGGCTGAATAATTGCTACGGTGTATGTGGGAAAGCGCCTGCTGATCAGCGTTGGGATGTACGTAGACTTACCCGTACCTGTCGGTGCAGTTATTAAAAGATACTTGTTCTCGAGTATTTTGTTGTAGATCAGATCCTCGTACGCATCCATAGGGAATGAAAATGGTGGGGTAAGAAAATGCGGATTGCTTTGATGGTAACGTGCACCAGCAAAAACCGCTAGAATGACTTGACAACATCTTAAAACAGTAAAATTGAATTCGTTATTGATTCATGTCACCAGCTGCACCTATTTGGTGGTAAAAAGCGATTACAAGCTGAACGGCTAGGAAATGCATGCCATCATTTGTATTGTGATAAGCAATCGCCTCACTTGATTCAAATAGCAAAAATCGCATAAATTGTAAATGATTTAGAGCTGTTCACTCGTTTATAACGGTGTGAACCATGAAGGTTTGTTTATTGCGCAACGTTGTTAAAACAATTTACAGAAATATCCCGGTCTAGGAATGTCTGTAGTCATGTTCAAGCTATCTGTAATGTGATTGCCATACATTAGACTAATTATTTTGGCGTATATTTTGATTATGCTTTATCAGTGGCATTTACGTTTTGATTTGTTTAACAACGTATTTGCTTATCATTTCAAATAGCATCCCACATTGAAGCACCTTTTTTGCTCGCTGGGACCACATATGTCCACCGGTTTTTACGTCATGAAACTTTTGATAGGTGCTCTCTGTTCAAATGTCTGTAGAAAACGTGTGAAGGAAAAATGCTGGTTTACACGCAGCTCTTTCCCAGTGTTAAATGTGCAATGCAGCGCAACCACTTATATTGTAGTGGTAAATATCGATATCAGGATTGCTTTCAGTAAAACCAATTATGCATTCACAAGCGTTTTTAAAACTATACTTTTAATGCATTCATGCGATTGTACATTCTAGAACAAAGCTGTTCATTTGGTATTTAAACATACAGAATGCATTGGAACGGTTTACACCAGCTAGTTGCACTAATTCCTGTTTTACTCTGAAGGATCACCGATGCGCCTGACATCGAGTCAAGCCTATCTCTTTATGTTTCACACCTGAAAAATGCCGCATCGCTACCACTCCAACGAATTCAATTGCTTGATCTGTTTATCGAGCTCACCAATTTCTCTGATGACTTTGCTCCTCATGAAGAAAATTGGGCAGTCCTTGTTGGCACATAACACCTCAGTACAAACACTTCGTATGCATCTCTGACATTCTCTCCAGCACTTGTTGTACACGTCTTCTTTTTCTTTCATTTCCTGAATTTTACCGACATACACAGAGAAGTAATTTGGTGCACATCTCCTGCACAGTATAGGCCCTCTCTCCTTACACAGCAGACATGTTATGCCTTTCTTCACGAACTGCGCCATCGGTCCACTTAAAGTGCCTTTCTTCCTAGTTGCTGTGTGCTCACCCACGAAGAGCTCATTTACATTGTCCATCAATGGGTCAAAGAGCCTATGTACCGGCTTCATGATCTGCTGTTCGATGTAATAATTGACATCAACTGGCAGATTCTTCTCTAGCACGTACAAAGGATCCTCTGACTTCTCATATGCGATAACGTTCGGCCCTTTATCTACAATCACGTATGCTATCCGATCTCCAATATTTATTACAGCATTATCGCGTTTCTTCATGCGCTCTGCAAGTTCGACATGTGCCTGCTTGGCAGCATAATTTGTTTTCGAAAGCGTTTTGGAAATGACCAGCTGGCCTAGATCGATCCTGTCGAGGTACAGGTCTCGGACAACTGCTTTAACAAATGATTTTGCTCGTTCTGGATCGCGCTGTATCAAAAGCAAGTTAAGACATTCTTCTATTAAGGACTTGACCAATTTGCAGTTGTCCCTTCTGACCGTCTCTATACCCTTTGTGTCCATTCGCCTTTGGATTTTGTATTTTTTCTTTGGCTCCTTTGCCACTCCACGCTCATTCTCGGTACTTACCGTATTTATAGCAGTCTCTTCCTCATCAGTCACCGTATTCCGCACTCCGTTCTTCAAATTGTCAGCTGCAGCTGTTTCATTCTTTATTTTGACAGTTTTTACTTCTCCAATTTCATTCCCTTCGGTTTTGCTGCCTGAGTTCTCCTCGGCTTCCTTTGCCTGTGAGGTTTGAGAACTACTTTTTCTGCTGTCGCTCTTTACTTCACTAACTTTGACTTCATCCTTGATTTCTTCTCTCGTCTCGATAACTCCCGCATACCTCTTCTTGTTCATTAAGAGGTACGGAAAATAAACTTTCTCGAATTCAAGCTTAACAGGCTTCACAAAACACTCCGAAACTTTGCTCGCCATCTCCTTAGCAATCTCAAACACATAATCCACGCTCAAATTCTCTTTCCTGATGCGAATCATTACAGAGTCCGTATCCCCGTAGATCACGCGACCATCAAAATCGTATCCTTTGTCTCTGCAGAACACGCTTTCCACAACATTCTTCGTTTTTATTATCATTTCTCGTCCATAGCCAGTTACACTCTGGCTTATGTCGATGCATGGCAATCTGCTGACCGCTGAGCCCGTAAATCCGTACACGCTGTTCGCACTCACCTTAAATGCATTCTGCCTGGCATTCAGTAACGTTCTCATAAACGTGTTCGTCTCGTTCTTCATTTGTTCCTTCACCTCTTTTCGTTTCTTGAGCATTTTCTCCAAAATAACCGGCAGTAAGCCAACACGAACATCCTTTTTGACAAAATACGTGCCTGTAGGACTTATCTCTGCATCCTTACTTTTATCAATGCCATGTTTCGTGCCTAGCAGCATCGTGGAATAGCACAGGTTATGTGCTATGATGATGCTGGGATAAAGACTAGCAAAGTCGAGCACTGCGATGGGCTCATCGTAGTATCCCCGCTCAGGTTCGATAACAAATGCCCCCATATATCCCTCATCCTTCACTGTGACGTTCGGGATCACAAAACCATTCTTCCTCGCTTCTCTTAGAATCAATCCGAAAATCTTTACCGAAATACCGCGATTGAAGTGCCAATGTATCGGTACGCCAAGCACGCGCACCATTTCTACGCCTGTAATGAAAATCAGCAGCTTCTCATATATGAGCAGCGGCAGCAGCGTATCCTTTAGGCAGTAAACAGCGATCCTCCTCCTTGTTTTGTCATCACCATCAAATAAACCTTTGATGAGGTAATAGGGAAGGTCCTCCTTCTGCATGCCAAGAAAATGGACACTTACGTTGTTCAGGGTGTATGAACGTAGCTTATGCTCCTTTTTTATCACAGTGAGCATGTCGACCACAATCCTGCCGTGAAAATCGTTAAACATTTCTTTTCTCGTGTTGTTGCAGCTCTTGCACTCTCCAAATTTATCTTTGATTGCATCGTACATTACGTGTTCTGTGGCGAATCTTCCCCCTTTGCTCTCAATCCCGCTCAAAACATTGCTTGCTGTTCGATTCACTTCTTCTCGTCCCATTTTACTTGTCTCAAGCACTGCGCTCGTTTCGTTTTTTACGACTTGGCCTATCTCCTGCTTCAATCTCAGGTTCGTTTCGTTCTTAGCGACATCTCGTAGCATCCTAGCGCTTGTATCAATTGCCCTTGCGATGGTGTCATCCTTGGAAGGATCGATGTACAGGCGGCACAAGCAAAATGGCACTCCCAATTTCCTAACACGTCCTATGATGTAATCAAAATCAAATCCGGAGATGTTGTAGCCCAGAAAAACATCCGGATCCTCATAATACACAAACTTTATCCATTCCTCGATCATTTCTCTCTCCGTATCGTACGATCGCACGTCTACCCCTGCGATACCTGCCGTGTTCCTCTGGCAGAATATGGTCTGTTTGTATTCGTGCTGCTTTACTGTGTTACCTATCTGAATTATTTCATCGATAGACGAGTCAGGAAATTTATTTTCACGGTTGTTGACCTCTAAATCAAATGAGAGAATCTTGAAGACCGGCATGCAGTCCTTCAAAATCGGCCTGATTGCTCTATGACTTACATGGTACACCCTACCAATCCGATGGGTGCTACAAATAGCATCCATATATTTGGTATTTTCCTCATCTTCTGATTTGTGTCTTTTTATCCTCTGATTACCGTTGTGCACATCAAGACTTGTGCTGAACACGCCATTTGCACCACCCGCATCTTCAATTCTCAGTTCCTGTCCGCTCTCCATATCCATGTCAACCTCCAAATAGCTCATCCCCACGATGCCCATATCAACCATAAACTGCAAATTAAACGGAATATTGGCATCAAAAATCTCATACATATTCTCACATGCCCTACGTGCGGCACTCTCAACCACAATATTCTTGAAAAACACTTTCAGGAATGACTCATTCTTCGATATGTACCCGTATACATTCTTCTTAATCGACAGCTTGTGGCTCACAACATCGATATTCTTTGACATAAAAAAATTGAGAATGTCATTCTTGTCCGTTTCGATCTTTACGTAAAAATATGGAAAGAAGTCCGTAACTACCAATTTGAGATGGGCATCGTTTGCCATGCACTCGATGTATATTTGTGTGGTTGTTTGGCTTTCCTTTGTTTGTGTGAACGAGTTGATATTGGTCTGGAAAACGAGCATCCTGAGGGATAGAATAAAAAATTTAGAAATCTCTGGCGGGTACGGCACGTGTATGAGGATGAGAAATGAACGGTTCTTTAGTAACACATCTGAGTAGATCGAATGGGCGTATGAATGTATACTTTTAAAACCCTATTGTTCACACCTTATATCTACACAAGTATATCATCCCATTTGCAACAGTTAAAGGTTCTTTACTGGAACAATTCACTTAAAATTCGTTAGCTCACCTTCCTCACGACAGCTATTTTCTCAATGCGCTTCACAAATTTCTACAGCACACCACATATATTAAATATTGTAACATATGAACAACGCTATGACATCACACGTGTTAAATACAACGAATATTCAACTTGTGAATTGATAAGGACTCGTTTTATGACAGCAGCTATTCCCTTCCATCATTTCATAACACGTAAATACAAATACAGCCTGATCGAAGCTATCGGCAGAACATCATACACGCACTGAAAAGTACACTATGATTCAAACGGACCGCACATCGTGTTTTTATCTGACCAACCAAAAAACTTGTTCACGTACAACCATTCGTTCCCGAAGAAATAAAATCATAGCCATCACACGCACACGAATGCTCAAGATCGACAACTCTGTTTTCGTTCTTTTCGTTATATCGGTGCTGTGTGCAGTATATTTTTCACTGTTCAGTATCCCACTGTTCTCAACGGGCAAAAAGACACCCAGTGCGGTCGTGAAAATCGAGGAGAAAGTTAAAACCTTAGAAGTGCAGGTAAAAGCCATTATGGACATATTGGGAATGAAGGTTAAGGCTGGTGATAAGGGAAATGGTGGAGAAAAGGAGGGTGAGGGGAAGGAGGGTGAGGGGAAGGAAGGTGAGGGGAAGGAAGGTGAGGAAAAAGAAGGTGAGGAGAAGGGAGCGGAAAAAAGTGAGAAAGAAAAGACAGGCACAGGCATGTCGGGTATGCCAGGTATGCCTAATATTTAAGTGAGCGGTCGTGAACCGGTTGGGAGGGTGTAGCTCGGGAAGGAATAGAAAATACGGTAGAATGGTGGGTGCATGTGTTGCGGCACATCACATGCAGCAATAAACCATGAAATAAATGCGGTTGTAGAGTGGCATTTACAGCATATTCCTTTATTTGATTGGTTGGGCGTGAAGTGGCAAATCAACATATTTTTGGAGAAACATGTTTTATCGGCTATCCTACACTAAGAAAGATGAACCTGAGGCTGTGACGAGTCGTACCGCAATTGAAAGGGTGCGATCAAAAATTTAACTCGCCCTCAATTCCTAGCCCTGCAGTTTCAATGATCGATTTTCTACTTGATGACATCCCCGGCACCATAAAACGACACATAAACGAGCCGATATGCCGGAACGACCCCGCATTTCTGCAACTATTTTACACGTACTATAAGAAGGAGGAGGATATCAATGTCATATTCCTGATGTACTTGAAATCTATCGGCAAGTATCACTATTTCGTGTATGCGTGCCTTGCCCGCTACTTTCTCAGGATCGGTGAACGGGACAAGGCATACTTCGTGCTACAAGAGGGTATAATGAACGACTGTGTCGGCAAGGAGGAATTGACGAGCATAAAGAATATGGTTGGGTATTTAAACACCAATACGGACATACTGCCCGAGAGTGTTTATGTTTTCGGAAGGGAGTGGATTGAAATAGCGGTGAACTACGTTACTGTTGATTCGGCGTACGGCGCCCTGGAACTGAAAGCAAGAGATTATTGGGAGAGATTATCGCATACCAGTCCACACGCACCAGAAGAGGGTGGCAAATCGTGTGAGCATGAAGATTGGCGCGGTAAAAGTCCAAGAAAAAGGAGGAAAAGCATTGTAGAGATGGTTTGTGATGAGGTTGAAGATGATCGAAGAAACGAGCGTAGTATTATCGAGGAAGGCCTGGAAGATGAGAGGAGGGAGGAGATTGAGAGGAGGGAGGAGATTGAGAGCTATGGACCGGTGAGAGACACTGCTGTTGTGCATTGCACGGTTAGAGCGAACGAGAAAGAAACAGAAAATGCACACGGAACAAATCTTGAATGCCTACCAAGCACAACATCGGTAAAACTGTTCGGTGAGGAATATTTTTGCACACCTGCCGAACAAAACATTAGATCGGTTTGCGATGTTGTTATGGCCGTACATTCGCGGTTCAGCCTAGGAAACGCAACTTATATCGTAAAAGAGATCGACGGCGACCTCGTAAAGATCACAAGCATAGAAAATTACAGCGAAGAACACACTTTTACCAGCAGGGAGTACGTGCTAAGAAAAGTTGATAGAGTTGTAAATTTGGAATCAATACGCACCATAATACCTCATGAAACGGAGTATATAAGGATTAACAGACAGTTGTACACGAAATGTGTGAGACCATTTCTCTACACTCTCAAAGAAAATGAGAAATGGGCAAACAGCAATATCTGCGTATATTTCGTGGGAGAAGTAATAAAAATATTGCGGTGGATTTGCACGAGTGGGCTGTGCGTAGAGCTGTCACTAAGAGATTTTGATGTGGTGGACGATGACGAAAAACTCAGTCTTAAGCTTAACAATCTCAATTTTGGTGAACGGATGAGATTTGATGAATTGGAGTTGATGATCGTGAAGGCAGGGATAGCGATGAGCGAGAGTTTGTGCGAGATTGAGGAGAATGCCAGCAAGAGAATGCGCCAGATGAACTTGGCAGATGAAATCATGGAGCACAAGCTTAGACTGCTAAGCGGAATAAGCTTTGAATGATCTCAAAGATAACTAGGACCGAAATAAAGGACAAAGGAAAAGTTTTTCCTCGTGTGGTGAGAGAGAAATAGGTAAGTAAACACGCTTTCTGTAAAAAATGATAAAAGAAAAATTTATTAAAATCCGGTTTAATTTAGGAAGGTAAAAGAACGAATAGGTGTTCCATCAAAGCCTCTTTGCCATAATAAAGGCTGAGTTTCAACGATTCATTGCTTGGTTTGCTCGTTCAAAATATCTCGTGAACCTTTATTCGGATTACGGAACAAATATGAATGCTCTAGAACGTGATATATTGCTATATCAGAAAAAATAGCGCAGTTGAATGGAATAAAATGCAAAAGTATATTCAAAATGGCACAATATGTGTTCGTGATTGATAGTTTAGCTTGCCTGGTACAATTTATTTGATAGATTGGTATGTAAAGTATTATAAATTCAAAATATCGGTAATTCGCTTGTGTTAGGAGAAAAATAAATCGTTTCTAACACTAATTTCGCAGGTAAATAAACATATTTTAGTCAAATGAACATTTTCTTCCCTTCATCTCACTATTCCTTATCATGAACATTTTGTTCAGGGTCAAATATTTGATTACGTTCATAGAATAACGTAGCAAAGAGTTCTACACAAAGTAGCGAGAATGCACCATAAAACTGAGGATAACAAGTTATGTGTAGCAGATACTACCAGATTGCTGCCATAATCACAACAGGAGTTTTTCTGCTTCAACGAATGATGCCTCTCGAAAATGAAAGATGCTATTAAAAAATGCCTTCCCGACTGTTATTAAAAATATTATGACAATGTTGATTTGATAAACTGGTATAAACAGGAATAGGATGATTATTTCTGGTAGTAAGATCTGTTGCCTTAGAAGAAATCGCTGTGAAATGAACATGCTGTAAGAGAAGATGTTTTAATGACTACCAAACAAATATTTGGTGCAAGCAATAATGGTTAAAAAATCATTTCTACTGAGAAATGATAGGGAATTTAGGCCTAGAAAGCGAAGCAGATGCGTTTTAAATATATATTTGCACGGAATACATCATAATGTGCGGTGGTACAGCACTGATCAAGTTTTTCGTGTAGAAAAATGCACAATTCACAAGTGTTCCACACAAATTGCACAAATGCCTATTGTTCGTCTGTAACTCGACGTTCACAACGAGTATTGAACTGACCTCACGTTGTTTGCGTGGAGAGAAGTAACCAAAATAACAAGCAGATTAATGCAGCAACCACATCGAATCAGACGAGAAAAGCTACACACAGAGGATGGCATGTGCGCACAGTGTTGATGGGTGTGACACTACTTAAAAGAGATTTGTTGAAAAGCAAATACCAAGCCTGGAATCAGATGTGCACATTTGTCTCTATTACAGATCATTTCACTATGTGAAAGTAAAAACTCTTCTCTACCACTGACAGGAAAGCATAATGCTCAACCATTCTTGTGACGTCTTATCGATCTAAAACGTTTCAAGCACTAATCAACTGATAAACACGCTTTTAAGGCAAAAAATGAGTAAACAAAAACAAACCATGTCAGAATTACAATGCAAGGAAAAAACGGGCGTGTTCGTGGGTGTTTCTCTCACAATAAACCAGGAACGCACATCCGTGAAAGTATTCATAGCCATGAACGATGGGAATTTTTGTATAGACACCCAGGAGCTGGCGTTCAAGATAATATACGTTAATGACAAAGAATGTCTCCAAAACATCATCGAAATAGAGGAGAGGGAGAGCGTAGAAGGTATCGGCCGATTCTCTATCAGTATTGATGGGCTAATTACAATTCCTGAGCCGTTTATTTGCGATCATGAATTTCAGCCGGAAACAGAAGAACCTACCTCTGGCGTGAAAATGCTTATCGATTATTTGAACAAAATCGGAAATTACTACCAGGATGAAAGGTTCTTTTACAGGATATGCAGGAAATGTGATCGCATCGAACATGTCAACAAGAGCGTTGGTACGCTCGTGTCAGAAAGTCTGAATCAGAACTTCGAGTTCGAAATAATGCGCTATGATGATACAAACTACCGAATGCTGTGCATGGTGCTAAAACATGTAAACAAAACGGTCAAAAACTTTTTGCGCGAGTACACCACACGAAACAACATGAAGATCATTGCCGGCGGATTCCCCGCTTCTGTGTTCAAGTACTCGGATCTGTTAATGGCAATACAGCACGAGTTTTGGATCGAACTGGATGCGTTTCCATGCTTCTTTTTAACGACACGCTCGGACCTGGAGAGCATTGCCGATAGCTTTTCAAGGAAGAGTGCGAGACTCATAGGATTTAACAATCTGCTGCGATTGGAGATTGGCAAGCAAAACGTCGTTGAGATTGACAGTTCTGTGATCAGCTTTTGTTCACTGCAGAGTTATCGGGACTTTCTTGAGGATCCGTTGTCACGTGTTGTTGACGATCTGAAGGTTATTGCAAAGCGCTTCACAGGTAAAAAGATATCGTTTATCAGTTCTACACCACAGGGCGGTGGCGTAGCACTCATGCGACACGCACATATGCGCTTCTACAAGCTCCTGGGAATTAATGTTTCGTGGTATGTCACCATCCCGGTTGCCTCTGTGTACACGATCACAAAGAAAAAGTTCCATAACATCCTGCAGAACGTAGCGAAGGATGAGGAGCTGAGCACAGAAGACAAAAAGATGTACGAAAGCTGGATTAAGGTAAATTGTGACCGGCTGTGGAGCAACAGCGTGTTCAGAGAAAGCGACATTGTTATCCTCGATGACCACCAGACAAGCGGCTTCTTCAAATTCGTGAAGAGCGCCAATCCGAAGGCAAAGGTCATCTACCGGTCACATATACAGATCAGAGGCGAACTCTACAAAATAAAAGAAGATTTCACAAAGACATGGAACTACATTTTCAGCAATATACGAGGGGTGGATCTGTTCATATCGCACCCCATCGAGTCGTTCGTTCCGTTGAATGTAGACAGAAGAAAGATTGTCTACCAGCCACCAAGCACCGACCCGCTGGACGGACTGAACAAGCCGATGGATGAGTACATCTCGGAATACTACGAAGGCCTGTTCCACAAATCATGTGCGGCGAGCCAACAGAAAGAGCTTTCTCTGTCCAAGCCATACATCGTGCAAATATCCCGTTTCGATCCCTCGAAGGGCCAGAAAGATGCGATAGACGCGTTCTCAATCGTTTACAGGCAACTTGAGAGCCGCATCAAGGCAGTAGGTGACCCTCTGCACGACCTGCATCTGATACTGTGCGGACACGGAAGTGTCGATGACCCGGAAGGTGGTCTTATATTCAATGAATTGCTTGCATACCTCAACGAGGAGAAGAATGCAGCGGTAAGAAGCAGCGTAATTGTAGTTAAATTGCCGCCACTTGACCAGATTCTGAATCTTGTCTTGAAAAATGCACGTCTAGCGCTGCAGCTCAGTATAAGTGAGGGATTTGAGATTAAAGTGACCGAAGCTGTTCTTAAAAGCGTACCCGTCGTTGTGTATGACAGCGGAGGTCTTCCGCTACAGATATATGAAAACAAAACCGGCTTCATTGTGCCGTGCCACGATACCGCAGCAGCGGCAGAGAAGATGATTTATCTGCTGAACCATCCCGAATTTGCAACGGATATGCGTGGTTACATACATCTGTCGTACCTTCACACGACCCCGTTCCAGATACTTGGATGGACACGTATTTTTGAAAAGGTCATTAAAAACGAGGATGGCAATGAAGAGGTCATCTGTGAGAGCATTGTAAAAAACTATTTTGATATTTTTAAGGAATTTATGCTGCCCAAGCTGAAGAGGTGAGCGTTGATTAACGCTGTCATAAATAAAGGATTTAGTAATTGTAGTAGAATCGGCTGTGCCCTGTAAAGTCACGGGCAAGACCACGAATTGGGGCTGTCACGCACATCTAGTACTCCCTATAAGTGCTTGGGCATTTATCACATTCATTTTTGACACGTCCTCGATGTTCATATCATGGCATTTTTTACGGTTGGGAGGCCCAAAAATTTATAATTTCGTTGTTCTCCACGCCTCGAGAACCGTTTCATTTAAGCCGACGATAAATGCCTGACCTAAGAGATGCACAGCACCCCGGCATTGCAGTTATCACGCTTTTTACATGCAATGATACTAAAAGCTCCTCCGTGAAGGCACTCAATGCGCGAAACATGCAAAAAACGAAATAAAAATAACACAGCTGATTAAAAAGTATAAATTTACTCCTCAGTGGTGCTTTGTTCCACATGTTTAGGCTCCTCCTGCATGCATATATCGCTCTCTTTCTCTCGCTTAGCCTCCTGGTAAAGTGCATCAAGTTCGTTTGCATCCCTGTAAATGTAGCTCTCTATTCCATTCCTCAGGTTATCATCGATCTCATCGCCCCTTTTTATATGATTGATGATCTTGGCGAACAAGTAGAAGCCCGCGCCAAGCGCAGAGGGTGACCGATTGTTCATCGCAATGGCAATATCAACATATGAAAGGCTGTTATCGGTGTTGCAGAATGCAATAACGGGAGCTTTCGCTTTCGCAGCCTCTCCGATCGTCTGTTGGTCTGAAAACGCGTCCGCCGCTATCAACAAACGGGGCTCACAAACATTCTTGATCTCAAAATTTGAAAATCCGCCAGGTATGAACCGTCCAGTTACAGGAGTAGCACCCGTTGCCTCACAGAACTTCAGAACCGCCTTCCTGCCAAAATCCTTGTTGGACACCACCACAATGCTTTTCGTGTCTTTGATACTCAGGAACAGCCTGGCCGCAAGTACCATTTTGTCCCACATCTTCTGCACATCGATCACATTAATTCTGTCTTCCGGCCTGCAACCGAATATGTAGTCCTTCATCTGGATATTGGCCTGTATGCCGCCAAGGTGACAGGAACACTGCAGAAGAGCGGTTACGATTTTGGGCGAAGGCCTTTTGATCTTGTTTGATGACATTTTTGAGGGCAAAGAATTAAAAAATTTTTAATACGCTGAGAACGAAATCGGATCGGTAAACGGTGACACGGTGCATGAGCATTCCTTGCAACAGAAATAATCTGAGCAAGAAATAGCTGGTAAGACGCACATCGCTGCGCATGGCAAAAAAATTTGTAAGACGGTTCTAGTCATATCACACAGAAATGCTGCTTAGCATCGATTACGCGCACAATTCACTCATACTCAGGACCAGAACACTGCATTCTTTTCGATAAGGTAGCCTGTAAGGATAAATATGCCTCTTACGTATCAATAGATGAGAATATGTTGTGGCCGGCTACAACAGATGCAAATACACAACAAAAAGAATATTTAATGCCGGATTAACGTGTAATATTGATAATTAAACTTGTGTTGAAAATAGCTCAGCTGCGATATCATCCTCTGATACGGTCAGCTCAATCGATTGAAGATTTCGATAAGTAGCACAGGTAAAAAACGTTTTAAATTGTTAGGTTCACCACTTTTGAAATATTGCTCACCACGAGTGTTGGTCCATACACTTGCGGATCACATCTCTATGCGCCAAGCAATGGATCCTACGGCTTGTTCCCATCCCAAGATTCTGGTGTAACGGATGGTGCTGATACTCTGCACCATTTCATACTGTCGGCAAGACCCGAACACTTATATCGAGAAATTACGAGCGACCGGTTCGGCGGTTTTTTAGTCTTAAAATGAATTTTTTACGTTATATCACAGCTACGTATGCCTGGCCGTGGTTTAGCACAGATTTCTTGCGGATAATGAGCATCCTTGGTTTTATCATGTAGGTTACGACGAACACCTCTTCCAGACTGGCAATCGCAAATAATCAAATGCATAATTGCACTGATATTTGCTACTGATGGTTCGTTGAGTAATGCTATTCTTCGTCAAAGAGCGCCAATCAGTGAGCGTTTCCGGTTTTTACAACTGCATGGCAGTGTGCGTATTTTTACACCCCTGAGAAAGCCCCACGAATCACCGGATGTTCGATGTACATACCCTGGAAAAGGACAAAAGATGCGTTAAGGAGTTTACGAAAGAGATAGAGCAAAAACTCAAATTTTCAAACGTTGTGAAGCCGGAAAACACGGTAGATGCAGAGAATGTAGTGATGACTGGCTGTTTACACGTGTACTACGCGAACAGAATCGGATTTGTTGATGATTATGATGCTAAAACACGCAAAAGTGCGGTGGAGAATACGGAGAAGAAAGAAGCAACCGGTAAAACTGAGAACACAAACGTAACCAACGATGGGGTTTTGCATAACTTCCACAGCAACACTTACATCTCCTTTAAAGATTATTTCATTAATTACTTAGAATTTACACGCATCATTGATCTAAGCGAGTGTTACTTCAGCATCAAAAAATTTGAACTGGATGTATTTCTGACTGTCCTTTGCCACGAATACATTGATCATCAGATCGTAACATTTCTGGGTAAAGTGCTTGTTGACCCAGTGGACTACCCAAAAGAAGAGAAAAAACAGTTTTACTGTGTGTTGCTTCTTTGCTATTTCTATACCAGAAAAGTAACGAATAAAGGGTCGGCCACCGACATGATGAGGCTCCGAGACAAGCTCTATCATAAAACAAAGAAAATGAGCTATCTGCTCGACACGAAGGTCCTCAAAAAAATGCTATTTTGATATCGAACCGGTAAATGATCCGCATCTTGACAAGATAATTATCCAATTATTTGTGAACAAGGACAAAAATGAGCGAACAGCCGGCTTTGATAGCAAGTTTCTAAACTTCTATTACACTATGTACCTGCGAAAGGACCGAATAGACTTTGAAGTCTTTTACTGCTTTCAAAAAAACCTGAACTCCGCCATTAAGGCGTTGCCCCATGACAAACACATAGGCTATCTGAAAAGCGTGTTCCTCAAGGACACGGTACTTTACAACTTAACAGATGTGCGGCAGATCATAAGATTTATTTTTTTATTTTACACCAACAAACTGGCACACAAAGTTCTGAAAAAAGTTCTGCACCTTGTGTTTGATTTCTTTCATATTTTGTCTGCGAATTATCGGCTCATCGATGCGATTTTGGAGGAAATGACCGTGTTCCTGGACAATGAGAAGTTTCGCGATTTGCAAGACGATAGAATGAAAATGATTGTAAATCAACATAGCATAAGAAGCAGCCGATGTTTTGGCGATTTGTCAACATTTCTTATCTTTAACAGCGACTCTTTTCATAGCATGAAATTGTTAATTGATCATTTTATGAGCATTTACAAATACTTTGACGTGAATTACGTACGGTTTGTGGCTATCATAGACTTTTTTGATCTACTGATTAACAAAATCAAGACTGAATTCTTACACCAGGTCTATGTGGCGCTGGTTGATTGCTTGACCGATATTATTTGTGGTTTAAATGTCTTTTTGAATGCCATGATATGTGCGGATGACACAGATATGGGTGCTATTATGCTTTCGTTGACACTCCATGATATGGAAAAGCTCAGAAAATTTGTTAATAAGTTTGTTCGAACATATTTCAAACTTTTCACGGGAAACCCGATGAAAGAGAAAAAGAAAAAAATGAAAGGATGCATACGAGAAGATCTGAAAGACAAGAAGATGCTAAATATGCTAGGTGTTATAAGAGATAATGAAATTATTGTTAATGGCTATTTGAACCGGTGCGGTATTGGTAGAACATATTTTTTGCTTAAAGATAGAGGTTTGTGTTTTTAATTACGAAAGAAACCGATCGTTCAGATTGCCAAGGTCGCAGGCTGTTACTTATGACCTGAACTTTAGCGCAAAATACTTGACTGGTTCACTTGAAGTGCGTTTGGTGTCTAATTTAGATTATTCGAACGTAAGAACAGCGATTTAACGTATTTTACAGTATTGTTGGTGCATGTTTGCCATCCTATCTGTTAAAAGATAGCCGTTTGGAAATAACGGACAACTCCGCTTGAGCTCTGCAGCATTTACAGGCACTTGTCTTTGTGGCCGCTCCACGCACGGTTGTCACCAGCTGCAATCACCCATCAAAAATCATATAAATAAAAAGTAAGCGATGACTTCCATCATCAAAGCAACAGGAAGAGCTGGGTGTTGCGCAACACACCATTTGATTGCCCACAATTTTTACAATAGCTTTATCAAACGAAGACCAATGCACCGCCGACTACAATAAATTACAACTGCACCAATTAAATCCAGCCGTTTTTCTTAAAAAAACTATGCAGTATTCCTACCCGGCTGTCATTGCCTTTCACTATCCTACCAAGTGTCTTGCTATTAACACTCTTCGTTCTGATTTGCTCCAGAATTGCATAACGTTTCAGCCTCATGTACGAGTCATACGTAATTTTGAGTTTTTGGCACAGGCTCTTCTCTGAGGACATTAAAACATTCATGCGCAATCGCTCGACCTCAAAGAAATCATGTTTAATCCTCTTATTTATTCCTTTGTAATCCAAAAGATATTTTTCGATGGCGAGCCCTGTGAGAAGAAGGTTAAAGTCTTTTTTGGAGATGAACTGTGCTAATGGTGCAATTTTATAATATATGCTGCTATCAACAGCCTCCTTGTTCGCTTTTATTTCCTGCACCTGTGTCAGTCCTTTTTCTAGTATTATCATCCGCTTGTACTTCCGGAGAGCAAGCAGATTTTTGTACGCATCCAGAAGGAAATTCTTTATAACCTCGTTTTCTCCTACGTCCAGCGATTTGAGGTTGATTTCGTAGTCATACTCGTCTTCAAAATCAAAATCACTTCTCTTTGGTGCGTATACGCTCACATAGTGGTAGTTAGGATTTGAAAGATCTGATATTATCACATCGTTGTCGTACTCCTTGTTAATATTTATTCCGAACACCTTGTAAAAATGGTTTTCAATCTCTTGTGAGCTCTTGGTCTTCAGGTTAAGCGCAATTTCTGTCCAATTTCCAAGCCCATGCTGTATCAGCATCTCAAAAAATATGAGCTCCTCAAGAGCAGTCCAATTGCTCTCTATGAGGGTATAATTCAGCGGTTCGATCGCGTAGTATCTGTGCGTGATGGAGTGTTTTTTAGCAGTTTTCTGGTTGAAATAGCACATTACACACATATCAATATCGCACTCGCATTTTATGCGCGTATAATTTGTTATCTCCTGGAAGCAGCAGTCGCACAGTATGATGATCTTACGGCTACTCTCAAAATTAGTTACTGTCATCTCCGATAGTATAATACTAATTTTTATGGAGGGTTGTTTTATTTTTCTAGATTAAGAAGAGAGGAAGATTTGACAAATTATAAAGAAGTTATTAGGCTATGACAGAGCTAAAAATTTTTTATTCGTGCTCTCAGGCAAAATTATCCTTGACAAAGTTAAAAAAATTTTGCAGGTTCATTCTAACAGAGCACCATTGTGCGCACCGATTGGTTGAAAACAGCCAATCGATCGGAAAATAATCGCATTTTATCGGGTTAATAGGCTTTAATCTTGATATGAACATGGTATCTATCAGCTAAGGCACCGCTCTTCAGCTAAGCAACACCAGGAGAATAGCTTTCCACCATTTTGAGCCCTTTAGATCTGTTGCAGCTCGGATAAATTACCTTCATATGAGCTGAGTACCTACATTGCGATTGAACCAGCAAAATGTTCCACATTAGTGTATTACGTAAGACATTCAGCACTTTAATACGTCATGGTAAGATTTGAGGAACGCACACTTATGATCTCTATTCCAAGCCTTCTTCTGTAAAATCGTTCATTTTTAAACAGTTTAAATACATCTTGAGCTCTGCTGACTGATTGGGTGTAATCACCGCTACTATTATGGTTTGTATGATTCCTCTGCTTTGCACTTGCCGCGCAAAAATTGGTTACAATCATAAATGGTATCGAAAAGTATGTGTGCCTATGCATCCCGCTAAATATGCTGTGCAACCAAATGAACAAACAAACTTATCCCTTGAACGTGTCTAAAGGTACTGAAACAGGCTTTGGTACTTTAACAAACGCATTCTTCCAAAGATATTGCCATCCGCGAATTGGTCTCGAGGCTGCAGCGGAATGTCCTTTTATTATACAAACAAGAGCAAAAATTGCACGGCATGGTATAAGGCAGCGCTACGAATAAATCTGTGATATGGAACATGTAATACGACCTGTTGGCGAAAACGAGTAGCAATCTCCAATTACAGACATTGTGTTACTCGTTGTGAGATATTCGTGGCAAACATGTGGACAGAGATTAAAAATGTTGTATAAATCGCTTATCGCACAGAATGAAATAAATAGCGTGCTCTAAAGAACAATTTGACGAATAAATTTAGTTACTAGCAACTGTCGTTTGTCAGAGTACCTGTACAACGTATCCTCTATAACACGTTGTTTTTGCTAGCGGTATTTATAAAAGCTCTCAATTCCCACTCGGGATCACCTTCAAACTCAAGCGAACCTTTCATAACTTTGTATAATTTCATATCAAACCGTATAGTGTCCTCTTCAGGATTATGTTCCAAGAAGTAGTGTCGGAATCTGATAATGTCATCTTTGTTATGAAATACAACGACACGCTTACCTTTTTCGACACTCGGAAACATATAGCTCAAATTTTGTTTCAGCTTGAGCCCAATGTCCGTGCCGAAATTCTCCAAAATCAGCAGCGCCTTTGTACTAAAAGGCTTAGTTCGTGAAAGGAGCCTTACATTGTGCAGAGAGAAATAGAATGTCGGTCCGTACGGAAAATATGTTAGAATTAGCGAATTAGCCTGCCCATGTGACTCGCCAACCATAACCAAAACATCAAAATTTTGTTCGGCTAGTTCCTTGATCGTCATACTACCGCGTGTTACAGAAGAGGCGTTCAAAATTAGTGAAAGGTGTTTGGCAAACTGTTTCAGTCTGCTTGACGGGTCTCTTGATGTGGTCACATACACATTCAATGGTTTTGAGACTCTTTGTTGGCCTGTCTCGTATATAATTTCATCCATCAGCTCCCGGGCCTCGGATCGGAGATGAAACGGTACCGGTTTGTTGTTAAGATACGAGTCCTTTATTATCGCCTTCTTTCTTTCCAGTTCTTTCTCCTCTGATTCCTTCCGTTTCAAATATTCACGAAATTCTTTTCTGCCCATTAAAACTATGGGTTTCGCTACTCGATTGTTAATGGCCTGTTTAATGGAGCACCACGAACAAAGCAAGAACTATGTGTAAAAGTGTGTCATTGATAAGATTATTACGAATAAGCATGCATTCGCTGCTTCACAATCGTGCGTAGTGCAGTGCTAAATCCAGAAAAAAGCAGCGTTAAGATGTCCTGTCCAATGTTTAGCTGAATCATGAACAATCACACCAAAAATAAAATATTTGAACAGAACGTGAAGGACCATCCAGCATTTTTTATCGGAAGTAGTTATTTCCATCTCACATAGGGCATATAAACAAGCAACAGCATTTTTGTGGAGAGTTTGATACGTTCAGGCGATGAATTACGGTTTGTCAGAGATTTGCCCAACTTATAATCAAATGAAACCGAGAACAAGTTAAAATCTAACTACCACTTTATCGGCACCACAGAAAAGATCAGAATGTTGTATCGATAAGATTATGTGTCTAATAAATATTATCAAGTTCACAAGGCTATCTCACGATGTGTAAAAGCCTTCATTAATCTATCCTCAGTTGGAGGTAGTAACAATTTTATTACACTACCATCTGTTAACGGGTGTCATATGACAAGGCTATTAAAAGGCGCAGATGAACACCAGACAAATCTTCGTATGGGCTGTTGTCGTTCTGTGAATGATTCTACCAGTAAGGATTGGTCAACGCAACACCCAATCATAACCAATTTTAATTGGCAGAAACGGTAACAAACCCGGCCGGGCAATGCGATTTCCCTGTCTATTGCGGTTCAGTTTCTGCAAAAACCGAAAATCAAAAAGGATGCTCCCTGTGGGGGTTGAACCCACGACCCTGGCGTAACTCAGCTTTGAAGCCTACTTTGAGGTAGTTGGTCCACAACTTATAAGCACCATGCTCTAAACCAACTGAGCTAAGGGAGCTTGCACAGATCAGAAATAACATCATTTATTGCAATACAAAACACAAGTAAACATTCGTAGATTACATTGTTGATTCCTTGTGTGGTAGTGAACATATTAGACACGGAAGAAACATCTTTTTCTGAGTGAAATATATGAATATGCCACATTAGTACGTGCCGTGCAATCTGCACATGTCCAGAATGTTTCTCTTGCTGCTTACCTACGACCATATCCGTACTGAGATGCACGAGCTAAACCATATCCAATTCGTAAATAGATAATGCGATCTTTATCAGCACTTGTTCACTTGAGCAATGCATATATCTACAAAACACGGAATGTTGTCCCTGTCTGTGCCTCAAGTTTATAACTCAGCAAAAATACCAGCCCATGGTTCAGAAAAGAGCAAATGCATCCGAGCCACACATAAAGATTAGAATACTAAAAGCATTAGGGCACGTAACTCCCATAGGGATCCATAAACATCTTCTTATGCTTAAAATACTACGGAACATGAAGAAACCGAACATTATAACACCAGAAAACATTTGGGACTTTATAAACGATTCATTCCATGCCTACAAATACGACAAAGAGGATTATAAAAGGTTTATCAAGCAGGGAAGAGGATATGAACATACGTATAACACTGTAATAGCACCTGCCCTGCAAAGATCAATTTAGTGCTGAGATTCAGTCTCATTCGAATAAACGTCTAATTTAGTGCTTTTATTGGGCAATATTCGATTGTGTTGGGCTGAATTGCATGCATCAATCATCTCCCTGCTCTGATAATGTTTCAAACATCGCTCGAAGTTTAAAACCAATGCAACTCATAACTAACAACACAATACACACTGCAATGCTAAGAAAATCCACAACTAGACGGTTAAACCTCTTATCGCACGCCATTGGAATATACCTTACCTTTCTCGGATCTAACCTGCTGCAAGAACGGATAATATCACCAGACAAACCAGATTCGTTCAATAATTACACATTTCTGGCCTTCATACAGTACTTAACGTCGTCCCTGTTTGCATTTTTCCTGCTTATTGCCATGAAAATGCCTATCGAAGAGAAAAGGGGCAGTTCGCTCTACTCGTACTTTGGAATTGCGCTCGGAAGATTTTTGTCCAACCAACTTGGTCTGTGGTCTTTAAACTTTGTGAGCTATCCCACGCTCATTATCGCCCGCTCGAACAAGCTCCTCCCGGTCGTTGTCACCAACTACTTCTTTTTCAACCTGAGAACAAGGCTCAAGAGGCTCATCAAGATTTTCTTCATGACCCTTGGACTCTTCATGTTCATGTACTTCGAAAGCAAGAGACGAACGAACAATGAAAACACGCTCATTGGAACAATTTTGTTGGTATCAAGCCTGGTCGTTGAGGGCCTTACGAGCTCTATGCAAGAATTTACGTTCAAGAAGAGAAAGCCACACTTTCTCCGCATGATGTTCTTTTGCAGCATAATTTCGCTGATTTTATCTGCTCTGCTCATATTCCCACCATTTTCTGACCAACTGACCAGCTCCCTGGCGATTTTCCTCAGAAACCCACACTCGTTTTTTCTGATAATCCTTACGTCGTTTTTGAACGCCTGCGGACATTGCGTGGTCTTTTCAATGATAAAAGAGCATGGTGCACTGAGCTTGATCATCGTTACATCGACACGCAAAATGCTGAGTGTGGTCTTTTCGGTGCTTGTTTATGGACATAACATAAACATTCTGCAATGGACAGGAATACTCATGGTATTCGTTCCTATGCTGATAGGAGATGGTAGGTAGCCCTAATATATCACAAATAAAGACTATTGGTATGCTCTAGTACATGGTAGCTGATGCGTTGGTTTATGAAACACGTAGTTTGATGCGTCAGTCTGTTTCTCTAATACGCCGTTCTATCTCCGATAAATGGCGAACTGTCTTAAACACTATGGACGCACCATTTGTTCATGTGCTGTAAACATATCTAGTGCCGTATTTTTGTGCTAATATCAGTAAATTTATCTGCTACATCGGTATTACCGCATCGCCACGCCACCTCACAAGTGCGTATAACTCAGCCTTGTGCCTCCTTCGCAGTCATTGCAGGTTTGGCGATGCTTCAGTGTAAAAACGGGCCATGCTGTCGTGAACATCTGATACAAATAATTAGCAGATAGCTTCGTTCATAGCGTAGATACCTTACCAACAGAATTTCTTCTGCAGGTCCAAAATACACTTAGAACACTTTTTTACGCTATCTAATAATTTATACGATGAGATACGACATCCTCCATGTTAACTTCTATTCGTCAGCGTCTTTATCAGATCCACCGCGATGACTCATTGATTAATCTGGAAGAAAGATAATTGATGTATGTGGTTTATTTAAGGAACCTAGAATGCCTGGACATGCGAAAAAGCCTGCTAAAAATCATTTTTAAGATACTCATATTTACATTGATGCTGTGAGGTGGTGATGAGCGTTATACCACGGTCCATTTAGATGCATGCTGAGCGTTGATGTTTATGGCGGTCATTTGCACTTGAGCTGCTGTATTAAGCCTGTCATTGTGGTATAATTAAAACAGAAGTAGAAACATTCGTTGTTGATCAGTTTGTTTAACGTAGAAGTGTAAGAAGCATCCGTTAGACACTTTGCCGGGAATAGCATTGGATATGTTATGGTATTATGTAATAGCACATTTACGTGTTCTATCACTCCTGTTCATAGCATTCACGATTAATCCACGGTAGAATAAATTTGTAACACTTATTCCGGGAACGAACGGCATTATCTGACCAGAGAAAGCACAACAATTGGTAAGAATACGTTATATTTTTCGTTACCGGTGTTCTTGTCGGTGTAGTGCTAATTTTAACTTGTTCCTTTCACGAGCTGCATTGTGGAAAAAGCACTTTACGCCAGCAATTCCACAAAATTGTTCAGAAAAGCCCCAACAAACATTAACAACACGAGAAAGCGCTACTAAATCACAGTTATATTGCTAAAATAGGGCATTTTTTTCTTTGTTGACATCAGAGTAGATATGTGAAGATGGCGTGTAAATGAATAAGCATGCTTTTAGTGAACAAATTGGCACCAAGAGATTGTAACTCTCTTATTTGTTATTATTTATATGATATACACCTCATTTAATGTTAACACATAAAGATAGTAAGTCTAACATTTTTATACTGTGCCAGCCTATGAGGAACTCTGATCACAAGTAAAACTCATTTTATAAAATTTATCTTGACAATAAGACAAGTGTGTGACTGGACATTTGGCATCATTTTGTGTTCTGGCCCTATCGGCTCACACAAATTCATCCGTTGAATTGGCCTTGTTAAAATTGGAAACATCCCGTGATTAAAAAGCACAAAACATCTCATTATTAGAACAATGCGTTCGTTAAGTTATCAATACCATACAATACACCAGAGGACCAACGGTTAATTCCAATATTTACCGCAATTGTTGCTGTGATCAACAATTGAACCATTTATTAGCTTGCAAGGCCTTGGTTAGGTGCGTAAAGTATGAAAATTCGCTAAAGTTATTAAAAATATGGATGGTAAGACCTGCACCGCAGCAGAAGAGCACTCAAGTGTTATAACCAATTATACGGGAATAATAACCATATTTGGGAATACTGGTAAAATTTTAAATATTTATATGCTGTAACAGCCCATATTATGGAATAACTTAAAACCTACCAAGCATCAAAATACGACAATGGTAGATGTGCACGCTCATATTCACTACAAAAGCGCTCCTACTTTATATTGCTCTTGATGAAATTCTTGACATCGTTGTGGTATTCCAACTTGACAACGAGCAATCTTCTAAACTCATCATAATCAACCAGAGCGCCTTTCTCCTTGCAATATTTATACGTAATTTCGTATTCTCCATAGGTCATAAAATGCGAATAGATCACCGCATCCATACATTTCATCCGGTCCCGCTTCCTTTCCCATATTAATATTTGTTCAAGAACAACAACAGGTAGTTCAGATCTGCTTTTTTCATTCAAATAATCAACAATTTGTTGGCCCGTTATTCCTTTCACGAACGCAGCGTTAACACTCTCCTCCGTTATGTGTGCTACCACCAAGTTTGGGAGCTCTCGTATGATCTGGCAAAAGAGCTTGATAATGCTCAGCTCGTGTGAAGACGTAGTGTAAGCATACAATTTGTAGTTTGTTTCAACAACGAGAAACGAATCCTGGGTGGAAGCGGACGAAAAAAGGAGAAAATACTCTTCTGTAGGTTTTACCATGTCATTGCTGTGTTGTATTATGCCAAGATAAGAGAGATATTTTAAAAAACGAAAAAGAATGTCGCCCTCTTCCCCACCACCTACACTACCAGTGTTGTTGCTATGTTCACAGACATCACAGAAAATCTTCGCTTCGTTAACTTTGAGCCAGCGGTATCGCTCGTACATCCCCATTTCGAACACAATCATGATCAACCAGTCCACATAGCTTTTTCCAAGCATCAATATCCCATTCAGAATCAGAAACCACATCTGTTCCTTCCTATTTTTCAATAAAAACTCAAAACCGGAGTGCGTAATCTCCTTTTTCACGTTTATCAGTTTAGCATATTGCAGCACATCAAGAACAACTTCATTCACCCAGGCATTTCGGTCGTTGACAAGCATACGCAAAATGTTATCAAACGAGAGCGTATTCGCTGTATTAACACATTGCATCGCCTCAAAACAGTTTCTAACGCGAACTAGTTCCATACTAGAAACAAAACCGCATCTGAAATCGTCGTTAAGCAAAATGAATCCGTTATCCTTCTGTATCAGCTTCAAAAGGTACAGTATGCGCAGGTTTGATATTATTTCTTTGTTTTGCTTGTCATCGCTTGTGTTTAAATTCTTTATGTTGAGATTTGTGGTCAGGAGATTGAAGAGAAGCTCCTTTGTAGAATGGCCCAGTACTTTGAGTAGAGCTATTGAAAATAAAGGATTTTTCCGCAGCTGGGGGAGGTTTACTTTTTGCGAAAGGAACGAGATGATTTCTGGGACTGCCATAGATGGGTAAATAATATGGTTCAAAGAAATGGAGTGAGTTTTCCAAAAATACCAAGAATGTAGCGCAAATACGTTGATTAGTCGAGTGTTCACTGAAAATGATACCAAAACAGCGATCAAGTGTAATTTGCATAGTTATGCTGTCTCCAGGGAGGGTCTCTCAACCATGGTAATTATCACGGTAAGAATGCATCTAAGACATCGACCGTAAATAGGCTATAAATTGCACTCACAATAGCACCTGCTCGAACAGCGTGAATGCATTTGTGACTGCCAGTTCAGGATCTACTCATATAAAAGCGTCTTTTTGTATAGATAAGCCATTTTTATTGATACTATCAATGCCATACGCATCTATTCCGCGAAATGCACACTTAGTCTGTTGGAGCTATGATCAATATCTTTATTGGAGCGTTCTATGCCCTTCATGATGATAATCAGTATATTTTGGTTTGTTAATTAACGAGCATTTGTGGTGGCAGTTATTTACAACATAAGCAACTGGAAATACACAACAAAAGACAAACATTATCGAGTCTGGTTAAGAATACTGCCCTAACATAACATGACACTTGATTGAAACATACCGATGATACCTCATGCTCGCAAAACGGCGTGCTACTGCCAAAAATATAGTTTTGATCAAAGAAAACGACAGTATCTCGATATATTAACATTATATTTGTTAAAATACTTTTTATCCACGAGATATTAAGATCTTCTCTGGCTTAGCGCTGGTCCCGTGCTAATTAACAACAAATTTTGAACCGGATTTGTTAATTTTTTTTATTGACCCCTATGACACGATCTACATCTGACGAGGACAATGCAAATAGGTGCGAGAGACAAAACGAGAACATGGGAGCGATGCAAAAGAACAAAGTGATTGTGCATCCTCTGGTGCTTCTCTCAGTGGTGGATCATTATCATAGAGTGGATGGCGCGCGTGTGGTAGGCGTGATCCTGGGGTACAGGCAGAAAGTGAAAAATGGCGATGGCAATTCGGAATATCATACGGAAATTCACATAACAAACTCGTTTGCTGTTCCCTTTGACGAGGAATACAACAGTAACTGGTTCATTGATACATCCTATCTCGAGAACATGTTTGAACTGTTTTTTAAGGTAAATGCGAAAGAAACGATCCTGGGGTGGTATCATTCTGGACCAGACCTCTTTTCTAATGACCTGCAAATCACGCAGTCTTTTTCGCGCTATGCTGACGATCCATATCTTGTGATTGTTGATGTGAAGTCAACAACAAAGGGGATACCGGTGCGGGTCTATGAGTTGGAGAATGATAATTTTAGGCATGTTTTTGCGAATATTGAAGCTGAAGAAGCGGAAGAAGTGGGTGTTGAGCATCTTATCAGGGATATAAAAGATGATTCATACTCCCCGCACTTCGAATCTTACAAGGACATAAAAGACTCTCTGAATGTGTATTCAAGTAATCTGCAGGCGATAATAAATGAGCTTGATAATATCATAAACAACAATTCACCAATGAATGAGAGCCTGATATTTTCTTTCAAGGAATGTCTTAGCAGCGTTCTTAGTGTCAACAATTCCACGAAGATGAACGAAATGAGCAATTATGTAGGGTCGGTTGCGAAGTCTTTTATATTAGTCAATGATTTAGTAAGAAATAGAAAGGAGAAATAAATCTGTTCGGAAATGTAATCGTTCCCGCTACTAAGTTGAGATATTTTATTTAATATTGATATGAGGAGCAGTATTTTTATCAGTTTGTTATTTGTATATGGTGTTCCTTAAGTGCGTGTTACAATTTACTAATCGTACGATTTTGCTCATTTTTATTCTAGTTAGCACGTGGTGTGCGGTGCATGCCATTACCGTGTTTTATTCGCAGTTTTGATAGCGTTTGGACTGCAGCATAGACTAATTTTTATTTTGGTTGTCTACTATTACAGGCGTTTTGTTGGATGACTAAAAAAGAGCGGTTGACCTCCGGTATTACACAGATAGACCCGTTATAAACGATTTTTAGTGAATAAATTTAGTTAAATACCATGCTTGTTTCTCGCAAGGTCAGTTGTAGCCACCAAAGATACTTTTGTATTTTTATCCTGCAGAGCTGGCGAAAAAACTGAACTTGTCTTTACGAAAGGAAAGATGCACAAATGTAATACCTCTTGGTTAGGATGTACTTTCTTTTTGTAATGTTATCATTTGTTGCTTCCATCCTCGTTGTTCTATGATGCATCGCCCATAAAACCTGGTATGATATTGCTTGTAATTATTGTTGTTGTCCTTACGAATCACCTTTCAATATGCATCTATCCATATGACAGTTAATAAATGGGAAGATATCAGTTGAAAAATAATGACAGCGGGAAGTGAAGTCACGGCAAAACATGGAATGCTACCGGTTTTCAGAATTAACTTCCCTAAGTTTTCTATACTTATTTGTTCACTCAGAGTATAAAATGGTAAAAAAATATTTATTAATTAAAACTATAAATAGTGGTAAAATTTTGAGAACCATGTATTTTTATGAATATTTATTCTTTGGATCTTTCATTTATTCTATGAACAGTTCAGATACTAGCAGTGAGGTATCCAGATTGCATGGGAAAGAGGTGAATATCGAGTTGCATCGAACGGTATATGATGTAAATGAACAGTATTCGCCTGGTAACAAGCGTATATATTTGTTAATGACCGAGTTTGTTTCGTTTTGTGCCTATTTTCGTGCATACACAGACATAATATTCGCCTACTGGGACAAGAATTACGTATACGAGCACCTCAAGATATTAGCTGGATTAAACATAAAATGTGTCGAAAATATCTACAGAAACAGAGAGAAACAAAGAGCAAACATACTTAAACAAACGCATGCATTACGCATCGTATTACAAAACTGTACAAGAAGCACTATCAGTATAAGCGTTGGTCAGATCGAAGATACCATCAAGTATATACTTGAAATTCTTCAGCAAGATATTCATTTACTCGCCCGTATTGATCCGTTAAATCATTTTATGAAAATACACCGTGATTACTATGTTAATACTTCGATAGTTTCGAGTAGAAATCAGTTGGACTCGATACTTTCGCCTGAAGGCCTCAATTTATATATTTTTCGCTTGAATATCAATTCTCGATTATGGGATGATCTCTATGCAAACTTGAGTCTAATCAATAATTCGTTTAAAACCTGGGAAAAAATACTATCGCACGGAGTACAAATGGTACTGGAGTGGGCAGATAAAATGAAGAAAAAAGCTTTAGTTAGCAAATCAGATGAGTTTTGAAAGTAAAACGTATGTTGAAGTAATTTTAGAACAAGTTTTATAACGACAGATGCATTTTTGGTGCTGTGTACAAAATTTTATCACCTGATACAGTCTAAAATGAAGTATGCAGAGCTCTGTTCATTGCATAGCATCAAGGCTTGATGAAAATACATCTCGTGTCATGTTGACTGTCCGCACATCACATTTCTATTTTTTTACCATCACGCCCCTGCAAAAATGGATTTTTCATCGACATTCAGGATCCGGCACAAGGACCCGCATAACATCAAAAGGATTTTGGAAGTAGATAGAGACCATAGAGATGATTCGCAGACGACCTATAACGCAGAGGACGGTGCTGTGGTTGTGAATATATCGTGCTCAAGTTTCACCTCACTCAAAAAATCTACGTATGATTTATTTAAAAAGCTATCGCTGATAGAAGAAACTACTCAGGTGATTGAGAGACACAAATAAATTTAACTTTCACAACATGTGCGGTTTTCAAACGGGCTGCCGATTATTCATGTTCAGTGTTTATGATTACGATGCATTTGTTGACGGCATGTAACTGCGGTGCATATTCATTGACCAGAGCTTGATCGCTGCCGTTATCCAATGTAGTTCCTATGTAATATAGCTGCGTTGCAGGTAAATATGACCAAGCGAAAGCCAGCCTAGCACGTAAAATAATCGACAAGAACGACAACATCTTTACCAGGTATTACTTCTCAGCCAATTCTTGTCTCCATGTCCACCTTACTTATTTCTGATACAGAATCTTTTTCAATCCAAAAGTACTTGTTTCCTAGCAAACCGTTTTTCCTGTGCGTAATGATAACAATTTGCGTCTTCAGCCCCGCAAATATTCTTTCCAGGTTCCTGATTTTATTGTCATCCAAATTAGAATCGATCTCGTCAAGAAAAATGATGTCGTAGTTAAGAACTTCGTTAAGACTAAGCATCAGTGAGATAGTTAACATTTGCAGCTGTCCGCCTGACATCGAACCAATCGTACTCAGGAAATTGTCCGGTCTTGTTACATGTTTTTTTGTAGCTGAGCTGTCCTCAGAACCCTGGTTGTTATTCTGGTAGTCCTCTAAACATGTACTCGCTCCAGTGTTGATAAATTGACTGTACGTGTCATCTTTTCCCGGTGAACTGTTTCCATACCTGCTGTCTTTCTCTTCTTGCCCGTTTATCAAATCATAGTAATAAACAATTTTGTCACGGACATTTTTTAGATGTCTATGTATTCCGTCCTCGTTTTCTTTTTTCAAGTTTTCTGCCAGTTTTTCTATTCGTTTTCTGTGTTTAACCAATTCCTCATTTCTCTTGAATAACTTATCAATCCTAGCACCAACCTCCTCGTAATCGATTCGTTTGTTGATCATTATCGTTCTCAGCTCCTTGTTTATTTTACCCAGTTCCTCGTTTAGATTTATTTGGTGCAAATTCACCATGTCTTCCTCATGGAAGATGCCAAGTACTTCTTTTTGCTCGATTAGCCTGTTCAATACGAGCTTGAGCCGCTCCAGATTTAAATTTATATAACTACTGCTTATCTTAATCTTCTGTAGCTCCTCCTCCTTTTCCTTTATGATTTTTTTTATCAGTTCCTTTCTGTTAGTGTCCGACTCGCTGTCTTTTATATTCTTCAGTTCTTTTTCAATTTCTTTTAGTCTTGCTATGTTTTTTCTATACTCATTCTTTTCCGTAAAAAGACTGTAATATTCCTTGTTTTCATCATATCCCCCGGATACGGCACCGCTTTTATGTAATACCTCACCTTTTAGCGTAACCAATATTTGATTGCTAGTATTCGCCTCACCAAGATCTTTCACTAGATAAACATCCTTGAAAAGGTAATTCTTCAGCCTGGAGTACTCCTTTTTTGTCTTTATTAGATGTTTTAATGGAACCATAGACCTGCTTTCCTCTTCTCTATTATCCACTTCTTCGATCTTATCCATCACTATGAATGTTTGCCTGAATTTCAGGGACCTAATCCTTTCAAGAGCTTCGTCTTCATAGTCCACTACCTTGCATTTCAATCTGTTTCCGATCACAGCAACGACCGCATTTATCGCATTTTCATCGACCTCTATCAGGTCTATCACCCGTTTTTCGTTCCTGTACTTTTTAACGTTCTCCTTCAGCTTTGATTCCTCCCTCCACAAAACCTTTTTTCGCTCCAAATCGTTCATTAGACCATCTTTTTCTACTTCACTCTTCAGATTGACGATCTCCTTTTCCAGTCTGTCCTTTTTCATCAGCAGCATATCATTCTCGAAATTGTCTGCAACGGTTTCTTCCTGATTAATTTTGTCCTGAACCTCCATAATCTTCTCACATAGCTCTTTACTCTCTTTCACTTTTATATAGTTCTCTATCCTGTCACGTTCCTTCATAAGTTTTCTATGTGCAAGGAACTTCTGCAGATTATTTTTCACCTTGACACCCACTTTTCTCAACCTGTACATCAAGTCGTCATTCTCTATATTTAAGTTTGAAAGTACTTCCGCAATGATCGTGTTGATCTGATAGTAATTGAACTGTTCCCTAACCCTCTCTTCAATACCGTTTTCGTCCTGTATCTTTTCGTTTTGCCTGATGTAATATACCTTGGTAGCGTCTCCAATCTCCCCATCGAGCGACACATCTCCGATAATATCATTTTTTGTGTCCGTGCCCTTCACATAACCATCCAATGCTGTCAGCAAAACGCTCTTACCTGATCCGTTGTTGCCACATATTACATTTACATGCTTTGAAAATTCCATCACGCAGTTTTTATACTTCACGGTGCCGATGTGCATGCGAAGGGCAGGGGAGAATCTTTTTAAAAAAAAATATGATGTGACCAGCCGTTCACACAAATAGAATGCAAAACCAAGATATTGGACATAAGTTAACTGATTGCACATGAATCCTGAGACCAAATAAATATAACTGTGGTTAACCGTGCAATGAGATATGTAGCTGTGCCTGAACATTATTTTTGTGCCTGTAACACTAAAGGTTGTGCAAGTTCGAATTCCATGTCTTAAGTGATTTGTTGACAGTTCGTTAATTTTCGCCACCATCTCACTTCATTGACGTAGTAGAAACACACCTAATAAAACGTACTATCATCAAACTTTGTATTATTTGGCTAAGTTGCCTGTTAATGTGGAGACGTGATGTATTTAGTATTGGTAGGAAGGGCCATTTCCACAGCCTATCATTGGTATGATAGCAATACCGTAAAGCGGTATATTTTATTCGCTTTTCTTCTACCCCGATGAACGCCTCAAAAGAGAAGAAAACCAAAAAGAAAGATCTTTTCACCTCGGAGTTGTCGCCTACTGACACGAAAAGATATTTGCGGCAGCTTGTGTTAGATGAATGCACGCCAAAGAACCAGAAGAAGTTGTTCGCCACGCGTATTTTGGTGGTGGGGCTCGGCGGCTTGGGCATTCCCGTGTGCCTGTACCTGGTGGGAAGCGGAGTTAAACATATTGGCATTGCGGATGGCGACAAAATAGAGATGACAAACCTGCACAGGCAGGTGATTTACAACGAGGAAGACATCGGGAAAAGTAAGGTTTCGGTGATGAAAGACAAACTGCTGAAAATGAATACAGAGCTGACCGTGAAGACACATAACGAGTTTGTAATAAAGGATAACGTACAGATGGTGAATGAGTACGACATTATAGTGGACTGCAGCGACAATATAAGCACAAGATACCTGCTGAACGATAATACGAGGGATAAACAGTTTGTGTGCGCATCGGTTTTGAGATGGAACGGTGAGATATATCTGTTTAGTAAGAACGATGCGTGTTATAGGTGCCTGTATCCGATACCGAAGAGCAACCCGGAGAGTTGCAACGAATCCGGAATTGTGGGTGGCATCTGTGGGGTAATAGGATCGTTGTTGAGTGTGGAAATCATCAAAATGATATTTTTTGAGACAAGGAGCAAGCTGCTCATCTACGATGGAAAAGAAGGTGAGATAAAGAATGTAAAGTTGAGGGAAAAACAGAATACATGTCTGGCATGTAACAAAAAGGCCATATCCACCAATATAACACTGAACTATAAGCAGCTGGTCAGGGTAGACGAGAAATACAAAATTTCGTGGAACAAATACTTTGATAATACGAGCAAGTATGATTTGATCGATGTGCGTAAAGAAAAGATGTTCGTGTTGGCGCATGTAAAGGGATCGCGAAACATTCCAATCGATTCGTTCAACTTGGACAAGCTGACAAAGAAGATGCCTCTTGTTGTATGCGCTAAGGGAATCTCTGCTCAGGCGGTGGCAAGAACATTGTTAGACAACAATATTGACTGCCGAGTGGTTAAAGACGGGCTAGTTAGCTTCAAGCGAGATATTGATCCGGATTTTCCGCTATAAATAAACATTTTTCGGGTAAGCACTGAATTTTTTGTTCATATGGCGTGACCGCTGGCACAGTTCTGTACAAGGATCCGAATTCAGTTACATGGTGGATTATCGATGCTGATACTCCGGTATTAGCATTAAACAGTGGCCTTGGTTGCTTTTTCGAAGGCAACTGATTTGCAGGGGATGAATGTTGTCCAATACAGAAAGACTGTTAGTATTCATCGTGTAGATCAAGATCTCACAAAAAAGAAATTGAGCAATCGAATAGGGCGGTGGAAGAGTAAAACATGTCCTTAGACATCGAACACCTATCTAATTGTTTTGTTATCAAAATTTTCGCTCTACTACGACATTCCGAGCAGTGCAACTACTTATAAGATTACAAATAGAATCATCGGAGCTTTTCGTAGATATCTGCCATACCTCACATGTCTTCGATCAACATTTCTTTTATTTTTGCAGGAAGCACCAGATCTTCAGTTTGCAGTACACAGTTCTTTTGTCTCCTCCGGTAAATAACGGAGATATCAACGCGCTGTATCGATTGCCACAGAATGATAGAACAGTTCGGCAGTACACAAACATAAAAAATGCTGTGTTTTCAATACACAGTATGGCTGTGGTACCCTCATCGTACTTGACCAATACACTACCCGCGAAAAGATGTAAGGGCCATAAAAGCGATGGAGGAGTGAACCCCGCGCTGAATACAGGAGATAACCTAGCAGAACCTTGTGCTGCGCTCCAACTTTAGTAGCATCAACATTGAGGTAATAGCTTCACCATCGTACTAAAGGGCAAATTACAAATCGGTACAAGCAGAATCATTGCTCATGTGGGGTGCTAGTCCTTGCAAAGAAGCAGTCACTTCAGGTGATAAAACCAGTTACCGCGTACTTCCTTCAGGCGTATTGTATGCACATTCTGGGTCATCGCGGTTTATTTGGCCAAGAGCCGATTGGCTAGGATCTATGCAAGGATTTACAACCAGGTAAAATGCCAAAAGAATCAATAATGAGCTGAAACAGCACAGGATCATAAGCGTATAAGCAGAACAGTACTTTAGCACTTTTATTAAAGTCACAGATAGCCATCACATTCCTTCTTTTTGATCTCCATAACCTTGTCAATAATAATTTTGACCTGCTCGTCAAACGTTAAACAGTCGTTATTAATTTCAAAAGCGTCACTGGTCTTGACGAGAGGCGCGTGCTTCCTGTTGGTGTCCATAAAGTCCCTGTTTTTGATCTGTGCCAAGATGTCGTCGTAATCGCCGTCACTTTCCTTGAATCTTCTCATTGCACGGACCTCAGCGCTTGCTGTCAGATACACTTTAAGCTCAGCATTCGGCATGATATTACTACCGATATCCCGTCCATCCATAACAATTCCTTTGGTTTCGTGCCGAATAAGACGGTTCTGTATTTTGTGTACATGATCCCGCACTTCCTTGATTTGAGCAATGTAAGGCACAAAAGCATTTACGTCATCTGTGCGCAACTCGCAGGGTTTGCCCTTGTAGAGAAAAGCGTTTCTGTTATTCTCTATCTTGACGGTGCGCAAAAAGCCAAGCTGATCCCTGTTCAATCCCTTTCTAAAGTCCTCCTTGGTGCTCCCATATTCCTTAAGAAATACATACGTAATTGCGCGGTATATATCACCCGAGTTGATGTGTGTATAGCCAAAGAAATCAGCGACTCTTTTAGCTGTTGTGCTTTTGCCCACACCTGCGTGACCATCGATAGCTATCTCGAACACTTTTGCCATGCGGGGAACGAGGGAGGACGGCTTAATTTAATGGCACATTGGTACGAAAAAAATTATTTGAGTTCTGATTGGTCACAAAAATTTGATATGAAACACTGCGCCTCACAATTACGGAATAGGCCAAAAATTGGCGATGGAAACACCGCCAAACTTAATACTGTGCACCTCGACCACTGCGCCACAAAGGAACGACTTGTTCGACGTATCAGTAATATGAGCATGAATGAATCTGTGATGTACACATGCTAGTCGTTTGATTAGATCCTGTGTTTGGTCACTGCATATGCACCAATTTTCTACCCAAATTTGGTATAATAAGTGACTACGCATTACCAGAGAATGCGATTGTGAGTGTAGGATTTTTACCCATTGTTGTAGCATATTTATCCAAAATATGAGAACGGCAGGAAGATAACCTGGTTTGTTCCTCAACAATGGCTGATCGGAGGCTAGCCGTGAATATCTTGTCTACAGCGGTTAAAGGCTATATTAGTAACTATGCTTGTCTGTTTTGCGGTGTCGACACAAACGAGATAGTATTTGAGATCGTTTCTACTTGCTCTAGAAAACACGATCTAAAAAGTAAAGATGAAAGGTCTCACAGTATGCACGACATGGTATCGGAAGAGAACAGTGTTTACTCACTCTGTAACACTTTCGTGTGTTTCTGTCCAACAGAATTGTCAGCCTGTAGTGATCCACAGTAAAGGTTGACCAAGGCATAAGTCGTATTTGGATAGAAAACGATGTTCAGCATTTAACATTGATACAATTTTTAATGCTGAGACCGTTGAGTGATGCCAAACACCTCATCTTAATTAAAATATGTGATAGACGAGAAATAAATATGTGTCTAATGAAAACTACAACAGGATGGCTGACGAGAAATCTTATAGAGCGAGTGGTGCATGAGACAAAGTGAGATCCTCTACCTATCTCACGCCTGCTATGCACCACATTATGAGCTCAGGCTTATCATGCACAGTTCATTGAATTAAGTACTGTTCCATATCTACATCATTCCTAACCGACGGGACTTAACTAGGTAATCTAGAGAACTTAAGTACCTAGCCACAAGGGCTGCTGTGCAAAAATGCCACGCGAATTGTGGTAAATTTAGCCCTTTATCACACATACAGGTATTCACACCAAAAACATCATTCATCCTGTTTCTCGTGCATAAAGATTTACAGATTGGCATTAAACAAAAAGTACTTACAGTTCAATGCATGCACCTGCCCTCAAATCTTAGCCCTTCGTTACCAATCCAAAACAACCAAACTGTAAGGCCTTTCATACCTAATTAATTCTGCTTTTAATAATTTAACAAATTTGAACCCCATGCTAAAATTTTTCATCCTACTTAGAGCAGCGATTGCCTTTGTGTTTGAACTGAAACCCGAAGAGGAACGATCATTCGAGGAAAATATAAAGGGTGGCTTGGAATATCGGCTGGAGTACTCGGAAAAGGACGGAAAAGATGTGGCCTTGAACATTAGAGATGGCAAGGGAAGGGATGTTGGGGAATGGAACACTTCTTTTAGTGTAATACATACCAAGAGCGATGAAGACGGAGTGTTTACATTTATGTTCAAAAATGAACATAACAAGGCAGTGAATGTTAAGTTGACCGTTCCTGATCTAGACAACGAAATAACGGCCACCACGATTGCGAAGGACAGCAATGTCCGGTCTGTTGCTGAGCTGGAGAACAAACTCAAATCTATTATCCAACAAACATCGGAGTATATAGAAAGAATGAGCGTATACACGAAGAAGCTGGCCGTTTACAAATGGCGTATACGATGTTTTATGGTTCTAGAAATAATTTTTTCCATGTTCATGGTGTATTATTTGCACAAGGATACGGTTGGACTGTTCGAGAGGAGGAAAAGGGTCTAGTTAAAATTTGTTTATGAGCCGGTAACTCTGTAATTTCCTTATTGGTGTGTTGTTTCGCTCATTTCTCTGTCCCAGCTTGTTCTGGGACACTAGCAGTCGTGCTTGTCAGGGCTGGTTTATAACATGGAGGCAGACTTTTTGGTGGCGTTTAACAGTTTTTCGCGAGAAAAGGTTGGGAGCAGCCGGCACTAAGCGAGTGTCTTTGTATCACCGCAGAGGGCTTGGATGTCTTGCATCATACTGTCATACCTGAACACCCATCGAGAGAACAGAAGTGCGGTGATATTACACCATTACGAATTGTGGTACTGACTCGGTTACAAGCTAAAATAATAAACAGGTTGGCATGTGGAATGCCCTAAACATACGGCATGTAGTTCGAAAACTTTTTACTTCATCGCACATACATTCCAAGATGAAGTACGCTTTTGCAAAGCTGGTCTCCGTCCAAAATGCGCAGTCCCAGCAGTGCATACATTGTATGGAAACAGTCGCTGACATTACCCGGTCGATCTGCATAGCCCCCGTCATCCGACCAGCAATTATGAATATACTCCCTTAGCTTGTCGCAGTCGATATACTTGGTGCCGTTTAGGATGTCCAAGCTGCAAAGTGTCCAGAACGAATAGCATACATCTTCTTTCTTGTAAGGCCGCCCATTCAGCCCGCCCGATGCCTCCTGGCGATTTATAAGAAAGAACGTGATTTGTACTTTGTCTACTCTATGCAGAGCGTTAAGTAGCTTCAAGGAGACCAAACATGCATATATCTGACCACAATGCGACTCAGCACCTGGAATACAGCCAAAACCGCCGTCCATATTGTAACACTTCAGCAGGTAGAGTATTGTCTTATCCTTTTCGAATCCTTTTCTCTCCAACAGCTTGAAAAAATCCTCACTCATGTCATATTTGGTTACGAGTCCAGAGCATTTGTTGAACACACCGATGTTTTTCCGCCTGCACACATCCAGCAGAGTTAAAGAAATCAAGGCTGCGCATACAAAACGGTTGTCTTCTTCAATGAATCCATCAGTACATTTCTCGGCATAGAAAATGCCGTTTCTGCAACAGCTAAGCACATAGTCAATTGTCCGCTCATCGTAAAAATCTTGGTCTAGCATTGTTGCAACCTGGCAAGCCAACATGGTGTTGAACACAGTTGAGGGATATCCCTTAGCTGAGCCGTACCCACCATCGTCATTTTTGCACTGTCTCAAAAAGTTGATGGTGTCTGAGGCTATTTGCTTGTCAGCAAAGTCTAAAACGTTAAAGACGGTTGTCACCCAGTAATGCATTGATAGATGCAAGTAGCTGCACGAATGATACTGGTATCCTCTGTTTAGCCGTTGTACGTTCACAAATTCGATAATCTTTTCGTCATTATGCATCAGGGACTCAAAAATTTGCATTTTAAACCCACTCCTTGTGGCAGGTGGTGAAACGGCTCATAACCGCAACTGGTGTTAACAGGGGTGAGAAGTTAACAAAGAGCGTTTTAATGAATGCTAGGTAAGGTTTTGCTGTGCAGTGTCGCAAAAAGTTGAGCGCAACCAACATATTGCAGCCAGAAGGTACCTTCAAAACGCATTGTGCATGTGCATGTGAAGTTGCTCGAGTGCAACATAGACAGAAAAACGAACATTTAACAACTGCTACACAGAATATCGGCAGAAAATATCGAAAGCGTACAAGAAACATCGACCTCACGAAAATACGGGTGCTCGGACAAACAGCACGCACCTGATGTTTGCAAATCATAGAGACATGTCTTCATCCATTGTATATCATTTTATACATCTTGAGCAACTCTAAACGTGTATATAGACCGGTTGATATGCTAGCATTGTGAATAGAGATCAGTCAGTCACCCCAGGATTTGAGAATTGTTGCCAACTAAATCTAGGAAAACAGCACAGTGCATGCTTAGTTGGTAAGAAGGCCAAGCAATGTCTAGAAAGGTAAAAAATTAAAAGACATATCGCATATATATTTGTGTTTAATATGTTACGGTGACTTGAACGAGCGGAAAACGAAACGCATTCATTAAAAATAAACATACACTTATCATCTAGTATCCATGAGCAAGAAGCATTCTCAGACAAATAATTTACCGCAACGAGAAAAATAATGTAAATAAATTGGCTCTTAAGAGTCTGTGCCGGTAAAAGTAGTACAATACAAGAAAACTAAGGTTATGCTCTTTTTTCGTCCCAAGCAGTGCACCGACCTATCAACCTGACAGCGTGCAAAAAGGCATGGTGATAAGAGTGGTTGGGGAAGCAGCAGGTTAATGCATGTGGACAAGCACGAAGAAGATGTTTTGTGATGAATGTGGGCATGTTTGTGACAATGGTTGGTCTTGTGATCAAGGTATCGAAGAAAGAAGAAAAGCAGAAAACACGCTGTATGCAGCAAAGAATCAGTGATGTGGTGGCATACATGCCCTAAGAGAACGCGGCGAAGAGGAATAAGGCAAACATAAAATATGCCCTAAAAGGTAAATGCAAAG